TTTACAATTTGGTATGATTCAGGTCGGTTTAAGCTGTTAACTATATTTAAGCAGTGTTTGTTGCAAAATGAACACTTCAGTGAAAGGGAAACAAACACAAGATATGCGAGAGTGATGCGTTCAGGGTAGCCTCAGATAAAAAAGTGCCGTATTGCACGCACAGATGTTCAAAGAGCCTCATACGGAAGGGGATGTAAAAAATATGAGGACTTTAACACAAATATGAGTGGACTAAATAAGTTCAAGGCATATCGAATATATCATATTGCATATCGGACAAGGCATTCAATTTGCTTTATTTACTTTGTATGTAAATAAAATGTTGAACTAATCTTTAGTTTTTTAGTTTTTAGTACATATGCTTTAAAACTGGAGGTTAAAAAAAATCTAAATAACAATCAAGATCAGACGATATAACAAAATATATTGTGATCATTTTTTTTGCCAAATCGCCCAGGCCTGGTCTGGGGACACAAGCCTTATCATGCTACTTAACTGCCTTCAAGCCAGTGTCACATGACCTCTACCAACATTTAGAATGCCTATGGCAGCTAGATGTGCTAAAATTTTGGTCTCGGTCTCGTTTACATCAAGAGGCTGTTAACATTCTGGAAGCATGCCCCAAGAGGGTGAAAGTCAGTGACATCTTCACCAAGCTTTCGGCAGAAGTAGTAAGCAGCTCAAAAGAGTTGTGGTTCATCCCTCGCCACCTCGTCCACCACAATGGGAAAGATCGGTTGGTGTTTGACTGTTCCCTCTCTTACTGTGGTCTCTCTCTTACTGAGCAGCTACTGCCAGGCCCATCCCTCGGACCATCTCCTATAGGTGTTCTCCTGTGGTTCCGACAGTATGCAGTTGCCATCACCGGAGACATCAGGGTGATGTTCCATCAGGTCTGTCTGCTTCCAGAGGATCAGCTATTGATGAGATTTTTCTGGAGAAACCTTCAACAAGATGCAGAACCTGACATCTACCAATGGCAAGTCTTAACTTTGGCACGACCAGCAGTCCCTGCTGTGCCACATTTGCACTGCATGTCAAAGATAAGATGGAAGGAAGTGAGGACATCCTGCTGTCTTTGGAGCAGTCATTCTGTGTACACAACTGCCAACAGAGTTTGTCCTCACCCAAAGCTGCCAGACTCCTTGTGGACAAGATGGGGCAGTGCCTAGCATCTGGAGGATTTGAGATCAGGTAGTGGGCAAGTAATGTTTTACCAACTACTGCTAGATCAGAGAGTACAGGACTGTGGTTGGCTGAGAAATGGACAAATCCTCAGGAGCCAGCCCTGGGCAGCTGTCAAAAATATGACCCCCTTGGAGTGGTCATCCTGTACACAACTGGGGCCACGATTCTAGTTCAGAAGCTGTGGGCAAAAAAGAGAGGCTGGGATGGCCCTAACCTTCCCCATGATATCATTCAGGCCTGGTCTGGCTAGGAAAAGGAGCTTCTTGAGCTTGAGAACATCACCTTACCAGGAACTTACGCACCATTAAAGGGCGCCACTGAAGCCACAAGATACACTCTACACATCTTCTGTGATGCCTCCGAACAAGGATATGGTTCTGTTGCTTACCTCACAGTGAGAGTTGATGACACAGTCCATGTCTCATTCATGATGGCCTGGTCCAGAGTGGCCCCAAAGCGACAGCAGTCGATGCCACAGCTGAGGTTCTGTGCAGCATTGACTGGCACTCAGTTGTCCTCTCTCCTGCATCAAGAGCTCACCCTCAGCATCACCCTGACCTTCTTATGGACAGACTCTATCACAGTCCTTACCTGGTTGACATCCGAATCGTGCAGGTTCAAAGTCTTTGTGGGCACACTAAGATCCAAGTTCTGAGATCCAAGAGTTGACAGCCATGCATACCTGGCAGTATGTCGACACTGCTAACAATCCTCTTAGTGGGGTTCCGTTTATATGTAATTTTATTTTTTCATTTCAAATTCGTGTAAAAGTTTATTTTTCACTTCCAATTTGTATATTATGGTCTATAGAACAATTTTGGTTCTAGTGTCAAGAAACCAGATTGAAGAAAAATATATTTTTTGCCCTATTTCCAAAATGGCCAAAATCGGAATTATGTTTTTTGAATGATGTCTTGGTTTTCCCACAATTGCTCTGTAATTTTTGTTTTTGTGCTAGATTATGTCAATACTTATGTGAGGAATCAATTGGAATTCAAATATTTATGTTTTAAATATTTTTGGTATTCTATATATTTCACACAAATGAGAAAAAACAAGAAATATGTGGGGAACTACAGATATATATATTAGAGTAAAAACTCCACTACTGTTTTTTTTTTTAGAGGGAAGGCTAGAAGGTGTGTCTTAATTGTTTATACTTGTTAGCTTGCTAGTTCATTGTCATACAGTTGTCCATGTGCATGGGCTACATTGATTTCTCACTTGTGATACTGATATTCTGAAGGTAAGCAAACAAAGAAAAAAATGTCAAGAAGTGTCCTAAAGTGTTTTATGAATATGGACAGTCTTATGGGATAAGTGGCCTAAGTAATGCATCCCATTAGTATGAACTAGCATTGTGTATGCCAGTGTATGCTAGCACTAGCTAAACCTACAGTATAGCAATTATGCTGAGGAGCACATGGTGTTTTCATTATAATTACCTACTTTCTTCATGCCATGCAGTAGTGTGAATATGTGAAGGTGTTCATTTATTTATTCTATTTCACTTATTTTGGTATAATGCGTTTTACTGTTTTGAGCAAATGTGAATGTGACTACTGTATGTACTGCTGACTGCTGTTTTGTATGTTGAGGCAAACTGTAAAAAGTACAACAAATAGAAAAATAACGATGCCTATATCTTTTATCTTTCTTCATAATATGAACCTAACAGGTTAGAGAGAACCTGGAGAGAATTCCAAAAAGCTGTGGATTGCTTCTCTAAATAAGTATTTTTTATGAGATGGCTGGGACAACGAAATGGCAGTTGTGCATTTTTTGCCAAAAGCAAGAGATTAAAAAGATTAAAAAGATTTTAAAAAAGTGGTCGGACCTCAAGGTGGAGGTCAAGCGGCGTACAGCTGCCCTCCGGAGGAGTACTGGCCAGACAGGTGGGGGTCTGGGGGAGGAGACCCTCACACCGTTTGAGCAGCGGGTGGTGGCGATTATAATTATAGGGTAAGTGGCGTGTCACACAAATGTCCACATGCTTTGTCATCCCACTGAGCAAAAGACGTATATTAGACGTCTAGTCTAAGTTTATACTTCATTTCAACATCGGGATTCAGTCTATTTTTAGACGTGATTTATACTTCGCCCTTAACTTCATTTTTCGATAACTTTTTATGCAATAAACAACTGTAATGTGCATAACTGACCTCGAAATACTGGATTACATTACCTATGATACCGTGGAGAGAGATGTAAACGCAACAGATACACAGAAGCAGGAATTGACATGAACAAATATTTTTTATTGTGTCACAGAAATCAATGTGTCGGCCGTGTCGCCGACTTGCGGAACCCCGGCCCGCGGCAGCCCGTCCGCGGGCTCGGAGTCGTCGGCCAGGACCAGCGGCATTCGGACCACCCCAGCCCCCGGCCCCAGCACCAGCATCAGCACCAGCGCGCCGACAAGCGGTGGAGCGTCCACCAGCCGCGGCGCTTCCGCTGGACCACCCGGACACAGTGGAAGGGTCCTCGCGGAGGGGGTCCTGCAATCGCAGGAAGAAATCATCAGGGGGATCGCGGGGATCAACCAGCGGCTGGACCGGCTCGTAAATGTCCTTGAGCGTCTGGTGGAGAAAATAAATTAATTTGGCTCATTGAACTGTGTATTCACTTCTTACCCATTCACACTGTGGCGATGAGATTCTCCTGCGCGAGGACGGCGGCCCGGCAGGGATCAGCTCGCATCCCTCCGTCTGCTGCTGGTTCGTCATGTGGGGCGACGTGCTGCTCGGCCACGGGGATGTGGTGCAGCTTGTCACATAGTGAGTCACCAAACACCGCCACACAGCGTCGCCAAAGTGCGAATCACAGTCAACGCAAGTTGGCTCAACGCCAATTTCTACACCACCTCCTGACTTTGCGTTGATTAGCGCTGGAACCGATGCTCGTTTCGCGATGATAAATCTGGACGTGTGCGCCGATTTTGGCGTACGCAAGGTTTTCTTGCGCCGCAAGCGTTGATACATAAGGCCCCTGGTTACATTAGACAACAAGGTGTGTGAGTTTGCGGCTGCTGCCGTATCTGTCCATCAACTTGAGTCTACAGGACAAGAGCAGTACAACAAGTACAGGAAAAGTGTTCTTGAATCACATGACACACTTCTGACAGCATCGATCAAGCGAAACAACTTATTGTTGTTCCATGAGAAGAAAGCACCGAGGAAGACAGCGATTAAGCTGAAAATGCAGCACTTTAAACATCATGCAGAGCTCTATGGGAAAGCTTTTATTGTGCTGGACAGCCGTGGGGGAGATTTGGAGGGTTTTTTCCGGCATGAATCGTCCCCTTACCCACCTGCATTGTCATTTGAGGGAGCCCTCAACTCTTGTACCAAGTCAGATTTGTTGGTATATATTATGGAAGCCAGTTCGAGTACCGAGATTTCTGTCGAGGAGGAGTTAGTTGCACCAAGTGTTTACGACTTCATTGTTATTGATGGTGGAGTACTGATACATTCACTTCCTGGTACAACTGTCGTTGGGAAGAACTTTGATTCCTATTTCGACAAGGTATTCTGCCCAAGAGTTCACCATGACTTGAAACGATCAGCGAGAGTTGACATAGTCTGGGACCAGTATCGTGATCTAACAATCAAAGGAGGCACAAGGGAAAAACGAGGAACAGGCACCCGACAACGTGTATCTGGTACTGCCAAAATCCCGGCGAATTGGCAAACACTGACAACAAGAAGGAGCTGTTCTCATTCCTGTCAAATAAGTTGTTAACAGATGCACAGTTTCTAGATGACAAGGATGTCTACATTACTGCAGGTGATCAAGTCCACCACATTGGAGATGGCCCACCAATGGATCAATGCAACCATGAGGAAGCTGACACTCGTGTCCTAGTACATCTTCTCCACGCCCTCCAAACATCTTCACTTGGGATTGTGCATACTGGAGACACAGATGTTGTTGTAGTGCTTCTGTGTAATTTCTATCACATCCAGGCTCTGAATGCAGCAGCGGAAGTCTGGATCTCCTTCAAAGCTGGAAAGACAACTAGAATGATTTCACTGAATACCATCGCTACAAACCTGGGCATGCAAGGGCATGGCTCTCTTCCATGCATTCACTGGCTCAGACAGCACATCGGCATTCAAATTCAAGGGGAAGCGATCCTGCTGCAAGGTGATGCCCAAAGTGCCATCCCTCATGGAGGAATTTTCAACTCTTGTTGACACTCCATATAAAGCATCTCCAAGGCTGAAAGAAGCGGCGACAAACTTTGTCTGTAGGCTGTACTCTGATGACATACACGAGGGCAATGATGTTGATCGTGTGCGAATGACGCAATTCTCACAGAAAACAAGGGACGTGGAGAGAATTCCCCCAACTAGTGATGCTTTGGATCAACATCTGAAAAGGAGCGTCTTCCAAGCAAGCATCTGGACGACAGCCCATATGTATGTATATGTTTCTCCATGAATTTGTGTACCATGTCAATTTGACTAATTAACTAACTAATGAAAGAATTGATTGATTATCAATCAATCCATCAATCAATCAAATTATTAATTCATTCTTTCTTTCATTCAGGTCCATGATGCCCATCCACAGCCCCACTGATCATGGCTGGAAGGAGGAGGACAGGAAACTGCTTCCCATTTGGACCACTCTGCCCCTCGCCAAGGACATATTAAAGTTGGATGTGAAGTGCAATTGCAAAAGCCCTTGTGTTCCAACCTGCACTCGGTGTAGTTGTGTGAAAGCAAAACTTAAGTGCACCCGTCTTTGCAAGTGTAAATGTGAAAAATAGCTTCACCGGAGCATATTCCCAAGATTGTGTATATATTAGGTTTCTTTTTCTTTTGTAAAATAATGTATGACCAGTTGTTAAAGCTAATGGCACCATGTTGTGGTACAGTTAAAACATAAGTACATTTTGTATTATTGTGTAATAAATGTTTTAGCTCACTATTTACTGTTTTGTCTCATTTGAGTGAAATATAGAATACCAAAAATATTTAAAACATAAATATTTGAATTCCAATTGATTCCTCACACAGTATTGACATAATCTAGCACAAAAACAAAAATTACAGAGCAATTGTGGGAAAACCAAGACATTATTCAAAAAACATAATTCCGATTTTGGCCATTTTGGAAATAGGGCAAAAAACATATTTTTCTTCAATCTGGTTTCTTGACACTCGAACCAAAATTGTTCTATAGGCCATAATATACAAACTGGAAGTGAAAAATAAACTTTTACATGAATTTGAAATGACTGAGTGTCCAGGCACCCCACTATCTGCATGATCTCACCCATGGCAAGACTTTGGCTGAGCTGGCAGCACCAAGTAGGTGGATTTAGGGAACACCATTCCTGCATGCTCCATCTTACAGGTGGCCAGCGCTCCCTACCTCGGCAGAGCCTGAAGACGCATCTGAACTAAAGCAGAGTATATACTGTGGCCTCACACAGAAGATCAGAGGATCTCAGGTTCCAGATGTCACAGCATTTAGTAATTGGGCTGATCTGGTTAAAGCTACTCAAGAGGCAGATGCTGACCCTTCCTCACCTAAGCTCCGAACCCGGTGAGGCAGAGATCCTTCTGCTTAAGGCCAGCCAAGCAGACTGCTTTCAGGAGGAGATTAAGTGTCTGAAGGCAGGTAAAACAGTGCCACCTCACAGTAAGCTCAGTGTGCTTTCTCCAGAGATGTATCCAGCCTCAGGCCTCATCTGTGTTGGTGGACATTTTCAAAAAATGGAAAAGTCCTGTGACACTGAAATCCACCCCATAGTCCTTGATCCTCGCCATGCAGTTACGAGACTCTTCATCTAAGATTTTGACATGCGCCTACTCCACCCAGGGCCTGACGGAGTCTACGCTGAGGTCAGACGTCAGTATTAGATCCTACAAGGGAGGCAGGCCATTAGGCATCATCAGAGGTCTTGCATTGAATGTAGAAAGTGGAGGGGGAAACCAGTTGTGTCCAAGATGGTGAACCTATCTCCTGCCCGGCTGTGGATCATCAAACCTCCATTCTTCTCTACTGGTGTTGATTGTTTTGGACCATACATCATTAAGGTTGGCCGGTGCAACGAGAAACGTTGAGGAGTTATCTTCAAATGTCTCACCACATGGTGTGTCCACCTTGATCTACTGGCCAACCAAGATGCAGACTTCCTCCTTCCTTCCTTCTGTCCTCATGGCACTCAGAAGATTCATTGCGCATCAAGGAACTCTGTCAGCAATTCTCTCTGACCCAGGGACAAACCTTTGAGGCGTGGAGAGGGAGCTACATGAAGACTTTGCTGCTATGGCACCACAGCTTCAGGATAGACTTGCTCAGCAACGGATCAGGTCCCAGTTAATCCACCAGCAGCACCCCACTTCTGCAGTGCATGGGAGCATGAGATGCGATCTGTAAAACTGGCCTTGCAGGTGGTCATCAGCAAGCAGGCCCTCTCTGAAGAGGTCTTGCTGACCATCCTAATCATAGTGGAAGGCATCCTTAATGCCAAACCCTTGGGATGTGTGTCGTTGGATGTTGCAGACCTGGACCCCATGATTCTTCACTCACTGTCCACACCCTTCTGTGTTCCTCTTCTTTGTTTGACTTCAGTCGTCTTATGAGCTGAACCGCTCAAAACAACAGTGATGAAATGAAGATCGAACTCTTTGGCTTGAATGCCAAGCATCATGTCTGGAGGAAACCAGGCACCGCTCACCACCTTGCCAATACCATCCCTACAGTGAAGCATGGTGGTGGCAGCATCATGCTGTGGGGATGTTTTTCAGCAGCAGGAACTGGGAGACTTGTCAGGATCGAGGAAAAAAATGAATGTAGCTAAGTACATCGAAATCCTTAATGAAAACCTGCTCCAGAGTGCTCGAGACCTTCGACTGGGGCGACGCTTCATCTTCTAAGCACACAGCCAAGAAGACGAAGGAGTGGCTTCAGAACAAGTCTCTGAATGTCCTTGAGTGGCCCAGCCAGAGCCCAGACTTGAACCCGATTGAACATCTTTGGAAAGACCTGAAAGTAGCTGTACACCAACGCTGCCCATCCAACCTCACTGAGCTTGAGAGAATGTGCAAGGAAGAATGGGAAAAACTCTAAATCTAGGTGTGCCAAGCTTGTTGCATCATACACAAGAAGACTGGAGGCTGTAATCGCTGCCAAAGGTGCTTCGACCAAATATTGAGTAAAGGGTGTGTAGAATTTTTGAGGGAAAAAGGGAATTTAATCCATGGAATAAGGCTGTAACATAACAAAATGTGGAAAAAGTGAAGTGGTATGAATACTTTTCGGATGCACTGTAAATATGTGACTGTGAATTTTTTTTCTTGGCACAATGCTGTAGAACTGCAAAGAGCATTTGCAGTAAATATGTAATACATAAATGTGTCTTGTACTCAGTTACCTCACTAAATACAGTAATGTGTAACTTTACTGTAGTTTTTAAATGGCTGTACAGGTAGTGTATAGTGCTGTCTTGAGCGTTTTCAGGTAGTGTCACCAAGGTCTGACTTTTTTGCACTGGAAAACACAAAGTGTCAACTGTCATAATGAAAACATGAAAAAGCCATTTGACTGTCTTGTTCATAAACAATGATGTTGGGACTAACTATTTTGATGACACAGACAGTTTAATTGACATGAAGACTTGCTTTTAAGGAATCAACCATTCATTTTGAGAAAGTGACGTGCTTTTGCAGGTTATCCACTATTTTTTGCAGTTTGTACTAATTGTTCTGAGAAATGCAATTGAGAAAAACTGTAATAGCTATGCTATTCTGGGGGCAGCTGTTGTAAATTTCCTATGTTTTTCTATATGTGAAATCACTTTAAATAAGTTTTGTTCAGGCACCTGTTTGGGGAGCCCAAGGTCCTTGGGACTTAAGGCATTTATGTTTAGGCATAGATACGGGCAGTTTTGGGGGTCCTAAAAAGGCCTCTAGCAATCGCAGAGATTGTTGCTAATGCTGTGATCAATAACAAAGTTGTCTTTTCAAGTAAATTGTGTGTTTGTGAATTCGTAAGTGGTGTCAACTATGTATATCTTGAATGTGTGCATGTTCAGCTGAGTATGGCTCATGAGTAGCATTGGTTCGTTTGTATTTTGCTGGTTGGCATACCTACATGTCACATTGCTAAAGCTAGTATACTGTTTATGCCTCTTAGACATTGTTTTTTATTTCTTGCTCTCTGTCTTCTTTATTTGCAAATTCCACACATGTACAATTTAAAATGAGTTGTGTGAGATGGCTTTTATGTTGCTGAAGAAATACAAAGGACCTACTAGAGCTGTGTGTCCTGGTGTCACTCTCTAATCGGAGCACTGAAGTGGATGGAGTGTCGCTGCATGATCTCACAATATCATAGGAGTCATTTTCCAAAACTTTGTGTGAAATGATTAATTCAGTATTAAATGCTTAACTAATGCTGAATAGTTTTTACCCAGGATAAATTGTTACTGATGTGACAGTCTTTTTGTGCTTTTTTGCGTTCACATTTGCCTCACAGGTGTCCATGTCGGGGTGGATGGATTCAGTTGTTTTGGAGTCTACCTGATTGTAGCTGGCAATAACAGAGCTAGCATGGTCTTACAGTCTTATCACTGCTGTTAAGCAGTATGGGCTGCCATCAAGGGTATGATCTGATAAAGGGAGAGAGAATGCAGATGTGGCAGAATTCATCTTTATGCACTGCACCGGATCTTCCTCCCTCTAATTCGGCAGAGCCTTGATTCTTTTAGTGATGCTTAGAACTTTCATGGTCTTAGAACTGAGAGGAATCAGTCACCACAGCAACTCTGGAGAAGATACAGAAAGCAAGGCCCAATAGAGGATCCTACTAAGGTTAAAGAAAGATCAATACTGTTTCCCTTAATGAATTATGTAAGAAATATGCTAAATGTGTTACTTTAAATGAATCATTTTAAATCTCCTGCGCATTCAAAGAATAAATTCTGACAGTCCAGAGTGGTCAGGGAGTTTTTTCATCATGTAGCAAGGGTGATCTTTTAAAAGTTTGCCGCTACACTTGAGTTGCATCCCAGTCTCTATTTTTAATTATGTACTAAATCCAATGTGTTTAAACCAATTTGTCATTAAACAGCCATCTGGATAAAGGCTTTTTATATTTTTAAGGAGTGTCCTGGATTTTTCTTTGGTTCTTTATTACTCGATAGAAAAAACATTTCTCAGACAAAGGCTGTGTCTCATTTCAGAGACTGCAACGTCTAACGGCGCATTTCAAGTGTGCGTGATGTCATCACGCGGCGCTAACGGTCACATTTGGCTTGTAATTCTGACTGTGCTTCAAATGCGGTCCCAAAACCGACCTTCCCCTTTTTCAAGCATGCATTTATGCACGCTCTCGTGGCCTTGGTATCCCAGAATTCTTTGCGTGCCGCTGTACTGCTGCACATTTCAGGTGAGAGGTTGGACCCATTTGGAGACGGGGCTCGTCTTCAAAGAGAATGAAATAAATCCAAAAACAGCAGACAGTCAGCTCTGGCTGCATGAGCGCATGATCTCTTAACTCACTTAAATCTGCAAACCAAACATTATAGTATATAGAGATGAACTGATCTGCTCTGCTACCACAATCAAAAACATTAGAAATAAGAAAGCTGAAAAAACTACAGCAGAGGATCAGGCCAACATTGAGTTTCTTTTTTTTTTTTTTTTTTTTTTTAAGACTTAAAGATTAAAGTTGTAAATTTAGGAGAATAAAGTCCTAAAGTAAATAAAGTCATAAAGCTGGTTTGGTAGAGGAGGAAATGTCTGAAGCTGGTCAACTGCAGGGTTTTCAGTGGATGTATTATTCAGAGAGCTCTTGTTGTTTCTTAAAAATCAATCCAACTAATGATCAACATTTGTGATCCAGAAGGAGTCAAGCTCCGACAAGCACCACGTCTCTGACACCGGCGGTAACATACCTGCAGAGATGCCTTATTATGGCATATGGATTCATATCATAAACTAAAGCTTAATGCCATTTACGGCTATTTACGACTGAATTGACCGATTTATCCGCAGCATATCCATTTCTGCCTCCACAAAAGCAGCGATTCTCTCCAAGTCCACCTGTTACCTGTTTTTTTTTTCCATGGAAAAGACACATTTTCATATATTCTTTTTAAAGTTCTTTTACTTATGGAAATGTAATGCTGATGTGCCAAAGGATGAATTATCTCCTTGTTTGTGAAAACTATACTAAAGCACAGTTCCTTCAAATGCTTCATGGCCCTAATTTGAACAACTCTCCTTTGAAATAACAGGTAACCTTACAACTTTATTCTCATAAATTAATGACTTTATTCTTGTAAATTCACAACTTTGATCTCAAAGTCTTGAAAACATTCATCATACCTGTCTTTCATTCAGGTTCATGAGGACTATGGGATTGACTGGAATGGACTTTACAGCCTTCATTGAGGCACTGTGTCAGTCCCCGAGATTCAGTTGGCCTGTGAGCTCTTGGGTGAGGAGGTTGCCATTTTGCCAGCTCCAGGAGTCTCTGTAATGGTGCACTGACATCATATATAGAGACTGTGCACGTTTTATCAAGAATCATAGCAAGTTGATGTCCAACCAATACTTTTATTTGGCATCTTAAAGCAAGCAAGCATGTGACAAAATGTTGATCCCTTTAATATATATTTTAATGAAACTCCTGTCATAAACTGTACAGTTTTTTTTTTCCAAAATTTTTCAAATTATTTTCAAAGACACTGAACTTGTGCTAATTGACCTGACTAGCTGATTAGTGCATGCAATAACATCTGTCTGAAAAAATGTAAACAAGTCCAAATCCAGTCTGCTTACTATTTATAGCAGATTCAAGTGCTTTCTCAAAGTTCATGTAGGTTTTGAAATGAGCTGGCAGATTAAGTGTTTCAAAGCATGTGGTGGATGTAGGAAGGGTTCCACCAGAAATTTCCACTTTCAGTTCAGGGGGTAGCTTCTCCGAGGCAACTGAGAACGTCAGCAGCTGAGCTCGTGTACCAGATGGAGCTAAAAGTAATAAGAGAGTTCAAGACAACATTAAGATAAACTTAATTTTTATCTGTCCAAGACACATAGAAGCATTGGTAAAGGGTTAGCCAAATAAGGTATTTATACCCGTTTCGATGAACATCCTTAGAAAGCCAGTGATGCGGCACGTGGACTTAATTTCAAAGTCTTCATCATCACTGTCCTCAGTTGGCCATGTGATTTTGTCCAGAAGCATCTTTAAAAAAATCAATGTAATTCTTTTAAAAAGGGATAACTTATTGTGGTGAAGTAATATGCAGATTACATTCTTGGTAAAGGAAAAAAGAACCAGCTTAGTCACGAAAGATGTATGTACAATTAAAAAATTTAAGTCACAAATCTAACTAAATTACTGACTTACCTGCAGTGTGAACTTCATGTCAGCCATTTTGGAAAAAAAAAAGTGGAATGACATCTGGCCTAGATGTCAGCAGGGGCCATACCATCACATCTTTCAGTCCTTTTATCAGTTGTTAAATTTGATGCATGGTTCTCCTAAGAGTCACAACCAATTTTTTAGCAACCCAAAGTTGCCAAAAGTTTGCACAGTAGGTAAAATGTTTATAAAAGCAAATTATGTACTTTATAAAATGCAGTGTACCATTGTTCTATTTACACTTGCAGGAATATTGTGATTGCTAAACTTTATGTATTAACTGCTGGCTTCGAAGAACTTAAACATGACTAAAACAGGCAAAAACTACATATCATGTTTAATGTTGTCCCATCTCTTCCAGTGTTTATCTAACAAGTCAAGGTTCACCACATTTTCTATAATTTCAACAACTACCGCAATGATTTCTGTCACTTAACCAACTCACTGCAAGGAGTAGCAGCGCCGGCGGCGGTGCAGGGGCTGTGTGATCACAGACAAAATCTCGGTACTATTTAGTAGCAGCGCATGCCCCTTGTAATAACTCCGTAAGAACTGTTGTTCAGCACTGCTTACTTGTGCTTCCTACCTATTCGGCTACTGTAATAACCGTTGTTTGAGCCCACACGCAACATTTTTGCTCTCATTCATGAAACGCTCAAATCGGGGACATTTTCGGGGACAGCTTTTGCCTAGGACAGGTCATCCAATACGGGGACTGTCCCCGGAAATCGGGGACGTCTGGTCACCTTATGCTAAAGGCTAAAAACGGCAGGTATTAAACCATATATTTTAGACCCCGAGTCCGAAGAGGAGGTGGAAGTTGAGGAAGAAGCCGGAGATCTCCAGCGGTGTTTTCTAATTCATTCTGTCCAGCTTTAAGTTCATTTTCCTGGCAGTGAACCGAAGGAAACACCGGTCGTTTGGAAGAGACCCATAGCGGATACAGTGGTAGCTGGGTCTCGCTCTGGCTGTGACTGAGTACGAGAATGAGAGAGTGGGCGCGGCTCACCGAGGATGCGCTCGTGAATAATAATGAGCAATGTCAACGCAACGTCAGATGGACCTGCTTTTTCAATTGGCCTGGTTTACTCGTTCCTTTATTTAAACCTTTACAGAATGCAAACAACGTAACGGTTTGTTTTCACATTTACAACAGAAGACGAACATAATATGGACCTTATCTGACACCAGGGGCGCCACTAGGTTTTAAGGACAGGGGGGGCTTAGCCCCCAAGAGATGAACAGGATGTGAGTGAACGTAGTGAGCGAGCACAAAATTTCACAGACAGAAAACAAAGACTGAGAAATTGCTTTTCAGCTTTTTTGGACGGATTTAACTAAGATGTAGTCTCAGGCCACCAGGAGTTTTTTTGTTTTATTTCAGTCTGTTTTTTTTTCAGTTCTTGCAACCACTACTGACCAAACTATCATGTTTTATGTTTTTGCCAAACACTCTACATGGGAAACAGAAAGCTGTATTCTGGTTGACTGAATATCCTAACCAGTTGTGCTTTTCAAACCAGCTGTAGTGAAATGCTCGCTTCTGTGTACCAAAACTATCTTGTGGGTAGCTCTTCAGCTTGACCTGTCTGGGCCCTGTGTCTTTGTCACCTAAATCAAACCCTGAAGTGGAATGAGTTGCTGCAGCTGCTTCATTATTTTCCCTCTCTTGGCCTGTTTGCTCTCATCTCTCAGCTTCCTCTGCCATTTGCTGCAGCTCCTCAGCCTTTCCTTCTGCCTGACCCTCCAAGATACATTGAAATACATTGAATTAATAACTAATCCAACATAGAGGCTAATGTCATGACTTAAGCTCAAACACCACAGTAATTTTTTGCTCCCAAATAGTAAGATGTTACACAGATTACATTTTAAAATGGTTGCAAATTAAAGCCCTGAAAAATATTACTAAATTACTTGACTTAAAGTAATATTAAAATAGAATCCCCAAAAATATTTCGGTCAGGCTAATTTATCTCTTGGCTCTCTCCACTTTCTAATCTTGACTCTCTTAAATAAAAACTCAAATGAAATAAGTCTTATATGGTGCATGACTGAAATTTCATATTTCATATCCATATTGAGTTCCATAAAATTCTGATCAGACTGTCTGCGTCACTCCTGTGAATTCTTTTAGACTCACCTCTCCAGTAGAGGTGTCTCCCCTCTCACTTGCTGTGCTCCTCTGTCCTGACTCCTACAGGTCAGTGGGGATGGTGGGGTGAGTATTATTAGTGCATTATTATTATCCACTGATGATAATCATACGTGAATGAGCTCAGCTCGCTTTTTTCAGAGATAAAACAAGTGACAGAAATCAACATCATGCTAACAATTTAACTTGGTGTGATAGCCAGGTTTTTATTTCTCAAAATGGGGAGCACCTGGTTCATAAATTACATGGGACTATTTGCTGTTAGCTGGAGCTTATTGTTACTACCAGCAGCTATAAAGACTTACTTTTTTGAAAAACTTGTGTATGTCCATGATGCTGCTCTCTGCCTGGCTCGTGACGTGACCATCTCGCTGTGACTGTGTGCAGGGAGCATGTAGGTGCTGCTGCTGGCAGCAGTGAAAACGCGGACTGGATTTTTAGTAATGTGGGCGTTCTCTATATCAACAAGTGGAACGGATTGAATAACTAAGCGCTGACGAAGGCTCTCCACCTTACACAGTGAAGTCAGGGGAAACCAAATGATTTGTGATCATATTTAAGTGAATAATGACATGTTATATTATTATTTATTTAAACTCATATTCCTGCGTCTTTGTATTGAATTTGTCTGCACTTTTTTGTAAAATATATATATATATTTAAAAAAAAAAAAAAAAAAAAAAAATTTGGGGGGGGCTAAAGAATATTTTAGGGGGGCTTCAGCCCCCCTTAAATAGGCCTAACGACGCCAATGTCTGACACAAAAAATACAAAAAATTACATTTTTTTGGCAGGTCCCTTTTAAAATTAAGAACAGACTTACCAAGATCAAGACTGAATCCAAACTTGAGTTTGGATATTAATGTTAATTTTAAAATAAAATAAACTTAATCATAATTAATATGCAACAGCCATAAAACGTTGGCTGACTGATCCAGGTAACTTTTTTTTTTGCAACATTTAACAAACAACAACAACATAGTCAATATTCTATGGACTGGAATTCCAGAAAAGCATTCATAATATTGACTTTTCCAGAAAACAGGAGAATATTGTGCATGGAACATTTTCATTAGCGGTCATTGATTATGTGATTTTTGAATTCCATTTCACAATCCTATGTAAGACACTTGAGTGGTATATACTTTACTGTCAAATTTATATTACAAACTTTATTACAACAACAATAAAGTTATCAATTCCAGCCAGACCTGTTGTGAGTTGGCATTTTACCTGCAGATACAGATATACTCTCAGTCTACTTAAAAGTAGAAAAGTTTGATCCATGTCAGTGTTGAATATGTTTGACCATGTAGAGAAACATCTTCAGAATCTTTTACAAAGCTAGGTTGACATAAAAACAGCATTCTGAAAAAAAAATAATTTTAATGATTACATTATATAATTACACAAAATAACATGCAACTGGGCAATATATTTTACTATATTTAACTTACAGGTTGTATTTTTCCATTTATTGAGTATAAAGTACACACAATATTACAGCAACCCTATTGTTATGACAAAAAACCATTGTTTATTTCTGTGTGATCAACCTTCTCGTTATCAATCACTGCTGGTGCGACTGAACTCTAAGCTGATGTTGATGGTCTGAGGGGAATACTGTCACTGACTGGGGCCATCTTTCTATAATTTTCTTCACTTTAACCTCCCTCTAGTTCTCTGTCTGATTACTGCATTGGTGGCCTTTAAGTTAACAAAATAGAAATTATGGTCATACTTCCTTATAGACGGGTTTCTTGTGTACAAACAATACTAGGTGCGCGCACAACCAGGAGGCAATCGCCTGCTCCGGAATGAACTGATATTAATGAATACGCCATATTGTTTGCAAGTTCTCCCTGACACAATTGCAATAAAATGTCATTTCACTGAAAAATTGCTTTGTCTTTCGTTGCATCACAAATCAGAAAAACACTTTCTGAAATGTCCATGAATTTCACTCAACTTACCAGGATGTGATGTTGTTTTGGTTGTTTCTATATCAGGAGCAGGATCAGGATCATAATGTAAGTGAATGCTAACAAAGTCAAGGTAAAAATGTTTGAAACGAAGCTACTTGACAGCCTGTTAGAATGAGTTTCTTTAGCCAGTCCTGTCAGCCTTGAGAGTGGTGGAGCTGTGTCACTTAAATACCTCAGATACTTCAGTGTTAAGCCGCGTTCAGACCAAACGCGACCTGAAGCGACCTAGTCGCGTTGGTCGTTGTATTCCCGTCGCGTGTGTTCACACCGGGTCCAAAGCTGCAGTCACGAAGGTCGCAGGATGCAACTCGCTTCTCCCACCTTCCTTCTTCCTCCTTTTCTCCCTCATATATACATCCCGCAGCCAGTGGCGGTTCTAGACCAAATTACTCCCCGGGCGACCCCCCCCCCCCCCCCCCCCTCCACACACACACACACACACACAGACACACAAACACAAAAAGAGATAGAATTTTGAACAGATAGCTTTGTATTATTATGTATTATTATTATTATTATAACAACAAAAATAATATATTTCTCAATTGCAGAAATCCTTCAATAGAAAAAAACACAATCCTGAGGGCCATTTTGAGAAGGGCCCCCAGATCCTGAGGTTTTCTGAAGTGTTGAGGTTTACAAAAAAGCTGCTATCTCGGCCTCTGTAGTAGATAGAAACAAAATTCAAAAAGTATTTGAGAGCTTAAACATGTGGCTTTCAAGAAAGCTCTCTTTTAGTTTTGCGAACCTTCATCACATTTTTGAAAACCTTGAACAAACTCAAATGAAATAAAGCGGCTGTATAAATAAAAGTAAAGACTCTGCACTGGAGAATGACAAATAATTTGCTTTCTGTAAAACAAGTGGCAGTCATGATAAAGTGTCCATTCAATACAAATGTAAATATAGAAAATAAGGTGTTGAAAGGGTAAACAGCTGCCCCAGTATAGTGCCAGTACAAAAGCAGAACTAAAAATTAAAAAATGAATAAATAAATACATGGCTGACAGTGTGTTCATCTCTGTTCTCACCCAAAGTCATGCAACACTCACAGATAACGCTGATAGTGTGAGCCAAAGCACTCCATATGAAGAGGTTGTTCACACTGCTGGATGTTTCTCCTCTGAAGCTGCTCTCTGCCTCAGTCATTGTTTACTTTACTCATGAAGCTCATCAAGCACGTAGCAAGATCCCAGCATGAACCCGAGCGCTTTACTTGCCTATCAGAGGCAGACGGGTATGGTGATTTCATTCACCGCGACTCCAGAAATGATTAAAAAACTACAAAATGACGTATCCGCGCTCCCACTGATATGCTGACATGCGTACACAGAGCAGAGCTGTCCCCCCGCGACTCTCTCCCCGCCTCATCTCACACAGTCTGTCACCCTCTGTGCAGCACCTTCAGAGCAAGCAGGGGCGCCTACAGCAGGGGGGGGGGGGGGGGGCGTGAGGAGAAAGAGGAGGAGGGTCGTGTGGTCTCCAAGCAGAGGAGACCTCGGATCTCTGATTATTTGATCTAACTTATACTTTTGGCTGGTAAAAGAGTCAGATCTGATACTCACTCACTATGATTAATATCATTGAATGCTTGGTTTCATGATAAATAATTTGATACTAAACACATATGAATGAAATGTAGGATCACATCAAACATTCTCATTATGTTTTAAGTATCACATTGAACATGCTAAATTACTCTGAAATGCAACAGATAGTAACACATAGAAACTGTGAACAACAAAAGAGTAAATACATGTGACTGAACGTCATCATGATTAATAATGGATTCTAAATACTTACATTCAGATTATTCACTGATATTATAACCACCTAATGGTTAAAATACTAAATATACCAAAATATAAACCAAAACATTTCTAAACCATTTCTGTTACTTAGAATAAAGTTATGAGTCACAGTCTATAAATTTAACTCTTAAAGTTCATGAAACAGTCTGAAAAGCTGTTGGTCTAAAGAAACCAAAGAATGTTCACACACTTTAAGACGGTAAATCTCAAATGGGAGATCTGGGTTGAGGCGTTATTGTTTATTTAGATGGTCAGCGATGGAGTCAGTTCGAAAGGTAATAAAAACTCTATCTCCGTCTCCGAATTGACCAATCGTGAAGAGTCAGAGGTTTAGTCAACCTCCGGTCGGGTCACTTAGGTAACCTGAAAGTGCAAAAAAGTCTGGAAAGATTTATATCCTGTGTCCTGGGACCAGAAAAGGAAACTTTCCTGTGAGGAATGTGTGAGTTTCGCACCCAGGGTTGTCTTGATTGCTACACGATATTAATCAATATTAGAGTGGGCCTACTTGCAGTAGAGGGACAGTGTGAATATAGGTGTCCAGAGAGACAAGAAACAGATAATGAAGTCCTTGGAGGACGTGTCGATAAATATTGAAGTAATAGGTGCTACTGTCTGGTTGTCTGACAGACTGACAGCTTGACGGCCCAGATTCAGACTTCAGCAGTACGGTACCTCTGGGTTTTGTAAAAGATGTCATTGGATGACGAGATTGTGTTACTGGTTTTTACATGAAGACGTCATTGGATGACGCGGTTGTGTTATAGTTGTTACTGTTTAATAGTCTGATGGACTGACCGCACGACGGCCCCGATTCAGTCATTAACAGGTATTTCTGTCTCTGTTTGAACGGACTGACTGCTTGACGGCCCCGATTCCTTCAGTGGCAGTTGTAGTGTGATTATGTATAGGGAAATCTACATACTGCATAATATCGACCCATACCAGCCTCAATTGTTCAGGATGTATTTTTTTAAAGATGGAATTGGACTTAAAATACAGATGGATGAAACACACAAAATTTTTGATGCTTTGCATACTCACAAATAGCCATAGAGTTACTAGTCGTAAGTAATAATCCGTGCACTGATGTCACAAACCAGTAAATTCAGAAAACCATGTGGTACAAAAAACTAAAAATAAAAAAAAATAGCTAAATAAATAAATACAAAGAAAAATCAAAGATCTACCAAGAAAAGAATGAAAAGTGATAAATGTAATGCTTGAAACTGTTCCACAGTTAGACATTTTTCCAACCATGTCTGTAGTTTAAATGTCAGCCAGGGAGTGGGTGCAAGTGAAGCTGGGGTTCTATTACGATGAACCAAAAAATCAAATCAGAATGATAAGAAAGTCTTAAAAAAAATGAACACAGAAGGAAATTAGATATTGTACGAGAGTATCTAATGAATAACACAGCCATCGATAGTTTTCTATGGAATCGAGACTACATGACAAAGGTGTAGATTTAGATGGCTTATCAGTTTCCTGGGAATCTTAGTAAGTTTAAGAAAGAAAAAAAATTGGTAACACTTTACATTAAGGTCCTCGTAATAAGCATTAGTTAATAGGTAATAAGGCCCTTATAAGTGTGTACAAGATGCTTATTAACATTATTATTTGTTTATAAGACGATATATCTATTAATAGTCTCATTATAATACAGTTATTAGCAGACTTTAAGAGATTTATAATAACTTATAAGAAACTTGTTAACTGTTTGTTGATGCTTACGAACATTAATAAAATCCTCATGAGTATCTTATAACTGTTTATAATAACATTATAAACACATATATTGACCCAACTAGCCCAACCATGATGGCTTTATCATGCCTTTATTAATCTTTTTGTTTGATTTATTAACATTAATATACACTTTATTGCTCATCTACTGTAAGTTAACTATGCACTTGTTTACAGTTAACTGTGCTTTTTGCAGGTACTGGATCTAAAGTGAGAACAATGTCTTATAAAGGCTGATAAATCTTTTATTGAGCATTATTATGCCTTTAAGAATATTTTTTCCTGCTTTATCAAAATAAAATGTACTTTACTATGCCCTTGTTATCAGTTAACTATGCACTTATTAACAGTTAACTATGCTTTTTGCAGCTACCAGATCTAAAGCGAGAACAATGCCTTTTGTTTGTATTATCCGCGGGGCTGAAGATGTTGTTCCCTTCATTTTGCACGCGGCACCAAAACGACGTGCACATTGATCGTGTGGCTGAGCCGCTAAACAAAAACTGCTAAACAAAATCAGAAAACTTATTTTTGAAGGTAAAGTGTAAAGTTTTTCTGGTTGAAAACTTTAAACTTGAAGGTAAAGTTTAAAGTTTTTCTGGTTGAACTACCTTCAAAAATAAGTTTTCTGATTTTGTTTAGCAGTGTCATCTTGGTAAAGTCACTTCTTTTTTCTCCTCTTCTGTTGCTTTTCGCGGGTTGCGTCTTTTTTCGCTTCTTTTCAGCCTGCATCCGTAGCTGTTCTCTTCTTTGTGCGTTTCTCACATGCTTTTATTTTGAAAGAGCAGGTAAAACCGACACTTCCGGTTTAAGCTAGCGGCTCAGCCACACGATCAATGTGCATGTCGTTTTGGTGCCGCGTGCAAAATGAAGAGAACAACATCTTCGGCCCCGCGGATAATACAAACCCGCTCCGGATCTCGAAAAGATCATGATGACAAGAGGAGCCGTTGTGATATGGAGGATGACTCCTCTGGTAAGTTTAACTGCAGCTGCACAAACAAGCTTTGCTGTCCTGGAAACTGATCTACAAACATAATTTCTCACCAACCAGCTATTATATTTGGAACAATGAAGACATTGTTTACAAAAACCGATCACTGTTTTACAAGGACTGGATGGAGCACAACATTTTACTAGTCGACCAACTTCTTAACAACCATGGCTTTTTACTTTCTTATGAAGAATTTATGTTAAAATTTCAACTCCCAGTCACCCCAAAACAATATGCAGTGGTTTTTGATGCATTACCTCAGGGGGTGCTGCAACTTATTAAAGGGTCTGAAAGAACGGCTGCTACTCCAGGAAATTACACCTGTGATATATTTGTGGGCGGAATAGACATTACAAAAAGACCCTGCTTGAATAGACTGTTGAGAAGCTGCCTACAACCAAAGACACTGCCTAGAGGTCAAACTAACTGGTCTGCACAATTGGGAGAAATTAACTGGAGCAATGCATGGCTGGTTGGTGAAAAATTCTGTCTCAAAAACAAGGTCAAAGAAGTCTCTTTTAAAATATTACATCAGATTTACCCTGCAAAGAAAACTCTTGAAAGATTCAAACTGGACATTGAATATTTATGTGATTTCTGTGGACTTGAAGATGAAACCATCTCTCATTGATTCTATCATTGTACCTACAGTAAAACCTTTTGGATTGATGTCCAACAATTTGTGCACGAGAAAACAGGAAGAACGATCAGTTTCCAGGAAAAACATAATTTTATTTATTATGATGACCAGGACAAAGATCTGTGCTTTTTTTGTCAGTTGATCTTGAGCTTGGGGAAATTCCATATTCACAAAAACAAATGGGCCAAATCTAAGCCAAACATTGCACCCTTCAAAAATGAACTGCTCCGTTATGCTGCCACGATCAAGGATATTAAGAACAAGAAAGCTACCAAAACATACTCTATAATGAAGAAATTCTTTACCATTGAACTGTAAGTCCTCTGGCTGTTGTATGGTTGTGTTTTGTTTTCTGTTTTTGTCGTTATTGTTGTGATGTGTCTCTCGTTGATTGTACTGTCTGTCTTGTTCAATAAAAAAAAAAAAAAAAGAGGAGCCGTTGTGATATGGAGGATGACTCCTCTGGTAAGTTTAACTGCAGCTAACGAGTTAGTGCACATTCAAAACAGAGTTTTAATGTAACCAAATAGGAAAATAGGTTGTTTATATGAGTTTGATTATTTTCAATTGGACAGGCACTTCATCCCTCACTAATACACAGAGGAGTAACCAGCTCAAGACTGCTGCTGCACCCCTGTCAGGCTGCAACAGTAATGCTCCATAAAATTACGAGCTTTGGCTAGCTAGCTATGTAGCTAGCTGCGTGTTTGAATGTGCACTAACCAGTTAGCTGCAGTTAAACTTACCAGAGGAGTCATCCTCCATATAATAGAAGATTTATGAGACTTAATAAGGCATTGTTCTCGCTTTAGATCTGGTAGCTGCAAAAAGCATAGTTAACTGTTAATAAGTGCATAGTTAACTGATAACAAGGGCATAGTAAAGTACATTTTATTTTGATAAAGCAGGAAAAAATATTCTTAAAGGCATAATAATGCTCAATAAAAGATTTATCAGCCTTAATAAGACATTGTTCTCACTTTAGATCCAGTACCTGCAAAAAGCACAGTTAACTGTAAACAAGTACATAGTTAACTTACAGTAGATGAGCAATAAAGTGTATATTAATTTTAATAAATCAAACAAAAAGATTAATATAGGCATGATAAAGCCATCATGGTTGGGCTAGTTGAGTCAATATATGTGTTTATAATGTTATTATAAACAGTTATAAGATACTCATGAGGATTTTATTAATGTTCGTAAGCATCAACAAACAGTTAACAAGTTTCTTATAAGTTATTATAAATCTCTTAAAGTCTGCTAATAACTATTATAATGAGACTATTAATAGATATATCGTCTTATAAACAAATAATAATGTTAATAAGCATCTTGTACGCACTTATAAGGGCCTTATTACCATTAACTAATGCTTATTACAAGGACCTTAATATAAAGTGTTACCAAAAATTTTTTTCTCTAGGACTCAAGAAACTGTTCAAGTAAAATATGAAGAAGCAAGCTTATTGTTACACCCTCTTGCAGCTCCCAGGTTCATTGTCTCCAAATGTAAACCTACCTAGTGCGTCTGTGAAGTATGGAAGTGATGATGATGACAGTTCACTATTTTTTACACATGTTGAATTACGATAAACAGCCCTGCCCAATGCCAACAAAAGTAGTCCCCTTGTTATTCTCAGATGTTGGGAGTGCCAAATCTTTCAACAAACATCCTTTAAGATAAATGTATTCATCAATGTATCCAGAATTGTAATATAACTTTTGACTTAACAGAGAGTGTATGTCTGACACAGATCAAACCCTTGTGACAGAGTTGGGACTGTAAAAGGATACCTGGCATGCACATTCAAGAGCATACACTGACAGATGCCTTCGCTGTCATAGGACAGCGTTCTGTGGGAAGGAGCAAGAGTCCTCAAAAAGTAATGTGAACCAAGTACAACTTCACTTAATGCCACAAATAACCTCTGATCTCTTTTTGCAGAATGATTCTTAGAGGATGGGGTATGGTGCCAATCAAGGAACCCAGGGTATTCAGCAGGAGGAACACGATCCTGAACAATTTGAATTGTACATTTGAGTAGTTTTTCTGTTTAATCTGTTAGTATTCTAAATCCCCAACGATACTTGTTCAGATGATAGTCTCATGTTTGTGAGCAATGATAGCTGTGGCGATTACATCTAAATAGGCACAGACTATAGTGTTAAGATATCCACTAATACAGCACGCTACACACACAGTGAATGTTGATCGGCTCAACATAATCACACAGCACATATCAGTCTGAGGTGTAGAAGCTACAAACGCATGTTAAATGAAACACCAAAACTTCCCATTTCAACAGCCACTCATATTTATCTAGTGGTACACTTGAACTCATTACTGCATGGCAATAAAGGGATGGCTGAAGTTCCGTCTTTAGATTGCTTGAATGTAATCAATTCAACATTCAGAGTAAGAGTAAAGATGCAACAGACTCCACTGGAGAACAATGAATTGTCCTCTACTGTGATGGTTCTGCGATTGGACCTGATGATGGCACTACAATGGCAGGTTATGTGCTTGTTGATAATCACAATCAAGATGTTGTATCCTACACGCCATCGTAAAATGTAACAAAACATTTACAATCTGACAAAGAAGTGACCAGAGACAACGATAATTAGCAGATAATATGCCCCCCCCCCAAAAAAAAAAAAAAAAAACGGCGCTTGATGCACCATTTCCTTCTTGATTGGTTCCTAATTCCCATCCATACAACCTTCTGTTCCTCCGTTTTACGTTGATGACTTAATTTTGCTTCAAAGCCATGCCCCTGAGTCTAAAGTGAACATATAGCAGAAAAAGAACTGTAACAGGGTTGCTAATGGATTATAAAAATATAGTGGGCAACAGATTATGCTCCCTTAACTAGCTTACGATTTACTTCAAGCTTAAGTTCATAGTGTCACAGATGCAATTTGAACATTTATGACTAACGACATCTCTATCTGTGAGTTGTTTTACTCTCTAGGACTGGAAGGACAGCTCAACGTTTGGAAGACATGTGAAGAAAAGGGGGGTAGAGTAGTCAAACAAGCCCCAAATTTTAATGACCCATGTCAAAAGAGCTTTGACCACGAAGACACATGTGCCTCTTTATGGATTGCTAAAACTGCTAGGTTTGACCAAGAAAGAGAAGAAAGCTCAGATAAAAATGTTAACAATTACCAATGATTTACCAAGATTTTTTTGTCTTCGCAGCCAAATCTCTCGAAGATCCCAGAGAACTTCCATTTTCTGAGCACTAATCATAATCTGTTTGTGGTGTTGTCAATACGTCTTTTGTGCAGGATCCAGTCCAAACAGTGTATGCCCTTATCCCTGCCCCATTCAAATGGAAACCATGGGTCTCCAGTTCTGAGTCATCTGAATCATCAGGAGATTCCAACGATGGGATGGTATATATCCTGACAATATATGATGTTCCCCATGTGATCATAGTGTCGGCCACGACTTCAGAGATTCTAGTGTAAACGTATCATCCTCCACCACGTATTAGTTGACAGAAGATACATCATAGCGCCTATTTTCCCTCTTCACTCACCACCTGGTGAAGACTGGCCCCTCCACTGAGTTAAAAGAACATGCTTTACTTTAGTTGCAATATTAAGTTATCACCTTGATTAACTTTCAGGTGGACTGGTAAATTCTGTTTTCACAGCTTTTGTTCATGGTTTTGTAGGGTTTAGCTGGTTTAATTGTTAGTCTAGGGTAGAGGGTGGCCTAAAAATCTGACGGCCCTTTGTGGGCTGGTTTGGGTGGCTGACCCTTCTTGTGTTTGTTTCATCAATCCACCCTTTCGTTTTAGGTGGTCCTGGTCACCAGTCTTATTAGGGCCCGAGCGTAGCTGCTAAGCAGCTGCGAGAGCCCTCTTGTTCCTGTAGTTTCCTTCTTTTGTTATTATTATTTTTCCTCCCCTTTGAACTGGAAAATGGCCCACTTCCCACTGGCGAAAACTCATGAAATTTGGCAGGACGACCGGGCCTGGTGAAAAATTTGATATTCCGAAGTCGCCCAAACAAGAAAATGCAAAATGGCTCCATAGCGCCCCCTAAGGTGAAAATTCACACTATTGACTGTCACGCCTGTACGCTTTGTCAAAATGACACAAAAATTGACACACACATGTATCTCAATAAGATCTACAAAAAAGTCAGTGCGGGCGTATCTGTCAAATGTACGGTTAAAGGGTTATTTCGCATTTGCCGATCCGCACACATTGGAATTTCGCTAACTCCTCCGAAGGCTTTCGTTCCACCGGCACCACATTTGCTCAGGCCAATCTACACCCCATGGCCATTAAAAGTTATTCAAATCATGACGCTGCACCCCACGGTTTAGGTTCTAGGGGGCGCCAAAGATAACCCTAAGATCCACATATTTAAAAGTCTTATAACTTTTTATTTTTGCCCTCACTGGCCTCCAAGTTTTCTAGGATGATGCAATGTCCAGCCATCAACACATTTGTGAAGGAATTTTTACTCCCCAAAAGAGCGCCCCCCATGGCAGGAGAAAAAGTCCATTTTTTCTTGTCCCCTAAGGTGAAAAAACACATTGTTGAGTGTAACACCTGTACGCTTTGGCAAAATGACACAAAAATTGACACACACATGTATCTCAATTAGATCTACGAAAAAGTCAATGCGCGCGTATCTGTCAAATGTACGGTTAAAGGGTTATTCCGCATTTTTTGCCGATCCGCACACATTGGAATTTCGCTAACTCCTCCGAAGGCTTTCATTCCACCGGTACCACATTTGCTCAGGCCAATCTACACCCCATGGCCATTAAAAGTTATTCAAATCATGACGCTGCATCCCACGGTTTAGGTTCTAGGGGGCGCCAAAGATAACCCTAAAATCCACATATTTAAAAGTCTTATAACTTTTTATTTTTGCCCTCACTGGCCTCCAAGTTTTCTAGGATGATGCAATGTCCAGCCATCAACACATTTGTGAAGGAATTTTTACTCCCCAAAAGAGCGCCCCCCCATGGCAGGAAAAAAAAGCCAATTTTTTCTTGTCCCCTAAGGTGGAAATTCACACTATTGACTGTCACGCCTGTACGTTTTATCATATTGACACAAAAATTGACACACATATGTATCTCAATAAGATCTACAAAAGAATCGATTCGCGCGTATCTGTCAAATGTACGGTTAAAGGGCTATTTTGCATTTTTTGCCGATTCGCACACATTGGAATGTGGCTAACTCCTCCTAAGGCTTTCGTCCCACTGAAACCAAATTTGCTCAGGCCAATCTACACCCCATGGCCATTCAAAGTTGTAAAAATCATGACGCTGCACCCCACGGTTTACATTCTAGGGGGCGCCAAAGATGACCCAAAAATCCACATTCTTCAAAGAATCCACATCCCCCCCCCCCCCATATGGCAGGAGAAAAAGTTAAGTTTTTCCTGCCCATCGCTCAATGGCTCAATCGCATCGCTCTCCAGGCAACACCGTAAGGAGGAGCAACCTGCCATTTCGATATATCATAGCTGTGTTTGTGCCCTCACTCATGGTCCAGACTTTTTTCAAATAGGACATGAAGTTTGTCTGCAGCGAGTGTTTTGGTAGAAACTGCGCCTCCCATTCATTATAATAGGAAATGACCACAGACAAGTGCGCACACCATCTTTGGATCTTGAGTGTGACGCGATCGGGAGGGGGAGGCGGTCGCACTGGGGGCGGCGCGACACGGCTCGGGCCCGACAGTGCCCCAACGGGGTCCTAGTTTATCATCTGTTCCTTTAGCAATTATTTATGAACAATTGGCGTGTTTAAAAAAAGAAAAAAAACTAGGGCCCCGGTGGGGCACTGGCGGGCCCAAGCCGTGTCGCGCCGCCCCCAGCGCGACCGCCTCCCCCTCCCGATCGCGTCACACTCAAGGTCCAAAGATGGTGTGCGCACTTGTCTGTGGTCATTTACCATCATAATGAATGGGAGGCGCAGTTTCTACCAAATTGCTCGCTGCAGACAAACTCCATGTCCTTTTTGAAAAAAGTCTGGACCATGAGTGAGGGCACAAACACAGCTAGTATATATCCAAATGGCAAGTTGCTCCTCCTTGCCGAGAGAGCGATGCGTTTGAGCCATTGAGCGATGGGCAGGAAAAACTTGACTTTTTCTCCTGCCATGGGGGGGCGCTCTTTTGGGGAGAAAAAATTCCTTCACAAATGTGTTGATGGCTGGACATTGCATCATCCTAGAAAACTTGGAGGCCAGTGAGGACAAAAATTAAAAGTTATAAGACTTTTAAAAATGTGGATATTTGGGTCCTCTTTGGCGCCCCCTAGAACGTAGACCGTGGGGTGCAGCGTCATGATTTTTACAACTTTGAATGGCCATGGGGTGTAGATTGGTCTGAGCAAATTTGGTGTCAGTGGGACGAAAGCCTTAGGAGGAGTTAGCCACATTCCAATGTGTGCGAATCGGCAAAAAATGCGGAATAGCCCTTTAACCGTACATTTTACAGATATGCGCGCACAGACTTTTTCGTAGATCTTATTGAGATACACGTGATTATTAAATTTTGTGTCAATATGACAAAGCGTACAGGCGTGACATTCAACAATGTGTATTTTCGCCTTAGGGGACAAGAAAAAATGGACTTTTTTCTCCTGCCATGGGGGGGGCGCTCTTTTGGGGAGAAAAAATTCCTTCACAAATGTGTTGATGGCTGGACATTGCATCATCCTAGAGAACTTGGAGGCCAGTGAGGAGAAAAATAAAAAGTTATAAGACTTTTAAGACTGTGGATTTTTGGGTTATCTTTGGCGCCCCCTAGAATCTAAACCGTGGGGTGCAGCGTCATGATTTGAATAACTTTTAATGGCCATGGGGTGTAATTTGGCCTGAGCAAATGTGGTGCCGGTGGAACGCCAGCCTTCGGAGGAGTTAGCGAAATTCCAATGTGTGCGTATCGGCAAAAAATGCGGAATACCCCTTTAACAGTACATTTGACAGATACGCGCGCATAGACTTTTTTGTAGATCTTATTGAGATACATGTGTGTGTCAATTTTTGTGTCATTTTGCCAAAGCGTACAGGCGTGACACTCAACAATGTGTACTTTCACCTTAGGGGACAAGAAAAAATTGACTTTTTTCTCCCCTTCATGGGGGGGCGCTCTTTTGGGGAGTCAAAATTCCTTCACAAATGTGTTGATGGCTGGACATTGCATCATCCTAGAAAACTTGGAGGCCAGTGAGGACAAAAATAAAAAGTTATAAGACTTTTAAATATGTGGATTTTTGGGTTATCTTTGGCGCCCCCTAGAACCTAAACCGCGGGTTGCAGCGTCATGATTTGAATAACTTTTAATGGCCATGGGGTGTAGATTGGCCTGAGCAAATGTGGTGCCGGTGGAACGAAAGCCTTAGGAGGAGTTAGCCACATTCCAATGTGTGCGGATCAGCAAAAAATGCGGAATAACCCTTTAACCGTACATTTGACAGATACGCGCGCGTTGACTTTTTTGTAGATCTTATTGAGATACATGTGTGTGTCAATTTTTGTGTCATTTTGACAAAGCGTACAGGCGTGACACCCAACAATGTGTATTTTCACCTTAGGGGACAAGAAAAAATGGACTTTTTTCTCCTGCCATGGGGGGGCGCTCTTTTGGGGAGTAAAAATTCCTTCACAAATGTGTTGATGGCTGGACATTGCATCATCCTAGAAAACTTGGAGGCCAGTGAGGGCAAAAATAAAAAGTTATAAGACTTTTAAATATGTGGATTTTAGGGTTATCTTTGGCGCCCCCTAGAACCTAAACCGTGGGGTGCAGCGTCATGATTTGAATAACTTTTAATGGCCATGGGGTGTAGATTGGCCTGAGCAAATGTGGTGCCGGTGGAACGAAAGCCTTCGGAGGAGTTAGCGAAATTCCAATGTGTGTGGATCAACAAAAAATGCGAAATAACCCTTTAACCGTACATTTGACAGATACGCCCGCACTGACTTTTTTGTAGATCTTATTGAGATACATGTGTGTGTCAATTTTTGTGTCATTTTGACAAAGCGTAAAGGCGTGACAGTCAATAGTGTGAATTTTCACCTTAGGGGGCGCTATGGAGCCATTTTGCATTTTCTTGTTTGGGCGACTGCGGAATATCAAATTTTTCACCAGGCCCGGTCGTCCTGCCAAATTTCATGAGTTTTCGCCAGTGGGAAGTGGGCCATTTTCCAGTTCAAAGGTGAGGAAAAATAATAACTAGGACCCCGTTGGGGCACTGGCGGGCCCGAGCTGTGTCGCGTCCCCCCCCCAACGCGCTGCCTCCCCGTCCCATTTGTGTCCTCTGGCCATCGCCCTCTCTGGTAACGCCCATCACTGCAAAGACCCTTTTCCTTCATCGGCGTTTGCTGTTCTTCCTGCCAGTGCGTGTTGCTTTCACTTACACTTGCCACAGCCAGCCTCGTGAGTGCCTAGCCTATTGGATATCACTGTCACCTACACAGGACAGTCATTACCTTTCTATTAATACTTTGTTTTTTAATTTCACATTAATTTCCATATTGTATAAACAACTGGAAAAAACTTGAGCCCCTGCCCCTGTATAATCATGTGCACGTCTCTGTTCTAGCTCTAAGGTGAATCTTCACTGCTCATGTTCTCCTCAGAAGCAGTCACCTCACTCCCCTCAGGTTACTGTACACATGCACCAACTGCCTGCTTCAGGTTTGGATGGAGCTTCATGGTTGTCTTTTGGAGAAATGACCAGTCAAGTTGTGTTTGAAATTTGATTTTTTTCAGGGGCAAAAGGAGCCTCTGCATTCTTGTCAAATATGTAACTAGCATGTTTTTGCAGGTGCTAAAAACCAGACTCTGAGTGTGTGTGTGTGCGTGTGTGTGTGTCTGTGTGTGTGTGTGTGTGTGTGTGTGTGTGTGTGTGTGTGTGTGTGCGTTCAAGTCACATGACATATTTAACCGGATGTAGCTGCAAGACGGAGCCTCGTTGACTCTCCGATTCAATTTATCTCAAAAGTGAGGACCTCAACCTATATACCAGTTTTTAAATTGTGTTGATAGGCCAAATAAAACCAGAGTTATGATAAATTATGTCCACGATACTTGTTTTCTGCTTATTTTGATCACGTTCGGCGCTCGATCGCGTTGTATGAGACAGGAAAACATAGCATGCAGACATTAGCGACAGGTCTTACAGGCGGAAAAGGCTTGCCAAAGGAAAAAAAAAAACACACCACAACATCTCTCCTATTGGTGGAAAACTTCACCACAACAACCAATCCAAAATTATATGGTGACTGATTGACAAGGGGCGGGAACTTACGTTCTTCCTGCAATATGAGAAGGGAGGGAGGGACTCTCAGCAGGGATGCAGTCTGGGACACGTAGTTGCAAACCTAGCGACTTTGTTGTTAGATTCAATGACTTTTCAGACCCCCTAACGACTTTTTTTTAGAAAGAAAGTGACTTTTATCGACTTCTTCTGGAGTTTAGAGACTCTGACATGAAGCAGGCTTTCCTTACTGAGGAGTTAGCAACGCTGCTAAGGGTGCAGAGCCACACATGCGCTCCGAGCTCTGCATGGGAGACTGAAGCTGACAGAGCTGCAGCAGTTAGCAGGTTTCACCCTCAGAGACCACCAGGGGTTCATGTTGAGGCATTTTCAGTTTTTTTTTTTTTTTTTTGCCATAGACACTGTCAGCACAATCTGCAGTTACACTAACAAAAATGCTGCAAAAAACAAAGAATTATGGAAAAATTACACATGGACTAACATAGAGGAGGATCTACACATGTTTTTTACATCATGTTTTACATCATGCATCATTTACATCATGTTTTTTGGTAGTGGCATAAATAAAAAGTGACATTTGTGGGACTATACAGTGTTTTGTAAATAATTTTACAAAGAACACCTGGGCCATTGCCTGCATTTTGATGTAAATAGAGGTAAATTACTATGTTCTTTGTTAAAAATTTGCATATGTTTTGAAGTTTACAATTTTTATTTGAAGTTTAAGTTTTAAAAACAGTTCATCACACATATTTGTGGTTTTCACAGTAAAAACGTTACTTTTTTCCACTCGGATTTTATGTTTTGTGTGTGAATTTGGGTCCAATGTGTAAATATAGTATGTCAAAATGATAAAATAACTGTAAATTGACACAGGTGAGGTTGTGCTGAAAAAAATGATACCAGGCAAGGCAAGGTAAAAATTTTGTAAGAGGAAATATAAAGGTAAAATCTAAAGTAGTCAAAAACGGCCAATAGTGACTCACAGACTCCACAGACAAGTCCCTTTGGCGCCACTCAGTGGGCAAAACTACTTTGTCTACTGTAATGTATATTTGGGTCATCTTTGGCGCCCCCTAAAACGTAAACCGTGGGGTGCAGCGTCATGATTTTTACAACTTTGAATGGCCATGGAGTGTAGATTGGCCTGAGCAAATTTGGTGTCAGTGGGACGAAAGCCTTAGGAGGAGTTAGCGAAATTCCAATGTGTGCGAATCGGCAAAAAATGCAAAATAGCCCTTTTACCGTACATTATACAGATACGCGCTCTTTGACTTTTTCGTAGATCTAATTGAGATACACATGATTGTCAATTTTTGTGTCATTTTGCCAAAGCGTACAGGCGTGACAGTCAACAATGTGTATTTTCACCTTAGGGGACAAGAAAAAATGGACTTTTTTCTCCTGCCATGGGGGGGCGCTCTTTTGGGGAGTAAAAATTTCTTCACAAATGTGTTGATGGCTGGACATTGCATCATCCTAGAAAACTTGGAGGCCAGTGAGGACAAAAATAAAAAGTTATAAGACTTTTAAAAATGTGGATTTTTGGGTTATCTTTGGCGCCCCCTAGAACGTAAACCGTGGGGTGCAGCGTCATGATTTGAATAACTTTTAATGGCCATGGGGTGTAATTTGGCCTGAGCAAATGTGGTGCCGGTGGAACGAAAGCCTTCGGAGGAGTTAGCGAAATTCCAATGTGTGCGAATCGGCAAAAAATGCGGAATAACCCTTTAACCGTACATTAGACAGATACGCGCGCATGGACTTTTTTGTAGATCTTATTGAGATACATGTGTGTGTCAATTTTTGTGTCATTTTGACAAAGCGTACAGGCGTGACACTCAACAATGTGTATTTTCACCTTAGGGGACAAGAAAAAAATTGACTTTTTTCTCCTGCCATGGGGGGGCGCTCTTTTGGGGAGTAAAAATTCCTTCACAAATGTGTTGATGGCTGGACATTGCATCATCCTAGAAAACTTGGAGGCCAGTGAGGGCAAAAATAAAAAGTTATAAGACTTTTAAAAATGTGGATTTTAGGGTTATCTTTGGCGCCCCCTAGAACCTAAACCGTGGGGTGCAGCGTCATGATTTGAATAACTTTTAATGGCCATGGGGTGTAGATTGGCCTGAGCAAATGTGGTGCCGGTGGAACGAAAGCCTTCGGAGGAGTTAGCGAAATTCCAATGTGTGCGGATCGGCAAAAAATGCGAAATAACCCTTTAACCGTACATTTGACAGATACGCCCGCACTGACTTTTTTGTAGATCTTATTGAGATACATGTGTGTGTCAATTTTTGTGTCATTTTGACAAAGCGTACAGGCGTGACAGTCAATAGTGTGAATTTTCACCTTAGGGGGCGCTATGGAGCCATTTTGCATTTTCTTGTTTGGGCGACTTCGGAATATCAAATTTTTCACCAGGCCCGGTCGTCCTGCCAAATTTCCTGAGTTTTCGCCAGTGGGAAGTGGGCCATTTTCCAGTTCAAAGGGGAGGAAAAAGAAGAAAGAAAGAAACAAAGAAAAACCCCTACAGGAATAACAGGGCCTACGCCCGGCTGCTCTGCAGCTGGCTCGGGCCCTAATAACAAAAGAAGGAAACATGCAGGAACAAGAGGGCTCTCGCAGCTGCTTAGCAGCTACGCTCGGGCCCTAAAGAAAGAACTAGGGCCCCGTTGGGGCACTGGCGGGCCCAAGCCGCGTTGCGCCGCCCCCAGTGCGACCGCCTCCCACTCCCGATCGCGTCACACTCAAGGTCCAAAGATGGTGTGCGCACTTGTCTGTGGTCATTTCCCATTATAATGAATGGGAGGCGCAGTTTCTACCAAAACACTCGCTGCAGACAAACTACATGTCCTATTTGAAAAAAGTCTGGACCATGAGTGAGGGCACAAACACAGCTAGGATATATCCAAACGGCAAGTTGCTCCTCGTTACGGTGTTGCCGGGAGAGCGATGCGATTGAGCCATTGAGTGATGGGCAGGAAAAACTTGACTGTTTCTCCTGCCATGGGGGATGGGGGATGGGAGGGGGGGAAGGGATGTGGATTCTTTTAAGAATGTGGATATTTGGGTCATCTTTGGCGCCCCCTAGAACGTAAACCGTGGGGTGCAGCGTCATGATTTTTAAAACTTTGAATGGCCATGGGGTGTAGATTGGCCTGAGCAAATTTGGTGTCAGTGGGACGAAAGCCTTAGGAGGAGTTAGCCACATTCCAATGTGTGCTAATCGGCAAAAAATGCAAAATAGCCCTTTAACCGTACATTTTACAGATACGCGCGCATTGACTTTTTCGTAGATCTTATTGAGATACATGTGTGTGTCAAATTTTGTGTCAATATGACAAAGCATACAGGTATGACAGTCAACAATGTGTATTTTCACCTTATGGGACAAGAAAAAATGGACTTTTTTCTCCTGCCATGGGGGGCGCTCTTTTAGGGAGTAAAAATTCCTTCACAAATGTGTTGATGGCTGGACATTGCATCATCCTAGAAAACTTGGAGGCCAGAGAGGACAAAAATAAAAAGTTATAAGACTTTTAAATATGTGGATTTTAGGGTTATCTTTGGCGCCCCCTAGAACCTAAACCGTGGGGTGCAGCGTCATGATTTGAATAACTTTTAATGGCCATGGGGTGTAGATTGGCCTGAGCAAATGTGGTGCCGGTTGAACGAAAGCCTTCGGAGGAGTTAGCGAAATTCCAATGTGTGCGGATCGGCAAAAAATGCGCAATAACCCTTTAACCGTACATTTGACAGATACGCCCGCACTGACTTTTTTTGTAGATCTTATTGAGATACATGTGTGTGTCAATTTTTGTGTAATTTTGACAAAGCGTACAGGCGTGACAGTCAATAGTGTGAATTTTCACCTTATGGAACAAGAAAAAATGGACTTTTTTCTCCTGCCATGGGGGGGCGCTCTTTTGGGGAGTAAAAATTCCTTCACAAATGTGTTGATGGCTGGACATTGCATCATCCTAGAAAACTTGGAGGCCAGTGAGGGCAAAAATAAAAAGTTATAAGACTTTGAAATATGTGGATTTTAGGGTTATCTTTGGCGCCCCCTAGAACATAAACCGTGGGGTGCAGCGTCATGATTTGAATAACTTTTAATGGCCATGGGGTGTAGATTGGCCTGAGCAAATGTGGTGCCGGTGGAACGAAAGCCTTCGGAGGAGTTAGCGAAATTCCAATGTGTGCGGATCGGCAAAAAATGCGAAATAACCCTTTAACCGTACATTTGACAGATACGCCCGCACTGACTTTTTTGTAGATCTTATTGAGATACATGTGTGTGTCAATTTTTGTGTCATTTTGACAAAGCGTACAGGCGTCAGGTGAATTTTTCACCTTAGGGGGCGCTATGGAGCCATTTTGCATTGTATTGTTTGGGCGACTTCAGAATATCAAATTTTTCACCAGGCCCGGTCGTCCTGCCAAATTTCATGAGTTTTCGCCAGTGGGAAGTGGGCCATTTTCCAGTTCAAAGGGGAGGAAAAAGAAAAAAGAAACAAAGAAAAACCACTTGGGGAATAATAGGGCTCTCGCAGCTGCTTAGCAGCTACGCTCGGGCCCTAATAATAACAAACTAGGACCCCGGTGGGGCACTGTCGGGCCCGAGCCGCGTTGCGCCGCCCCCAGCGCGACCGCCTACCCCTCCCGATCGCGTCACACTCAAGGTCCAAAGATGGTGTGCGCACTTGTCTGTGGTCATTTCCCATTATAATGAATGGGAGGCGCAGTTTCTACCAAAACACTCGCTGCAGACAAACTACATGTCCTATTTGAAAAAAGTCTGGACCATGAGTGAGGGCACAAACACAGCTAGGATATATCCAAACGGCAAGTTGCTCCTCGTTACGGTGTTGCCGGGAGAGTGATGCGAATGAGCCATTGAGTGATGGGCAGGAAAAACTTGACTGTTTCTCCTGCCATGGGGGATGGGGGATGGGGGGGGATGTGGATTCTTTTAAGAATGTGGATATTTGGGTCATCTTTGGCGCCCCCTAGAACGTAAACCGTGGGGTGCAGCGTCATGATTTTTACAACTTTGAATGGCCATGGGGTGTAGATTGGCCTGAGCAAATTTGGTGTCAGTGGGACGAAAGCCTTAGGAGGAGTTAGCCACATTCCAATGTGTGCGAATCGGCAAAAAATGCAAAATAGCCCTTTAACCGTACATTTTACAGATACGCGCGCATAGACTTTTTCGTAGATCTGATTGAGATACATGTGATTGTCAAATTTTGTGTCAATATGACAAAGCGTATAGGCGTGAATCTCAACAATATGTATTTTCACCTTAGGGGACAAGAAAAAATGGACTTTTTTCTCCTGCCATGGGGGGGCGCTCTTTTGGGGAGTAAAAATTCCTTCACAAATGTGTTGATGGCTGGACATTGCATCATCCTAGAAAACTTGGAGGCCAGTGAGGACAAAAATAAAAAGTTATAAGACTTTTAAATATGTGGATTTTAGGGTTATCTTTGGCGCCCCCTAGAACCTAAACCGTGGGGTGCAGCGTCATGATTTTGATAACTTTTAATGGCCACGGGGTGTAGATTGGCCTGAGCAAATGTGGTGCCGGTGGAACGAAAGCCTTCGGAGGAGTTAGCGAAATTCCAATGTGTGTGGATCGGCAAAAAATGCAAAATAACCCTTTAACCGTACATTTGACAGATACGCGCGCATTGACTTTTTCGTAGATCTTATTGAGTTACATGTGTGTGTCAATTTTTGTGTCATTTTGACAAAGCGTATAGGCGTGACACTCAACAATGTGTATTTTCACCTTAGGGGACAAGAAAAAATGGACTTTTTTCTCCTGCCATGGGGGGGCGCTCTTTTGGGGAGTAAAAATTCCTTCACAAATGTGTTGATGGCTGGACATTGCATCATCCTAGAAAACTTGGAGGCCAGTGAGGACAAAAATAAAAAGTTATAAGACTTTTAAATATGTGGATTTTAGTGTTATCTTTGGCGCCCCCTAGAACCTAAACCTTGGGGTGCAGCGTCATGATTTTGATAACTTTTAATGGCCACGGGGTGTAGATTGGCCTGAGCAAATGTGGTGCCGGTGGAACGAAAGCCTTCGGAGGAGTTAGCGAAATTCCAATGTGTGCGGATCGGCAAAAAATGCGAAATAACCCTTTAACCGTAATTTTGACAGATACGGCCGCACTGACTTTTTTGTAGATCTTATTGAGATACATATGTGTGTCAATTTTTGTGTCAATATGACAAAGCGTACAGGCGTGACAGTCAATAGTGTGAATTTCCACCTTAGGGGGCGCTATGGAGCCATTTTGCATTTTATTGTTTGGGCGACTTCAGAATATCGAATTTTTCACCAGGCCCGGTCGTCCTGCCAAATTTCATGAGTTTTCGCCAGTGGGAAGTGGGCCATTTTCCAGTTCAAAGGGGAGGAAAAAGAAAAAAGAAAGAAAGAAACAAAGAAAAACCACTTGGGGAATAATAGGGCCTACGCCCGGCTGCTCTGCAGCTGGCTCGGGCCCTAAAGAAGAATCCATCAGGAACAAGAGGGCTCTCGCAGCTGCTTAGCAGCTACGCTCGGGCCCTAATAACTAGGACCCCGTTGGGGCACTGGCGGGCCCGAGCCGTGTCGCCCCCCCCCCCCCCCCCCCCCAACGTGCTGCCTCCCCGTCCCATTTGTGTCCTCTGGCCATCGCCCTCTCTTGTAACGCCCATCGCTGCAAAGACCCTTTTCCTTCATCGGCGTTTGCTGTTCTTCCTGCCAGTGCGTGTTGCTTTCACTTACACTTGCCACAGCCAGCCTCGTGAGTGCCTAGCCTATTCGATATCACTGTCACCTACACAGGACAGTCATTACCTTTCTATTAATACTTTGTGTTTTAATTTCACATTAATTTCCATATTGTATAAACGACTGGAAAAAACTTGAGCCCCTGCCCCTGTATAATCATGTGCATGTCTCTGTTCTAGCTCCAAGGTGAATCTTCACTGCTCATGTTCTCCTCAGAAGCACTCACCTCACTCCCCTCAGGTTACTGTACACATGCACCAACTGCCTGCTTCAGGTTTGGATGGAGCTTCATGGTTGTCTTTTGGAGAAATGACCAGTCAAGTTGTGTTTGAAATTTGATTTTTTTTTCAGGGGCAAAAGGAGCCTCTGCATTCTTGTCAAATATGTAAATAGCATGTTTTTGCAGGTGCTAAAAACCAGACTCTGAGTGTGTGTGTGTGTGTGTGTGTGTGTGTGTGTGTGTGTGTGTGTGTGTGTGCGTGTGTGTGTGTGTCTGTGTGTGCGTTCAAGTCACATGACATATTTAACCGGATGTAGCTGCAAGACGGAGCCTCGTTGACTCTCCGTTTCAACTTATCTCAAAAGTGAGGACCTCAACCTATATACCAGTTTTTAAATTGTGTTGATAGGCCAAATAAAACCAGAGTTATGATAAATTATGTCCGCGATACTTTTTTTCTGCTTATTTTGATCACGTTCGGCGCTCGATCGCGCTGTATGAGACAGGAAAACATAGCATGCAGACATTAGCGACAGGTCTTACAGGCGGAAAAGGCTTGCCAAAAGAAAAAAAAAACACACCACAACATCTCTCCTATTGGTGGAAAACTTCACCACAACAACCAATCCAAAATTATATGGTGACTGATTGACAAGGGGAGGGCGCTTACGTTCTTCCTGCAACATGAGAAGGGAGGGAGGGACTCTCAGCAGGGATGCAGTCTGGGACACGTAGTTGCAAACCTAGCGACTTTGTTGTTAGATTCAATGACTTTTCAGACCCCCTAACGACTTTTTTTTAGAAAGAAAGGGACTTTTATCGACTTCTTCTGGAGTTTAGAGACTCTGACATGAAGCAGGCTTTCCTTACTGAGGAGTTAGCAACGCTGCTAAGGGTGCAGAGCCACACATGCGCTCAGAGCTCTGCATGGGAGACTGAAGCTGACAGAGCTGCAGCAGTTAGCAGGTTTCACCCTCAGAGACCACCAGGGGTTCATGTTGAGGCATTTTAATTTTTTTTTTTTTTTTTGTGCCATAGACACTGTCAGCACAATCTGCAGTTACACTAACAAAAATGCTGCAAAAAACAAAGAATTATGGAAAAATTACACATGGACTGACATAGAGGAGGATCTACACAAGTTTTTTACATCATGTTTTACATCATGCATCATTTACATCATGTTTTTTTGTAGTGGCATAAATAAAAAGTGACATTTGTGAGACTATACAGTGTTTTGTAAATAATTTTACAAAGAACGCCTGGGCCATTGCCTGCATTTTGATGTAAATAGAGGTAAATCACTATGTTCTTTGTTAAAAATTTGCATATGTTTTGAAGTTTACAATTTTTATTTGAAGTTTAAGTTTTAAAAACAGTTCATCACACATATTTGTGGTTTTCACAGTAAAAATGTTACTTTTTTCCACTCGGATTTTATGTTTTGTGTGTGAATTTGGGTCCATTGTGTAAATTCAGTATGTCAACATGATAAAATAACTGTAAATTCGCACAGGTGAGGTTGTGCTGAAAAAAATGATACCAGGCAAGGCACGTGATTGTCAAATTTTGTGTCATTATGACAAAGCGTATAGGCGTGAATCTCAACAATATGTATTTTCACCTTAGGGGACAAGAAAAAATGGACTTTTTTCTCCTGCCATGGGGGGGGGCGCTCTTTTGGGGAGTAAAAATTCCTTCACAAATGTGTTGATGGCTGGACATTGCATCATCCTAGAAAACTTGGAGGCCAGTGAGGACAAAAATAAAAAGTTATAAGACTTTTAAATATGTGGATTTTAGGGTTGTCTTTGGCGCCCCCTAGAACCTAAACCGTGGGGTGCAGCGTCATGATTTGAATAACTTTTAATGGCCATGGGGTGTAGATTGGCCTGAGCAAATGTGGTGCCGGTGGAACGAAAGCCTTAGGAGGAGTTAGCCACATTCCAATGTGTGCGGATTGGCAAAAAATGCGGAATAACCCTTTAACCGTACATTTGACAGATACGCGCGCATTGACTTTTTCGTAGATCTTATTGAGATACATGTGTGTGTCAATTTTTGTGTCATTTTGACAAAGCGTATAGGCGTGACACTCAACAATGTGTATTTTCACCTTAGGGGACAAGAAAAAATGGACTTTTTTCTCCTGCCATGGGGGGGCGCTCTTTTGGGGAGTAAAAATTCCTTCACAAATGTGTTGATGGCTGGACATTGCATCATCCTAGAAAACTTGGAGGCCAGTGAGGACAAAAATAAAAAGTTATAAGACTTTTAAATATGTGGATTTTAGTGTTATCTTTGGCGCCCCCTAGAACCTAAACCTTGGGGTGCAGCGTCATGATTTTGATAACTTTTAATGGCCATGGGGTGTAGATTGGCCTGAGCAAATGTGGTGCCGGTGGAACGAAAGCCTTCGGAGGAGTTAGCGAAATTCCAATGTGTGCAGATCGGCAAAAAATGCGTAATAACCCTTTAACCGTAATTTTGACAGATACGGCCCACTGACTTTTTTGTAGATCTTATTGAGATACATATGTGTGTCAATTTTTGTGTCATTTTGACAAAGCGTACAGTCGTGACAGTGAATAGTGTGAATTTTCACCTTAGGGGGCGCTATGGAGCCATTTTGCATTTTATTGTTTTGGCGACTTCAGAATATCAAATTTTTCACCAGGCCCGGTCGTCCTGCCAAATTTCATGAGTTTTCGCCAGTGGGAAGTGGGCCATTTTCCAGTTCAAAGGGGAGGAAAAAGAAAAAAGAAAGAAAGAAACAAAGAAAAACCACTTGGGGAATAATAGGGCCTACGCCCGGCTGCTCTGCAGCTGGCTCGGGCCCTAACAAAAGAAGGAAACTACAGGAACAAGAGGGCTCTCGCAGCTGCTTAGCAGCTACGCTCGGGCCCTAAAGAAAGAAAGAAAGAAAGAAAGAAACAAAGAAAAACCACTTGGGGAATAATAGGGCCTACGCCCGGCTGCTCTGCAGCTGGCTCGGGCCCTAACTAGGACCCCGTTGGGGCACTGGCGGGCCCGAGCCGTGTCCCCCCCCCCCCCCCCCCAACGTGCTGCCTCCCCGTCCCATTTGTGTCCTCTGGCCATCGCCCTCTCTGGTAACGCCCATCACTGCAAAGACCCTTTTCCTTCATCGGCGTTTGCTGTTCTTCCTGCCAGTGCGTGTTGCTTTCACTTACACTTGCCACAGCCAGCCTCGTGAGTGCCTAGCCTATTGGATATCACTGTCACCTACACAGGACAGTCATTACCTTTCTATTAATACTTTGTGTTTTAATTTCACATTAATTTCCATATTGTATAAACGACTGGAAAAAACTTGAGCCCCTGCCCCTGTATAATCATGTGCATGTCTCTGTTCTAGCTCCAAGGTGAATCTTCACTGCTCATGTTCTCCTCAGAAGCACTCACCTCACTCCCCTCAGGTTACTGTACACATGCACCAACTGCCTGCTTCAGGTTTGGATGGAGCTTCATGGTTGTCTTTTGGAGAAATGACCAGTCAAGTTGTGTTTGAAATTTGATTTTTTTCAGGGGCAAAAGGAGCCTCTGCATTCTTGTCAAATATGTAAATAGCATGTTTTTGCAGGTGCTAAAAACCAGACTCTGAGTGTGTGTGTGTGTGTGTGTGTGTGTGTGTGTGTGTGTGTGTGCGTGTGTGCGTGTCTGTGTGTGCGTTCAAGTCACATGACATATTTAACCGGATGTAGCTGCAAGACGGAGCCTCGTTGACTCTCCGTTTCAACTTATCTCAAAAGTGAGGACCTCAAACTATATACCAGTTTTTAAATTGTGTTGATAGGCCAAATAAAACCAGAGTTATGATAAATTATGTCCGCGATACTTTTTTTCTGCTTATTTTGATCACGTTCGGCGCTCGATCGCGCTGTATGAGACAGGAAAACATAGCATGCAGACATTAGCGACAGGTCTTACAGGCGGAAAAGGCTTGCCAAAAGAAAAAAAAAAACACACCACAACATCTCTCCTATTGGTGGAAAACTTCAACACAACAACCAATCCAAAATTATATGGTGACTGATTGACAAGGGGCGGGCGCTTACGTTCTTCCTGCAACATGAGAAGGGAGGGAGGGACTCTCAGCAGGGATGCAGTCTGGGACACGTAGTTGCAAACCTAGCGACTTTGTTGTTAGATTCAATGACTTTTCAGACCCCCTAACGACTTTTTTTTAGAAAGAAAGGGACTTTTATCGACTTCTTCTGGAGTTTAGAGACTCTGACATGAAGCAGGCTTTCCTTACTGAGGAGTTAGCAACGCTGCTAAGGGTGCAGAGCCACACATGCGCTCAGAGCTCTGCATGGGAGACTGAAGCTGACAGAGCTGCAGCAGTTAGCAGGTTTCACCCTCAGAGACCACCAGGGGTTCATGTTGAGGCATTTTAATTTTTTTTTTTTTTTTGTGCCATAGACACTGTCAGCACAATCTGCAGTTACACTAACAAAAATGCTGCAAAAAACAAAGAATTATGGAAAAATTACACATGGACTGACATAGAGGAGGATCTACACAAGTTTTTTACATCATGTTTTACATCATGCATCATTTACATCATGTTTTTTTGTAGTGGCATAAATAAAACGTGACATTTGTGAGACTATACAGTGTTTTGTAAATAATTTTACAAAGAACGCCTGGGCCATTGCCTGCATTTTGATGTAAATAGAGGTAAATCACTATGTTCTTTGTTAAAAATTTGCATATGTTTTGAAGTTTACAATTTTTATTTGAAGTTTAAGTTTTAAAAACAGTTCATCACACATATTTGTGGTTTTCACAGTAAAAATGTTACTTTTTTCCACTCGGATTTTATGTTTTGTGTGTGAATTTGGGTCCATTGTGTAAATTCAGTATGTCAACATGATAAAATAACTGTAAATTCGCACAGGTGAGGTTGTGCTGAAAAAAAATGATACCAGGCAAGGCACGTGATTGTCAAATTTTGTGTCAATATGACAAAGCGTATAGGCGTGAATCTCAACAATATGTATTTTCACCTTAGGGGACAAGAAAAAATGGACTTTTTTCTCCTGTCATGGGGGGGCGCGCTTTTGGGGAGTAAAAATTCCTTCACAAATGTGTTGATGGCTGGACATTGCATCATCCTAGAAAACTTGGAGGCCAGTGAGGACAAAAATAAAAAGTTATAAGACTTTTAAATATGTGGATTTTAGTGTTATCTTTGGCGCCCCCTAGAACCTAAACCTTGGGGTGCAGCGTCATGATTTTGATAACTTTTAATGGCCACGGGGTGTAGATTGGCCTGAGCAAATGTGGTGCCGGTGGAACGAAAGCCTTCGGAGGAGTTAGCGAAATTCCAATGTGTGCGGATCGGAAAAAAATGCGAAATAACCCTTTAACCGTACATTTGACAGATACGGCCGCACTGACTTTTTTGTAGATCTTATTGAGATACATATGTGTGTCAATTTTTGTGTCAATATGACAAAGCGTACAGGCGTGACAGTCAATAGTGTGAATTTCCACCTTAGGGGGCGCTATGGAGCCATTATGCATTTAATTGTTTGGGCGACTTCAGAATATCGAATTTTTCACCAGGCCCGGTCGTCCTGCCAAATTTCATGAGTTTTCGCCAGTGGGAAGTGGGCCATTTTCCAGTTCAAAGGGGAGGAAAAAGAAGAAAGAAAGAAAGAACTAGGGCCCCGTTGGGGCACTGGCGGGCCCGAGCCGTGTCACGCCGCCCCCAGCGCGACCGCCTCCCCCACCCGATCGCGTCACACTCAAGGTCCAAAGATGGTGTGCGCACTTGTTTGTGGTCATTTACCATTATAATGAACGGGAGGCGCAGTTTCTACCAAAGCGCTCGCTGCAGAAAAACTCCATGTCCTATTTGAAAAAAGTCTGGACCATGAGTGAGGGCACAAACACAGCTAAGATATATCCAAATGGCAAGTTGCTCCTCCTTTCGCTTTTGCCGAGAGAGCAGTGCGTTTGAGCCATTGAATGATGAACAGGAAAAACTTGACTTTATTCTCCTGCCATGGGGGGGCGCTCTTTTGGCGAGTAAAAATTCCTTCACAAATGTGTTGATGGCTGGACATTGCATCATCCTAGAAAACATGGAGGCCAGTGAGGACAAAAATAAAAAGTTATAAGACTTTTAAATATGTGGATTTTAGGGTTATCTTTGGCGCCCCCTAGAACCTAAACCGTGGGGTGCAGCGTCATGATTTGAATAACTTTTAATGGCCATGGGGTGTAGATTGGCCTGAGCAAATGTGGTGCCGGTGGAACAAAAGCCTTCGGAGGAGTTAGCGAAATTCCAATGTGTGCGAATCTGCAAAAAATGCAAAATAACCCTTTAACCGTACATTTTACAGATACGTGGCCATTGACTTTTTCGAAGATCTTATTGAAATACACGTGTATGTAAAATTTTGTGTCAATACGACAAAACATACAGGCGTAGCACTCAACAATGTGTATTTTCACCTTAGTGGACAAGAAAAAATGGACTTTTTTCTCCTGCCATGGGGGGGCGCTCTTTTGGGGAGTAAAAATTCCTTCACAAATGTGTTGATGGCTGGACATTGCATCATCCTAGAAAACTTGGAGGCCAGTGGGGACAAAAATAAAAAGTTATAAGACTTTTAAATATGTGGATTTTACGGTTATCTTTGGCGCCCCCTAGAACCTAAACCGTGGGGTGCAGCGTCATGATTTGAATAACTTTTAATGGCCATGGGGTGTAGATTGGCCTGAGCAAATGTGGTGCCGGTGGAACGAAAGCCTTCGGAGGAGTTAGCGAAATTCCAATGTGTGCGGATCGGCAAAAAATGCAAAATAACCCTTTAACCGTACATTTGACAGATACGCCCGCACTGACTTTTTTGTAGATCTTATTGAGATACATGTGTGTGTCAATTTTTGTGTCATTTTGACAAAGCGTACAGGCGTGACAGTGAATAGTGTGAATTTTCACCTTAGGGGGCGCTATGGAGCCATTTTGCATTTTCTTGTTTGGGCGACTTCGGAATATCAAATTTTTCACCAGGCCCGGTCGTCCTGCCAAATTTCATGAGTTTTTGCCAGTGGGAAGTGGGCCATTTTCCAGTTCAAAGGGGAGGAAAAATAATAATAATAATAATAATAACAAAAGAAGGAAACTACAGGAACAAGAGGGCTCTCGCAGCTGCTTAGCAGCTACGCTCGGGCCCTAACTAGGACCCCGTTGGGGCACTGGCGGGCCCGAGCCATGTCGCGTCCCCCCCCCCCCCCCCAACGTGCTGCCTCCCCGTCCCATTTGTGTCCTCTGGCCATCGCCCTCTCTGGTAACGCCCATCACTGCAAAGACCCTTTTCCTTCATCGGCGTTTGCTGTTCTTCCTGCCAGTGCGTGTTGCTTTCACTTACACTTGCCACAGCCAGCCTCGTGAGTGCCTAGCCTATTGGATATCACTGTCACCTACACAGGACAGTCATTACCTTTCTATTAATACTTTGTGTTTTAATTTCACATTAATTTCCATATTGTATAAACGACTGGAAAAAACTTGAGCCCCTGCCCCTGTATAATCATGTGCATGTCTCTGTTCTAGCTCCAAGGTGAATCTTCACTGCTCATGTTCTCCTCAGAAGCACTCACCTCACTCCCCTCAGGTTACTGTACACATGCACCAACTGCCTGCTTCAGGTTTGGATGGAGCTTCATGGTTGTCTTTTGGAGAAATGACCAGTCAAGTTGTGTTTGAAATTTGATTTTTTTCAGGGGCAAAAGGAGCCTCTGCATTCTTGTCAAATATGTAAATAGCATGTTTTTGCAGGTGCTAAAAACCAGACTCTGAGTGTGTGTGTGTGTGTGTGTGTGTGTGTGTGTGTGTGTGTGTGTGTGCGTGTGTGTGTGTCTGTGTGTGCGTTCAAGTCACATGACATATTTAACCGGATGTAGCTGCAAGACGGAGCCTCGTTGACTCTCCGTTTCAACTTATCTCAAAAGTGAGGACCTCAACCTATATACCAGTTTTTAAATTGTGTTGATAGGCCAAATAAAACCAGAGTTATGATAAATTATGTCCGCGATACTTTTTTTCTGCTTATTTTGATCACGTTCGGCGCTCGATCGCGCTGTATGAGACAGGAAAACATAGCATGCAGACATTAGCGACAGGTCTTACAGGCGGAAAAGGCTTGCCAAAGGAAAAAAAAAACACACCACAACATCTCTCCTATTGGTGGAAAACTTCACCACAACAACCAATCCAAAATTATATGGTGACTGATTGACAAGGGGCGGGCGCTTACGTTCTTCCTGCAACATGAGAAGGGAGGGAGGGACTCTCAGCAGGGATGCAGTCTGGGACACGTAGTTGCAAACCTAGCGACTTTGTTGTTAGATTCAATGACTTTTCAGACCCCCTAACGACTTTTTTTTAGAAAGAAAGGGACTTTTATCGACTTCTTCTGGAGTTTAGAGACTCTGACATGAAGCAGGCTTTCCTTACTGAGGAGTTAGCAACGCTGCTAAGGGTGCAGAGCCACACATGCGCTCCGAGCTCTGCATGGGAGACTGAAGCTGACAGAGCTGCAGCAGTTAGCAGGTTTCACCCTCAGAGACCACCAGGGGTTCATGTTGAGGCATTTTAATTTTTTTTTTTTTTTGCCATAGACACTGTCAGCACAATCTGCAGTTACACTAACAAAAATGCTGCAAAAAACAAAGAATTATGGAAAAATTACACATGGACTGACATAGAGGAGGATCTACACAAGTTTTTTACATCATGTTTTACATCATGCATCATTTACATCATGTTTTTTTGTAGTGGCATAAATAAAAAGTGACATTTGTGAGACTATACAGTGTTTTGTAAATAATTTTACAAAGAACGCCTGGGCCATTGCCTGCATTTTGATGTAAATAGAGGTAAATTACTATGTTCTTTGTTAAAAATTTGCATATGTTTTGAAGTTTACAATTTTTATTTGAAGTTTAAGTTTTAAAAACAGTTCATCACACATATTTGTGGTTTAATTTCACATTAATTTCCATATTGTATAAATGACTGGAAAAAACTTGAGCCCCTGCCCCTGTATAATCATGTGCACGTCCCTGTTCTAGCTCCAAGGTGAATCTTCACTGCTCATGTTCTCCTCAGAAATAGTCACCTCACTCCCCTCAGGTTACTGTACACATGCACCAACTATCTGCTTCAGGTTTGAAATGGAGCTTCATGGTTGTCTTTTGGAGAAATGAACAGTCAAGTTGTGTTTGAAATTTGATTTTTTTCAGGGGCAAAAGGAAGCCTCTGCATTCTTGTCAAATATGTAAACAGCATGTTTTTGCAGGTGCTAAAAAACAGACTCTGAGTGTGTGTGTGTGTGTGTGTGTGTGTGTGTGTGTGTGTGTGTGTGTGTGTATGTTGGCGTGTGTGTATATGTGTGTGTATCCTGCAGTACTCTGTACTCCTGCAGTGGCCAAAAAGACTTTTAAGAATGTGGATTTTTGGGTCATCTTTGGCGCCCCCTAGAACTGCAGTACTCTGTACTCCTGCAGTGGCCAAAATGACTTTTAAGAATGTGGATTTTTGGGTCATCTTTGGCGCCCGCTAGAACGTAAACCGTGGGGTGCAGCGTCATGATTTTTACAACTTTGAATGGGCATGGGGTGTAGATTGCCCTGAGCAAATTTGGTATCGGTGGGACGAAAGCCTTAGGAGGAGATAGCCACATTCCAATGTGTGCGAATCGGCAAAAAATGCAAAATAGCCCTTTAACCGTACATTATACAGATACGCGCTCTTTGACTTTTTCGTAGATCTAATTGAGATACACATGATTGTCAATTTTTGTGTCAATATGACAAAGCGTTCAGGCGTGACACTCAACAATGTGTATTTTTATGTAAGGGGACAAGAAAAAATTGACTTTTTTCTCCTACCATGGGGGGGCGCTCTTTTGGGGAGTAAAAATTCCTTCACAAATGTGTTGATGGCTGGACATTGCATCATCCTAGAAAACTTGGAGGCCAGTGAGGACAAAAATAAAAAGTTATAAAACATTTAAGAATGTGGATTTTTGGGTTATTTTTGGCGCCCCCTAGAACCTAAACCATGGGGTGCAGCATCATGATTTGAATAACTTTTAATGGCCATGGGGTGTAGATTGGCCTGAGCAAATGTGGTGCCGGTGGAACGAAAGCCTTCGGAGGAGTTAGCGAAATTCCAATGTGTGCGGATCGGCAAAAAATGCGGAATAACCCTTTAACTGTACATTTGACAGATACGCGCGCATGGACTTTTTTGTAGATCTTATTGAGTTACATGTGTGTGTCAATTTTTGTGTCATTTTGACAAAGCGTATAGGCGTGACACTCAACAATGTGTATTTTCACCTTAGGGGACAAGAAAAAATGGACTTTTTTCTCCTGCCATGGGGGGGCGCTCTTTTGGGGAGTAAAAATTCCTTCACAAATGTGTTGATGGCTGGACATTGCATCATCCTAGAAAACTTGGAGGCCAGTGAGGACAAAAATAAAAAGTTATAAGACTTTTAAATATGTGGATTTTAGTGTTATCTTTGGCGCCCCCTAGAACCTAAACCTTGGGGTGCAGCGTCATGATTTTGATAACTTTTAATGGCCACGGGGTGTAGATTGGCCTGAGCAAATGTGGTGCCGGTGGAACGAAAGCCTTCGGAGGAGTTAGCGAAATTCCAATGTGTGCGGATCGGCAAAAAATGCGAAATAACCCTTTAACCGTAATTTTGACAGATACGGCCGCACTGACTTTTTTGTAGATCTTATTGAGATACATGTGTGTGTCAATTTTTGTGTCAATATGACAAAGCGTACAGGCGTGACAGTCAATAGTGTGAATTTCCACCTTAGGGGGCGCTATGGAGCCATTTTGCATTTTATTGTTTTGGCGACTTCAGAATATCGAATTTTTCACCAGGCCCGGTCGTCCTGCCAAATTTCATGAGTTTTCGCCAGTGGGAAGTGGGCCATTTTCCAGTTCAAAGGGGAGGAAAAAGAAAAAAGAAAGAAAGAAACAAAGACTAGGACCCCGTTGGGGCACTGGCGGGCCCGAGCTGTGTCGCGTCCCCCCCCCAACGCGCTGCCTCCCCGTCCCATTTGTGTCCTCTGGCCATCGCCCTCTCTGGTAACGCCCATCACTGCAAAGACCCTTTTCCTTCATCGGCGTTTGCTGTTCTTCCTGCCAGTGCGTGTTGCTTTCACTTACACTTGCCACAGCCAGCCTCGTGAGTGCCTAGCCTATTGGATATCACTGTCACCTACACAGGACAGTCATTACCTTTCTATTAATACTTTGTTTTTTAATTTCACATTAATTTCCATATTGTATAAACAACTGGAAAAAACTTGAGCCCCTGCCCCTGTATAATCATGTGCACGTCTCTGTTCTAGCTCTAAGGTGAATCTTCACTGCTCATGTTCTCCTCAGAAGCAGTCACCTCACTCCCCTCAGGTTACTGTACACATGCACCAACTGCCCGCTTCAGGTTTGGATGGAGCTTCATGGTTGTCTTTTGGAGAAATGACCAGTCAAGTTGTGTTTGAAATTTGATTTTTTTCAGGGGCAAAAGGAGCCTCTGCATTCTTGTCAAATATGTAACTAGCATGTTTTTGCAGGTGCTAAAAACCAGACTCTGAGTGTGTGTGTGTGCGTGTGTGTGTGTCTGTGTGTGTGTGTGTGTGTGTGTGTGTGTGTGTGTGTGTGTGTGTGCGTTCAAGTCACATGACATATTTAACCGGATGTAGCTGCAAGACGGAGCCTCGTTGACTCTCCGATTCAATTTATCTCAAAAGTGAGGACCTCAACCTATATACCAGTTTTTAAATTGTGTTGATAGGCCAAATAAAACCAGAGTTATGATAAATTATGTCCACGATACTTGTTTTCTGCTTATTTTGATCACGTTCGGCGCTCGATCGCGTTGTATGAGACAGGAAAACATAGCATGCAGACATTAGCGACAGGTCTTACAGGCGGAAAAGGCTTGCCAAAGGAAAAAAAAAAACACACCACAACATCTCTCCTATTGGTGGAAAACTTCACCACAACAACCAATCCAAAATTATATGGTGACTGATTGACAAGGGGCGGGAACTTACGTTCTTCCTGCAATATGAGAAGGGAGGGAGGGACTCTCAGCAGGGATGCAGTCTGGGACACGTAGTTGCAAACCTAGCGACTTTGTTGTTAGATTCAATGACTTTTCAGACCCCCTAACGACTTTTTTTTAGAAAGAAAGTGACTTTTATCGACTTCTTCTGGAGTTTAGAGACTCTGACATGAAGCAGGCTTTCCTTACTGAGGAGTTAGCAACGCTGCTAAGGGTGCAGAGCCACACATGCGCTCCGAGCTCTGCATGGGAGACTGAAGCTGACAGAGCTGCAGCAGTTAGCAGGTTTCACCCTCAGAGACCACCAGGGGTTCATGTTGAGGCATTTTCAGTTTTTTTTTTTTTTTTTGCCATAGACACTGTCAGCACAATCTGCAGTTACACTAACAAAAATGCTGCAAAAAACAAAGAATTATGGAAAAATTACACATGGACTAACATAGAGGAGGATCTACACATGTTTTTTACATCATGTTTTACATCATGCATCATTTACATCATGTTTTTTGGTAGTGGCATAAATAAAAAGTGACATTTGTGGGACTATACAGTGTTTTGTAAATAATTTTACAAAGAACACCTGGGCCATTGCCTGCATTTTGATGTAAATAGAGGTAAATTACTATGTTCTTTGTTAAAAATTTGCATATGTTTTGAAGTTTACAATTTTTATTTGAAGTTTAAGTTTTAAAAACAGTTCATCACACATATTTGTGGTTTTCACAGTAAAAACGTTACTTTTTTCCACTCGGATTTTATGTTTTGTGTGTGAATTTGGGTCCAATGTGTAAATATAGTATGTCAAAATGATAAAATAACTGTAAATTGACACAGGTGAGGTTGTGCTGAAAAAAATGATACCAGGCAAGGCAAGGTAAAAATTTTGTAAGAGGAAATATAAAGGTAAAATCTAAAGTAGTCAAAAACGGCCAATAGTGACTCACAGACTCCACAGACAAGTCCCTTTGGCGCCACTCAGTGGGCAAAACTACTTTGTCTACTGTAATGTATATTTGGGTCATCTTTGGCGCCCCCTAAAACGTAAACCGTGGGGTGCAGCGTCATGATTTTTACAACTTTGAATGGCCATGGAGTGTAGATTGGCCTGAGCAAATTTGGTGTCAGTGGGACGAAAGCCTTAGGAGGAGTTAGCGAAATTCCAATGTGTGCGAATCGGCAAAAAATGCAAAATAGCCCTTTTACCGTACATTATACAGATACGCGCTCTTTGACTTTTTCGTAGATCTAATTGAGATACACATGATTGTCAATTTTTGTGTCATTTTGCCAAAGCGTACAGGCGTGACAGTCAACAATGTGTATTTTCACCTTAGGGGACAAGAAAAAATGGACTTTTTTCTCCTGCCATGGGGGGGCGCTCTTTTGGGGAGTAAAAATTTCTTCACAAATGTGTTGATGGCTGGACATTGCATCATCCTAGAAAACTTGGAGGCCAGTGAGGACAAAAATAAAAAGTTATAAGACTTTTAAAAATGTGGATTTTTGGGTTATCTTTGGCGCCCCCTAGAACGTAAACCGTGGGGTGCAGCGTCATGATTTGAATAACTTTTAATGGCCATGGGGTGTAATTTGGCCTGAGCAAATGTGGTGCCGGTGGAACGAAAGCCTTCGGAGGAGTTAGCGAAATTCCAATGTGTGCGAATCGGCAAAAAATGCGGAATAACCCTTTAACCGTACATTAGACAGATACGCGCGCATGGACTTTTTTGTAGATCTTATTGAGATACATGTGTGTGTCAATTTTTGTGTCATTTTGACAAAGCGTACAGGCGTGACACTCAACAATGTGTATTTTCACCTTAGGGGACAAGAAAAAAATTGACTTTTTTCTCCTGCCATGGGGGGGCGCTCTTTTGGGGAGTAAAAATTCCTTCACAAATGTGTTGATGGCTGGACATTGCATCATCCTAGAAAACTTGGAGGCCAGTGAGGGCAAAAATAAAAAGTTATAAGACTTTTAAAAATGTGGATTTTAGGGTTATCTTTGGCGCCCCCTAGAACCTAAACCGTGGGGTGCAGCGTCATGATTTGAATAACTTTTAATGGCCATGGGGTGTAGATTGGCCTGAGCAAATGTGGTGCCGGTGGAACGAAAGCCTTCGGAGGAGTTAGCGAAATTCCAATGTGTGCGGATCGGCAAAAAATGCGAAATAACCCTTTAACCGTACATTTGACAGATACGCCCGCACTGACTTTTTTGTAGATCTTATTGAGATACATGTGTGTGTCAATTTTTGTGTCATTTTGACAAAGCGTACAGGCGTGACAGTCAATAGTGTGAATTTTCACCTTAGGGGGCGCTATGGAGCCATTTTGCATTTTCTTGTTTGGGCGACTTCGGAATATCAAATTTTTCACCAGGCCCGGTCGTCCTGCCAAATTTCCTGAGTTTTCGCCAGTGGGAAGTGGGCCATTTTCCAGTTCAAAGGGGAGGAAAAAGAAGAAAGAAAGAAACAAAGAAAAACCCCTACAGGAATAACAGGGCCTACGCCCGGCTGCTCTGCAGCTGGCTCGGGCCCTAAAAAACCACTTGGGGAATAATAGGGCCTACGCCTGGCTGCTCTGCAGCTGGCTCGGGCCCTAACTAGGACCCCGGTGGGGCACTGTCGGGCCCGAGCCGCGTTGCGCCGCCCCCAGCGCGACCGCCTCCCCCTCCCGATCGCGTCACACTCAAGGTCCAAAGATGGTGTGCGCACTTGTCTGTGGTCATTTCCCATTATAATGAATGGGAGGCGCAGTTTCTACCAAAACACTCGCTGCAGACAAACTTCATGTCCTATTTGAAAAAAGTCTGGACCATGAGTGAGGGCACAAACACAGCTGGGATATATCCAAATGGCAGGTTGCTCCTCGTTACGGTGTTGCCTGGAGAGCGATGCGATTGAGCCATTGAGCGATGGGCAGGAAAAACTTGACTTTTTCTCCTGCCATGGGGGGGGAGAATGTGGATTCTTTTAAGAATGTGGATTTTTTGGTCATCTTTGGCGCCCCCTAGAACGTAAACCGTGGGGTGCAGCGTCATGATTTTTACAACTTTGAATGGCCATGGGGTATAGATTGGCCTGAGCAAATTTGGTTTCAGTGGGACGAAAGCCTTAGGAGGAGTTAGCCACATTCCAATGTGTGCGAATCGGCAAAAAATGCAAAATAGCCCTCTAACCATACATTTGACAGATACGCACCCATTGACTTTTTCGTAGATCTTATTGAGATACACGTGATTGTCAAATTTTGTGTCAATATGACAAAGCGTACAGGTGTCACACTCAACAATGTGAATTTTCACCTTACGGGACAAGAAAAAATTGACTTTTTTCTCCTGCCATGGGGGGGGCGCTCTTTTGGGGAGTAAAAATTCCTTCACAAATGTGTTGATGGCTGGACATTGCATCATCCTAGAAAACTTGGAGGCCAGTGAGGACAAAAATAAAAAGTTATAAGACTTTGAAATATGTGGATTTTAGGGTTATCTTTGGCGCCCCCTAGAACCTAAACCGTGGGGTGCAGCATCATGATTTGAATAACTTTTAATGGCCATGGGGTGTAGATTGGCCTGAGCAAATGTGGTGCCGGTGGAACGCCAGCCTTAGGAGGAGTTAGCGAAATTCCAATGTGTGCGGATCAGCAAAAAATGCGGAATAACCCTTTAACCGTACATTTGACAGATACGCGCGCATTGACTTTTTCGTAGATCTTATTGAGATACATGTGTGTGTCAAATTTTGTGTCAATATGACAAAGCGTACAGGCGTGACACTCAACAATGTGTATTTTCACCTTAGGGGACAAGAAAAAATTGACTTTTTTCTCCGGCCATGGGGGGCGCTCTTTTGGGGAGTAAAAATTCCTTCACAAATGTGTTGATGGCTGGACATTGCATCATCCGAGAAAACTTGGAGGCCAGTGAGGGCAAAAATAAAAAGTTATAAGACTTTTAAATATGTGGATTTTAGGGTTATCTTTGGCGCCCCCTAGAACCTAAACCGTGGGGTGCAGCGTCATGATTTGAATAACTTTTAATGGCCATGGGGTGTAGATTGGCCTGAGCAAATGTGGTGCCGGTGGAAAGAAAGCCTTCGGAGGAGTTAGCGAAATTCCAATGTGTGCGGATCGGCAAAAAATGCGAAATAACCCTTTAACCGTACATTTGACAGATACGCCCGCACTGACTTTTTTGTAGATCTTATTGAGATACATGTGTGTGTCAATTTTTGTGTCATTTTGACAAAGCGTACCGGCGTGACAGTGAATAGTGTGAATTTTCACCTTAGGGGGCGCTATGGAGCCATTTTGCATTTTCTTGTTTGGGCGACTTCGGAATATCAAATTTTTCACCAGGCCCGGTCGTCCTGCCAAATTTCATGAGTTTTCGCCAGTGGGAAGTGGGCCATTTTCCAGTTCAAAGGGGAGGAAAAATAATAATAATAATAACTAGGACCCCGTTGGGGCACTGGCGGGCCCGAGCTGTGTCGCGTCCCCCCCCCAACGCGCTGCCTCCCCGTCCCATTTGTGTCCTCTGGCCATCGCCCTCTCTGGTAACGCCCATCACTGCAAAGACCCTTTTCCTTCATCGGCGTTTGCTGTTCTTCCTGCCAGTGCGTGTTGCTTTCACTTACACTTGCCACAGCCAGCCTCGTGAGTGCCTAGCCTATTGGATATCACTGTCACCTACACAGGACAGTCATTACCTTTCTATTAATACTTTGTTTTTTAATTTCACATTAATTTCCATATTGTATAAACAACTGGAAAAAACTTGAGCCCCTGCCCCTGTATAATCATGTGCACGTCTCTGTTCTAGCTCTAAGGTGAATCTTCACTGCTCATGTTCTCCTCAGAAGCAGTCACCTCACTCCCCTCAGGTTACTGTACACATGCACCAACTGCCTGCTTCAGGTTTGGATGGAGCTTCATGGTTGTCTTTTGGAGAAATGACCAGTCAAGTTGTGTTTGAAATTTGATTTTTTTCAGGGGCAAAAGGAGCCTCTGCATTCTTGTCAAATATGTAAATAGCATGTTTTTGCAGGTGCTAAAAACCAGACTCTGAGTGTGTGTGTGTGCGTGTGTGTGTGTGTCTGTGTGTGTGTGTGTGTGTGTGTTCAAGTCACATGACATATTTAACCGGATGTAGCTGCAAGACGGAGCCTCGTTGACTCTCCGTTTCAACTTATCTCAAAAGTGAGGACCTCAACCTATATACCAGTTTTTAAATTGTGTTGATAGGCCAAATAAAACCAGAGTTATGATAAATTATGTCCGCGATACTTGTTTTCTGCTTATTTTGATCACGTTCGGCGCTCGATCGCGCTGTATGAGACAGGAAAACATAGCATGCAGACATTAGCGACAGCTCTTACAGGCGGAAAAGGCTTGCCAAAGGAAAAAAAAAACACACCACAACATCTCTCCTATTGGTGGAAAACTTCACCACAACAACCAATCCAAAATTATATGGTGACTGATTGACAAGGGGCGGGCGCTTACGTTCTTCCTGCAATATGAGAAGGGAGGGAGGGACTCTCAGCAGGGATGCAGTCTGGGACACGTAGTTGCAAACCTAGCGACTTTGTTGTTAGATTCAATGACTTTTCAGACCCCCTAACGACGTTTTTTTAGAAAGAAAGTGACTTTTATCGACTTCTTCTGGAGTTTAGAGACTCTGACATGAAGCAGGCTTTCCTTACTGAGGAGTTAGCAACGCTGCTAAGGGTGCAGAGCCACACATGCGCTCCGAGCTCTGCATGGGAGACTGAAGCTGACAGAGCTGCAGCAGTTAGCAGGTTTCACCCTCAGAGACCACCAGGGGTTCATGTTGAGGCATTTTCAGTTTTTTTTTTTTTTTTGCCATAGACACTGTCAGCACAATCTGCAGTTACACTAACAAAAATGCTGCAAAAAACAAAGAATTATGGAAAAATTACACATGGACTGACATAGAGGAGGATCTACACAAGTTTTTTACATCATGTTTTACATCATGCATCATTTACATCATGTTTTTTTGTAGTGGCATAAATAAAAAGTGACATTTGTGAGACTATACAGTGTTTTGTAAATAATTTTACAAAGAACGCCTGGGCCATTGCCTGCATTTTGATGTAAATAGAGGTAAATTACTATGTTCTTTGTTAAAAATGTGCATATGTTTTGAAGTTTACAATTTTTATTTGAAGTTTAAGTTTTAAAAACAGTTCATCACACATATTTGTGGTTTTCACAGTAAAAACGTTACTTTTTTCCACTCGGATTTTATGTTTTGTGTGTGAATTTGGGTCCAATGTGTAAATATAGTATGTCAAAATGATAAAATAACTGTAAATTGACACAGGTGAGGTTGTGCTGAAAACAATGATACCAGGCAAGGCAAGGTAAAAATTTTGTAAGAGGAAATATAAAGGTAAAATCTAAAGTAGTCAAAAACGGCCAATAGTGACTCACAGACTCCACAGACAAGTCCCTTTGGCGCCACTCAGTGGGCAAAACTACTTTGTCTACTGTAATGTATATTTGGGTCATCTTTGGCGCCCCCTAAAACGTAAACCGTGGGGTGCCGCGTCATGATTTTTACAACTTTGAATGGCCATGGAGTGTAGATTGGCCTGAGCAAATTTGGTGTCAGTGGGACGAAAGCCTTAGGAGGAGTTAGCGAAATTCCAATATGTGCGAATCGGCAAAAAATGCAAAATAGCCCTTTTACCGTACATTATACAGATACGCGCTCTTGACTTTTTCGTAGATCTAATTGAGATACACATGATTGTCAATTTTTGTGTCATTTTGCCAAAGCGTACAGGCGTGACAGTCAACAATGTGTATTTTCACCTTAGGGGACAAGAAAAAATGGACTTTTTTCTCCTGCCATGGGGGGCGCTCTTTTAGGGAGTAAAAATTCCTTCACAAATGTGTTGATGGCTGGACATTGCATCATCCTAGAAAACTTGGAGGCCAGTGAGGACAAAAATAAAAAGTTATAAGACTTTTAAAAATTTGGATTTTTGGGTTATCTTTGGCGCCCCCTAGAACGTAAACCGTGGGGTGCAGCGTCATGATTTGAATAACTTTTAATGGCCATGGGGTGTAATTTGGCCTGAGCAAATGTGGTGCCGGTGGAACGAAAGCCTTCGGAGGAGTTAGCGAAATTCCAATGTGTGCGAATCGGCAAAAAATGCGGAATAACCCTTTAACCGTACATTTGACAGATACGCGCCCATTGACTTTTTTGTAGATCTTATTGAGATACATGTGTGTGTCAATTTTTGTGTCATTTTGACAAAGCGTACAGGCGTGACACTCAACAATGTGTATTTTCACCTTAGGGGACAAGAAAAAATGGACTTTTTTCTCCTGCCATGGGGGGGCGCTCTTTTGGGGAGTAAAAATTCCTTCACAAATGTGTTGATGGCTGGACATTGCATCATCCTAGAAAACTTGGAGGCCAGTGAGGACAAAAATAAAAAGTTATAAGACTTTGAAATATGTGGATTTTAGTGTTATCTTTGGCGCCCCCTAGAACCTAAACCGTGGGGTGCAGCGTCATGATTTGAATAACTTTTAATGGCCATGGGGTGTAGATTGGCCTGAGCAAATGTGGTGCCGGTGGAACGAAAGCCTTCGGAGGAGTTAGCGAAATTCCAATGTGTGCGGATCGGCAAAAAATGCGCAATAACCCTTTAACCGTACATTTGACAGATACGCCCGCACTGACTTTTTTGTAGATCTTATTGAGATACATGTGTGTGTCAATTTTTGTGTCATTTTGACAAAGCGTACAGGCGTCAGGTGAATTTATCACCTTAGGGGGCGCTATGGAGCCATTTTGCATTTTCTTGTTTGGGCGACTTCGGAATATCAAATTTTTCACCAGGCCCGGTCGTCCTGCCAAATTTCATGAGTTTTCGCCAGTGGGAAGTGGGCCATTTTCCAGTTCAAAGGGGAGGAAAAAGAAAAAAGAAACAAAGAAAAACCCCTTGGGGAATAATAGGGCTCTCGCAGCTGCTTAGCAGCTACGCTCGGGCCCTAATAATAACAAAAGAAGGAAACTACAGGAACAAGAGGGCTCTCGCAGCTGCTTAGCAGCTACGCTCGGGCCCTAACTAGGGCCCCGTTGGGGCACTGGCGGGCCCGAGCCGTGTCGCGCCGCCCCCCCCCCAATGCGCTGCCTCCCCCCAACGCGCTGCCTCCCCGTCCCATTCGTGTCCTCTGGCCATCGCCCTCTCTGGTAACGCCCATCACTGCAAAGACCCTTTTCCTTCATCGGCGTTTGCTGTTCTTCCTGCCAGTGCGTGTTGCTTTCACTTACACTTGCCACAGCCAGCCTCGTGAGTGCCTAGCCTATTGGATATCACTGTCATCTACACAGGACAGTCATTACCTTTCTATTAATACTTTGTTTTTTAATTTCACATTAATTTCCATATTGTATAAATGACTGGAAAAAACTTGAGCCCCTGCCCCTGTATAATCATGTGCACGTCCCTGTTCTAGCTCCAAGGTGAATCTTCACTGCTCATGTTCTCCTCAGAAGCAGTCACCTCACTCCCCTCAGGTTACTGTACACATGCACCAACTGCCTGCTTCAGGTTTGGATGGAGCTTCATGGTTGTCTTTTGGAGAAATGAGCAGTCAAGTTGTGTTTGAAATTTGATTTTTTTCAGGGGCAAAAGGAGCCTCTGCATTCTTGTCAAATATGTAAATAGCATGTTTTTGCAGGTGCTAAAAAACAGACTCTGAGTGTGTCTGTCTGTGTGTGTGTGTGTGTGTGTGTGTGTCTGTGTCTGTGTGTGTGTATATATTTTGCAGTACTCTGAGAAGAATAATAAGCATATTTCTGCGGTGAATTTTGAAGATTCATCTGAGAGTTAGGAGGGCTGATCATTCCCTTACCCTTTAGATGTCTGTCTATGTCTGTTTTTGTGTGATAATGAAAGAATCCCAACTCAAAAAGGCTCTGTTGATGTTTTTTTTTGTTGTTCATTCATATTCAAACCACTATTTTATATCACTGCTAATACGCCAAGACCATTTTATGGTATTTAGCTTTATTATTTCTATACATTTTGCAAGGAAAGAAACCAAGGCCTTCACTAAAATTTCCATAAACTTTAGGAAAGGACCTCTGGTTGTTTAAGGGGTCATTACTGCAAAAAATATTCTTCCTAAATTTTGAAGGTCAAACCTTAGATCCATTAGGTTTAAATAGAAAAAGCATTAAAATATGTTAGGATTATAGCATATGACAAATGTGTGCCTCTCAGTGGCATAACTACTTTGTCTGCTGGCTCTGCAGTCGATTGACGCTCCCCAGCGTTCAAGTCACATGACATATTTAACCGGATGTAGCTGCAAGACGGAGCCTCGTTCACCCTCCGTTTCAACTTATCTCAAAAGTGAGGACCTCAAACTATATACCAGTTTTTAAATTGTGTTGATAGGCCAAATAAAACCAGAGTTATGATAAATTATGTCCGCGATACTTTTTTTCTGCTTATTTTGATCACGTTCGGCGCTCGATCACGCTGTATGAGACAGGAAAACATAGCATGCAGACATTAGCGACAGCTCTTACAGGCGGAAAAGGCATGCCAAAAGAAAAAAAAAACACACCACAACATCTCTCCTATTGGTGGAAAACTTCACCACAACAACCAATCCAAAATTATATGGTGACTGATTGACAAGGGGCGGGCGCTTACGTTCTTCCTGCAATATGAGAAGGGAGGGAGGAACTCTCAGCAGGGATGCAGTCTGGGAAACGTAGTTGCAAACCTAGCGACTTTGTTGTTAGATTCAATGACTTTTCAGACCCCCTAACGACTTTTTTTTAGAAAGAAAGGGAATTTTATCGACTTCCTCTGGAGTTTAGAGACTCTGACATGAAGCAGGCTTTCCTTACTGAGGAGTTAGCAACGCTGCTAAGGGTGCAGAGCCACACATGCGCTCCGAGCTCTGCATGGGAGACTAGAGCTGAGAGAGCTGCAGCAGTTAGCAGGTTTCACCCTCAGAGACCACCAGGAGTTCATGTTGAGGCATTTTCAGTTTTTTTTTTTTTTTGCCATAGACACTGTCAGCACAATCTGCAGTTACACTAACAAAAATGCTGCAAAAAACAAAGAATTATGGAAAAATTACACATGGACTGACATAGAGGAGGATCTACGCAAGTTTTTTACATCATGTTTTACATCATGCATCATTTACATCATGTTTTTTTGTAGTGGCATAAATAAAAAGTGACATTTGTGAGACTATACAGTGTTTTGTAAATAATTTTACAAAGAACGCCTGGGCCATTGCCTGCATTTTGATGTAAATAGAGGTAAATCACTATGTTCTTTGTTAAAAATTTGCATATGTTTTGAAGTTTACAATTTTTATTTGAAGTTTAAGTTTTAAAAACAGTTCATCACACATATTTGTGGTTTTCACAGTAAAAATGTTACTTTTTTCCACTCGGATTTTATGTTTTGTGTGTGAATTTGAAAAAAATGATACCAGGCAAGGCACGTGATTGTCAAATTTTGTGTCAATATGACAAAGCGTACAGGTGTCACACTCAACAATGTGAATTTTGACCTTAGGGGACAAGAAAAAATGGACTTTTTTCTCCTGCCATGGGGGGGCGCTCTTTTGGGGAGTAAAAATTCCTTCACAAATGTGTTGATGGCTGGACATTGCATCATCCTAGAAAACTTGGAGGCCAGTGAGGACAAAAATAAAAAGTTATAAGACTTTTAAATATGTGGATTTTAGGGTTATCTTTGGCGCCCCCTAGAACCTAAACCGTGGGGTGCAGCGTCATGATTTGAATAACTTTTAATGGCCATGGGGTGTAGATTGGCCTGAGCAAATGTGGTGCCGGTGGAACGAAAGCCTTCGGAGGAGTTAGCCACATTCCAATGTGTGCGGATCGGCAAAAAATGCGGAATAACCCTTTAACCGTACATTTGACAGATACGCGCGCATTGACTTTTTCGTAGATCTTATTGAGTTACATGTGTGTGTCAATTTTTGTGTCATTTTGACAAAGCGTATAGGCGTGACACTCAACAATGTGTATTTTCACCTTAGGGGACAAGAAAAAATGGACTTTTTTCTCCTGCCATGGGGGGGCGCTCTTTTGGGGAGTAAAAATTCCTTCACAAATGTGTTGATGGCTGGACATTGCATCATCCTAGAAAACTTGGAGGCCAGTGAGGACAAAAATAAAAAGTTATAAGACTTTGAAATATGTGGATTTTAGGGTTATCTTTGGCGCCCCCTAGAACCTAAACCGTGGGGTGCAGCGTCATGATTTGAATAACTTTGAATGGCCATGGGGTGTAGATTGGCCTGAGCAAATGTGGTGCCGGTGGAACGCCAGCCTTCGGAGGAGTTAGCGAAATTCCAATGTGTGCGGATCAGCAAAAAATGCGGAATAACCCTTTAACCGTACATTTGACAGATATGCGCGCATTGACTTTTTCGTAGATCTTATTGAGATACATGTGTGTGTCAATTTTTGTGTCATTTTGCCAAAGCATACAGGCGTGACACTCAACAATGTGTATTTTCACCTTAGGGGACAAGAAAAAATGGACTTTTTTCTCCTGCCATGGGGGGGCGCTCTTTTGGGGATTAAAAATTCCTTCACAAATGTGTTGATGGCTGGACATTGCATCATCCTAGAAAACTTGGAGGCCAGTGAGGTCAAAAATAAAAAGTTATAAGACTTTTAAATATGTGGATTTTAGGGTTATCTTTGGCGCCCCCTAGAACCTAAACCGTGGGGTGCAGCGTCATGATTTGAATAACTTTTAATGGCCATGGGGTGTAGATTGGCCTGAGCAAATGTGGTGCCGGTGGAACGAAAGCCTTCGGAGGAGTTAGCGAAATTCCAATGTGTGTGGATCGGAAAAAAATGCGGAATAACCCTTTAACCGTACATTTGACAGATACGCCCGCACTGACTTTTTTGTAGATCTTATTGAGATACATGTGTGTGTCAATTTTTGTGTCAATATGACAAAGCGTAAAGGCGTGACAGTCAATAGTGTGAATTTTCACCTTAGGGGGCGCTATGGAGCCATTTTGCATTTTCTTGTTTGGGCGACTTCGGAATATCAAATTTTTCACCAGGCCCGATCATCCTGCCAAATTTCATGAGTTTTCGCCAGTGGGAAGTGGGCCATTTTCCAGTTCAAAGGGGAGGAAAAAGAAGAAAGAAAGAAACAAAGAAAAACCACTTGGGGAATAATAGGGCTCTCGCAGCTGCTTAGCAGCTACGCTCGGGCCCTAAAGAAAGAAAGAAACAAAGAAAAACCACTTGGGGAATAATAGGGCTCTCGCAGCTGCTTAGCAGCTACGCTCGGGCCCTAAACAAAGAAACAAAGAAAAACCACTTGGGGAATAATAGGGCCTACGCCCGGCTGCTCTGCAGCTGGCTCGGGCCCTAATAATAACAAAAGAAGGAAACATGCAGGAACAAGAGGGCTCTCGCAGCTGCTTAGCAGCTACGCTCGGGCCCTAAAGAAGAATCCATCAGGAACAAGAGGGCTCTCGCAGCTGCTTAGCAGCTACGCTCGGGCCCTAACTAGGGCCCCGGTGGGGCACTGTCGGGCCCGAGCCGCGTCGCGCCGCCCCCAGCGCGACCGCCTCCCCCTCCCGATCGCGTCACACTCAAGGTCCAAAGATGGTGTGCGCACTTGTCTGTGGTCATTTCCCATTATAATGAATGGGAGGCGCAGTTTCTACCAAAACGCTCGCTGCAGACAAACTACATGTCCTATTTGAAAAAAGTCTGGACCATGAGTGAGGGCACAAACACAGCTAGTATATATCCAAATGGCAAGTTGCTCCTCCTTTCGGTTTTGCAGAGAGAGCGATGCGTTTGAGCCATTGAGCGATGGGCAGGAAAAACTTGACTTTTTCTCCTGCCATGGGGGGGCGCTCTTTTGGGGAGAAAAAATTCCTTCACAAATGTGTTGATGGCTGGACATTGCATCATCCTAGAAAACTTGGAGGCCAGTGAGGACAAAAATAAAAAGTTATAAGACTTTTAAAAATGTGGATATTTGGGTCCTCTTTGGCGCCCCCTAGAACGTAAACTGTGGGGTGCAGCGTCATGATTTGTACAACTTTGAATGGCCATGGGGTGTAGATTGACCTGAGCAAATTTGAAGCCGATGGGACAAAAGATTTAGGAGGAGTTAGCGAAATTCCAATGTGTGCGGATCGGCAAAAAATGCGAAATAACCCTTTAACCGTACATTTGACAGATACGCCCGCACTGACTTTTTTGTAGATCTTATTGAGATACACGTGTGTGTCAAATTTTGTGTCATTTTGACAAAGCGTACAGGCGTGACACTCAATCATGTGAATTTTTCACCTTAGGGGGCGCTATGGAGCCATTTTGCATTTAATTGTTTGGTTGACTTCAGAATATCGAATTTTTCACCAGGCCCGGTCGTCCTGCCAAATTTCATGAGTTTTCACCAGTGGGAAGTGGGCCATTTTCCAGTTCAAAGGGGCAGAAAAATAACTAGGGCCCCGTTGGGGCACTGGCGGGCCCGAGCCGCATCGCGCCGCCCCCAGCGCGACCGCCTCCCCGTCCCATTCGTGCCCTCTGGCCATCGCCCTCTCTGGTGACGCCCATCACTGCAAAGACCCTTTTCCTTCATCGGTGTTTGCTGTTCTTCCTGCCATTGCGTGTTGCTTTCACTTACACTTGCCACAGCCAGCCTCGTGAGTGCCTGGCCTGGTTTGACCTTTGCTCACCATGATTGCGTGACCTTGGTATCAGCTACTTGGGAAGTTCAACCGTTGTGGCAAAGCTTTGTTTGCGTGCTGTGCTCAACCACCTATTTTCTATGGATGTGTAAGTAAACCACTTTCTTTCTTACACAATGACACACTCATACTTATCACTCACTGCTACTGATGTGCTCTGTTAGTATGCATGCAGGAAACCTGATGAATGAAGAAATGCCCAGACTAGCCAACATCTCAATAAATTATGAGGTATGACATCACTTGAATGGTTTCCTTGGACTATGCTTCCATTATTCTAATTCTGTAATAAAAGGAAATTTTGTCCAAAAGGACTGTTGTTGTTTTTTCTTCTAATAATTAACATATTTAACATAATTAACATTCAATATGCGCTCATTACACACGTGCACACTCTTTGATGATCTGAGAAGCAGAGCTTAAAGGACAGTAGGAGTAGCTGAACAAAGTGTATTTGTAGGAAAGCCGTAAGAGCTATTGAAACGCCGTTTTCGCGGGTTGAAAGGTTAGGGTGTCCACCAAAGGTCAGAGGTCAAATAACATTTGTATCTCAAACTGTGACGTCAAAGTCAAGGTCCAAAGATGGTGTGCGCACCTGTCTTTGGTCATTTCCCATTATAATGAATGGGAGGCACAGTTTCTACCAAAACGCTCGCTGCAGACAAACTACATGTCCTATTTGAAAAAACTCTGGACCATGAGTGAGGGCAAAAACACAGCTAGGACATATCCAAATGGTAAGTTGCTCCTCCTTTTGGTTTTAGCGGGAGAGAAATGCGTTTGAGCCATTAAGCGATGGGCTGGAAAAACTTGACTTTTTCTCCTGCCATGGGGGGGGGGGGGGGGGGTGCTCTTTTGGGGAGAAAAAATTCCTTCACAGATGTGTTGATGGCTGCACATTGCATCATCCTAGAAAACTTGGAGGCCAGTGAGGACAAAAATAAAAAGTTATAAGACTTTTAGAAATGTGGATATTTGGGTCATCTTTGGCGCCCCCTAGAACCTAAACCGTGGGGTGCAGCGTCATGATTTGTACAACTTTGAATGGCCATGGGGTGTAGATTGGCCTGAGCAAATTTGGTGTCAGTAGAACGAAAGCCTTAGGAGGAGTTAGCCACATTCCAATGTGTGCGAATCGGCAAAAAATGCAAGATAGCCCTTTAATTGTACATTTTACAGATATGTGCCCATTGACTTTTTCGTAGATCTTATTGAGATACACGTGTGTGTCAAATTTTGTGTCAATATGACAAAGCGTATAGGCGTGACATTGAACAATGTGTATTTTCACCTTAGGGGACAAGAAAAAATGGCCTTTTTTGTCCTGCCATGGGGGGGGGCGCTGTTTTGGGGAGTAAAAATTCCTTCACAAATGTGTTGATGGCTGGACATTGCATCATCCTAGAAAACTTGGAGGCCAATGAGGACAAAAATAAAAAGTTATAAGATTTTTAAGAATGTGGATTTGTGGGTTATCTTTGGCGCCCCCTAGAACGTAAACCGTGGGGTGCAGCGTCATGATTTGTACAACTTTCAATGGCCATGGGGTGTAGATTGGCCTGAGCAAATGTAGTGCTGGTGGAACGAAAGCCTTCGGAGGAGTTAGCGAAATTCCAATGTGTGCGGAACGGCAAAAAATGCGAAATAACCCTTTAACCGTACATTTGACAGATACGCCCGCACTGACTTTTTTGTAGATCTTATTGAGATACATGTGTGTGTCAATTTTTGTGTCAATATGACAAAGCGTACAGGCGTGACAGTCAATAGTGTGAATTTTCACCTTTGGGGGCGCTATTAAGCCATTTTGCATTTTCTTGTTTGGGCGACTTCAGAATATCGAATTTTTCACCAGGCCCGGTCGTCCTGCCAAATTTCATGAGTTTTCGCCAGTGGGAAGTGGGCCATTTTCCAGTTTAAAGCGGAGGAAAAATAATAACTAGGGCCCCGGTGGGGCACTGGCGGGCCCGAGCCGTGTCACGCCGCCCCCAGCGCGACCGCCTACCCCTCCCGATCGCGTCACACTCAAGGTCCAAAGATGGTGTGCGCACTTGTCTGTGGTCATTTACCATTATAATGAATGGGAGGCGCAGTTTCTACCAAAACGCTCGCTGCAGACAAACTCCATGTCCTTTTTGAAAAAAGTCTGGACCATGAGTGAGGGCACAAACACAGCTAGTATATATCCAAATGGCAAGTTGCTCCTCCTTTCGGTTTTGCCGAGAGAGCGATGCGTTTGAGCCATTGAGCGATGGGCAGGAAAAACTTGACTTTTTCTCCTGCCATGGGGGGGCGCTCTTTTGGGGAGAAAAAATTCCTTCACAAATGTGTTGATGGCTGGACATTGCATCATCCTAGAAAACTTGGAGGCCAGTGAGGACAAAAATAAAAAGTTATAAGACTTTAAAAATGTGGATATTTGGGTCCTCTTTGGCGCCCCCTAGAACGTAGACCATGGGGTGCAGCGTCATGATTTTTACAACTTTGAATGGCCATGGGGTGTAGATTGGCCTGAGCAAATTTGGTGTCAGTGGGACGAAAACCTTAGGAGGAGTTAGCCACATTCCAATGTGTGCGAATCGGCAAAAAATGCGAAATAGCCCTTTAACCGTACATTTTACAGATACGCGCGCGTTGACTTTTTTGTAGATCTTATTGAGATACACGTGATTGTCAAATTTTGTGTCAATATGACAAAGCGTACAGGCGTGGCATTCAACAATGTGTATTTTCACCTTAGGGGACAAGAAAAAATTGACTTTTTTGTCCTGCCATGGGGGGGGGGGCGCTCTTTTGGGGAGTAAAAATTCCTTCACAAATGTGTTGATGGCTGGACATTGCATCATCCTAGAAAACTTGGAGGCCAGTGAGGGCAAAAATAAAAAGTTATAAAACTTTTAAGAATGTGGATTTTAGGGTTATTTTTGGCGCCCCCTAGAACCTAAACCATGGGGTGCAGCATCATGATTTGTACAACTTTGAATGGCCATGGAGTGTAGATTGGCCTGAGCAAATGTGGTGCCGGTGGACCGAAAGCCTTCGGAGGAGTTAGCGAAATTCCAATGTGTGCGGATCTGCAAAAAATGCGAAATAACCCTTTAACCGTACATTTGACAGATACGCCCGCACTGACTTTTTTGTAGATCTTATTGAGATACATGTGTGTGTCAATTTTTGTGTCAATATGACAAAGCGTACAGGCGTGACAGTCAATAGTGTGAATTTTCACCTTAGGGGGCGCTATGGAGCCATTTTGTATTTTATTGTTTGGGCGACTTCAGAATATCGAATTTTTCACCAGGCCCGGTCGTCCTGCCAAATTTCCTGAGTTTTCGCCAGTGGGAAGTGGGCCATTTTCCAGTTTAAAGCGGAGGAAAAGTAATAATAATAATAACAAAAGAAGAATCCATCAGGAACAAGAGGGCTCTCGCAGCTGCTTAGCAGCTACGCTCGGGCCCTAATAATAATAATAACAAAAGAAGAATCCATCAGGAACAAGAGGGCTCTCGCAGCTGCTTAGCAGCTACGCTCGGGCCCTAATAAGAAGAAGAAGAAGAAGACTAGGGCCCCGGTGGGGCACTGTCGGGCCCGAGCCGCGTCGTGCCGCCCCCAGCGTGACCGCCTCCCCCTCCCGATCGCGTCACACTCAAGGTCCAAAGATGGTGTGCGCACTTGTCTGTGGTCATTTCCCATTATAATGAATGGGAGGCGCAGTTTCTACCAAAACACTCGCTGCAGACAAACTTCATGTCCTTTTTGAAAAAAGTCTGGACCATGAGTGAGGGCACAAACACAGCTGGAATATATCAAAATGGCAGGTTGCTCCTCCTTACGGTGTTGCCTGGAGAGCGATGCGATTGAGCCATTGAGCGATGGGCAGGAAAAACTTGACTTTTTCTCGTGCCATGGGGGGGGAGAATGTGGATTCTTTTAAGAATGTGGATTTTTTGGTCATCTTTGGCGCCCCCTAGAACATAAACCGTGGGGTGCAGCGTCCTGAGCTTTACAACTTTGAATGGCCATGGGGTGTAGATTGGCCTGAGCAAATGTGGTGCCGGTGGAACGAAAGCCTTAGGAGGAGTTAGCCACATTCCAATGTATGCGAATCGGCAAAAAATGCAAAATAGCCCTCTAACCGTACATTTGACAGATACGCACCCATTGACTTTTTCGTAGATCTTATTGAGATACACGTGATTGTCAAATTTTGTGTCAATATGACAAAGCGTACAGGTGTCACACTCAACAATGTGAATTTTCACCTTACGGGACAAGAAAAAATTGACTTTTTTCTCCTGCCATGGGGGGGCGCTCTTTTGGGGAGTAAAAATTCCTTCACAAATGTGTTGATGGCTGGACATTGCATCATCCTAGAAAACTTGGAGGCCAGTGAGGACAAAAATAAAGTTATAAGACTTTTAAAAATGTGGATATTTGGGTCATCTTTGGCGCCCCCTAGAACGTAAACCGTGGGATGCAGCGTCATGATTTGTACAACTTTGAATGGCCATGGGGTGTAGATTGGCCTGAGCAAATTTGGTGCCGATGGGACGAAAGCTTTAGGAGGAGTTAGCCACATTCCAATGTGTGCGAATCGGCAAAAAATGCGAAATAGCCCTTTAACTGTACATTTTACAGATACGCGCACATTGACTTTTTCGTAGATCTTATTGAGATACATGTGTGTGTTAATTTTTGTGTCAATATGACAAAGCGTACAGGCGTGACACTCAACAATGTGTATATTCGCCTTAGGGGACAAGAAAAAATTGACTTTTTTCTCCTGCCATGGGGGGCGCTCTTTTGGCGAGTAAAAATTCCTTCACAAATGTGTTGATGGCTGGACATTGCATCATCCTAGAAAACTTGGAGGCCAGTGAGGACAAAAGTAAAAAGTTATAAGACTTTTAAGAATGTGGATTTTTGGGTTATCTTTGGCGCCCCCTAGAACGTAAACCGTGGGGTGCAGCGTCATGATTTGTACAACTTTTAATGGCCATGGGGGGTAGATTGGCCTGCGCAAATGTGGTGCCGGTCAAACGAAAGCCTTCGGAGGAGTTAGCGAAATTCCAATGTGTGCAGATCTGCAAAAAATGCAAAATAACCCATTAACCGTACATTTGACAGATACGCCCGCACTGACTTTTTTGTAGATCTTATTGAGATACATGTGTGTGTCAATTTTTGTGTCAATATGACAAAGCGTACAGCCGTCATGTGAATTTTCACCTTAGGGGGCGCTATGGAGCCATTTTGCATTTTATTGTTTGGGCGACTTCAGAATATCGAATTTTTCACCAGGCCCGGTCGTCCTGCCAAATGTCCTGAGTTTTCGCCAGTGGGAAGTGGGGCATTTTCCAGTTTGAAGCGGAGGAAAAATAATAACGAAAGAAGGAAACATGCAGGAACAAGAGGGCTCTCGCAGCTGCTTAGCAGCTACGCTCGGGCCCTAAAGAAAGAAGAATCCATCAGGAATAATAGGGCTCTCGCAGCTGCTTAGCAGCTACGCTCGGGCCCTAAAGAAGAAAGAAGAATCCATCAGGAATAATAGGGCTCTCGCAGCTGCTTAGCAGCTACGCTCGGGCCCTAACAAAGACTAGGGCCCCGTTGGGGCACTGTCGGGCCCGAGCCGCGTCGTGCCGCCCCCAGCGTGACCGCCTCCCCCTCCCGATCGCGTCACACTCAAGGTCCAAAGATGGTGTGCGCACTTGTCTGTGGTCATTTCCCATTATAATGAATGGGAGGCGCAGTTTCTACCAAAACACTCGCTGCAGACAAACTTCATGTCCTATTTGAAAAAAGTCTGGACCATGAGTGAGGGCACAAACACAGCTGGGATATATCCAAATGGCAGGTTGCTCCTCCTTACGGTGTTGCCTGGAGAGTGATGCGATTGAGCCATTGAGCGATGGGCAGGAAAAACTTGACTTTTTCTCGTGCCATGGGGGGGGAGAATGTGGATTCTTTTAAGAATGTGGATTTTTTGGTCATCTTTGGCGCCCCCTAGAACGTAAACCGTGGGGTGCAGCGTCCTGATTTTTACAACTTTGAATGGCCATGGCGTGTAGATTGGCCTGAGCAAATTTGGTTTCAGTGGGACGAAAGCCTTAGGTGGAGTTAGCCACATTCCAATGTGTGCGAATCGGCAAAAAATGCAAAATAGCCCTCTAACCGTACATTTGACAGATATGCACCCATTGACTTTTTCGTAGATCTTATTGAGATACACGTGATTGTCAAATTTTGTGTCAATATGACAAAGCGTACAGGTGTCACACTCAACAATGTGAATTTTCACCTTACGGGACAAGAAAAAATGGACTTTTTTCTCCTTCCATGGGGGGGCGCTCTTTTGGGGAGTAAAAATTCCTTCACAAATGTGTTGATGGCTGGACATTGCATCATCCTAGAAAACTTGGAGGCCAGTGAGGACAAAAATAAAAAGTTATAAGACTTTTAAATATGTGGATTTTAGGGTTATCTTTGGCGCCCCCTAGAACCTAAACCGTGGGGTGCAGCGTCATGATTTGAATAACTTTTAATGGCCATGGGGTGTAGATTGGCCTGAGCAAATGTGGTGCCGGTGGAACGAAAGCCTTCGGAGGAGTTAGCGAAATTCCAATGTGTGCGGATCGGCAAAAAATGCGGAATAACCCTTTAACCGTACATTTGACAGATATGCCCGCACTGACTTTTTTGTAGATCTTATTGAGATACACGTGTGTGTCAATTTTTGTGTCATTTTGACAAAGCGTAAAGGCGTGACAGTCAATAGTGTGAATTTTCACCTTAGGGGGCGCTATGGAGCCATTTTGCATTTTCTTGTTTGGGCGACTTCGGAATATCAAATTTTTCACCAGGCCCGGTCATCCTGCCAAATTTCATGAGTTTTCGCCAGTGGGAAGTGGGCCATTTTCCAGTTCAAAGGGGAGGAAAAATAAGAAAGAAAGAAAGAAGAAACAAAGAAAAACCACTTGGGGAATAATAGGGCTCTCGCAGCTGCTTAGCAGCTACGCTCGGGCCCTAACAAAGAAAAACCACTACAGGAATAATAGGGCCTCGCAGCTGCTTAGCAGCTACGCTCGGGCCCTAAAGAAGAAAGAAAGAAACAAAGAAAAACTCATCAGGAACAACAGGGCTCTCGCAGCTGCTTAGCAGCTGCCAGTGAGTGATGGGCAGGAAAAACTTGACTGTTTCTCCTGCCATGGGGGATGGGGGATGGGGGATGGGGGGGGGGATGTGGATTCTTTTAAGAATGTGGATATTTGGGTCATCTTTGGCGCCCCCTAGAACGTAAACCGTGGGGTGCAGCGTCATGATTTGAATAACTTTTAATGGCCATGGGGTGTAGATTGGCCTGAGCAAATGTGGTGCCGGTGGAACGAAAGCCTTCGGAGGAGTTAGCGAAATTCCAATGTGTGCGGATCGGCAAAAAATGCGAAATAACCCTTTAACCGTACATTTGACAGATACGCCCGTACTGACTTTTTTGTAGATCTTATTGAGATACATGTGTGTGTCAATTTTTGTGTTATTTTGACAAAGGGTACAGGCGTGACAGTCAATAGTGTGAATTTTCACCTTAGGGGGCGCTATGGAGCCATTTTGCATTTTTTTGTTTGGGCGACTTCGGAATATCAATTTTTTTACCAGGCCCGGTCGTCCTGCCAAATTTCATGAGTTTTCGCCAGTGGGAAGTGGGCCATTTTCCAGTTCAAAGGGGAGGAAAAAGAAACTAGGGCCCCGGTGGGGCACTGGCGGGCCCGAGCCGTGTCACGCCGCCCCCAGCGCGACCGCCTACCCCTCCCGATCGCGTCACACTCAAGGTCCAAAGATGGTGTGCGCACTTGTCTGTGGTCATTTACCATTATAATGAATGGGAGGCGCAGTTTCTACCAAAACGCTCGCTGCAGACAAACTCCATGTCCTTTTTGAAAAAAGTCTGGACCATGAGTGAGGGCACAAACACAGCTAGTATATATCCAAATGGCAAGTTGCTCCTCCTTTCGGTTTTGCCGAGAGAGCGATGCGTTTGAGCCATTGAGCGATGGGCAGGAAAAACTTGACTTTTTCTCCTGCCATGGGGGGCGCTCTTTTGGGGAGAAAAAATTCCTTCACAAATGTGTTGATGGCTGGACATTGCATCATCCTAGAAAACTTGGAGGCCAGTGAGGACAAAAATAAAAAGTTATAAGACTTTAAAAATGTGGATATTTGGGTCCTCTTTGGCGCCCCCTAGAACGTAGACCATGGGGTGCAGCGTCATGATTTTTACAACTTTGAATGGCCATGGGGTGTAGATTGGCCTGAGCAAATTTGGTGTCAGTGGGACGAAAACCTTAGGAGGAGTTAGCCACATTCCAATGTGTGCGAATCGGCAAAAAATGCGAAATAGCCCTTTAACCGTACATTTTACAGATACGCGCGCATTGACTTTTTCGTAGATCTTATTGAGATACACGTGATTGTCAAATTTTGTGTCAATATGACAAAGCGTACAGGCGTGGCATTCAACAATGTGTATTTTCACCTTAGGGGACAAGAAAAAATGGACTTTTTTGTCCTGCCAGGGGGGGGCGCTCTTTTGGGGAGTAAAAATTCCTTCACAAATGTGTTGATGGCTGGACATTGCATCATCCTAGAAAACTTGGAGGCCAGTGAGGGCAAAAATAAAAAGTTATAAAACTTTTAAGAATGTGGATTTTAGGGTTATTTTTGGCGCCCCCTAGAACCTAAACCATGGGGTGCAGCATCATGATTTGTACAACTTTGAATGGCCATGGAGTGTAGATTGGCCTGAGCAAATGTGGTGCCGGTGGACCGAAAGCCTTCGGAGGAGTTAGCGAAATTCCAATGTGTGCGGATCTGCAAAAAATGCGGAAATAACCCTTTAACCGTACATTTGACAGATACGCCCGCACTGACTTTTTTGTAGATCTTATTGAGATACATGTGTGTGTCAATTTTTGTGTCAATATGACAAAGCGTACAGGCGTGACAGTCAATAGTGTGAATTTTCACCTTAGGGGGCGCTTTGGAGCCATTTTGTATTTTATTGTTTGGGCGACTTCAGAATATCGAATTTTTCACCAGGCCCGGTCGTCCTGCCAAATTTCCTGAGTTTTCGCCAGTGGGAAGTGGGCCATTTTCCAGTTTAAAGCGGAGGAAAAATAATAATACTAGGACCCCGTTGGGGCACTGGCGGGCCCGAGCCGTGTCGCGTCCCCCCCCCCCCCCCCAACGTGCTGCCTTCCCGTCCCATTTGTGTCCTCTGGCCATCGCCCTCTCTGGTAACGCCCATCACTGCAAAGACCCTTTTCCTTCATCGGCGTTTGCTGTTCTTCCTGCCAGTGCGTGTTGCTTTCACTTACACTTGCCACAGCCAGCCTCGTGAGTGCCTAGCCTATTGGATATCACTGTCACCTACACAGGACAGTCATTACCTTTCTATTAATACTTTGTGTTTTAATTTCACATTAATTTCCATATTGTATAAACGACTGGAAAAAACTTGAGCCCCTGCCCCTGTATAATCATGTGCATGTCTCTGTTCTAGCTCCAAGGTGAATCTTCACTGCTCATGTTCTCCTCAGAAGCACTCACCTCACTCCCCTCAGGTTACTGTACACATGCACCAACTGCCTGCTTCAGGTTTGGATGGAGCTTCATGGTTGTCTTTTGGAGAAATGACCAGTCAAGTTGTGTTTGAAATTTGATTTTTTCAGGGGCAAAAGGAGCCTCTGCATTCTTGTCAAATATGTAAATAGCATGTTTTTGCAGGTGCTAAAAACCAGACTCTGAGTGTGTGTGTGTGTGTGTGTGTGTGTGTGCGTGTGTGTGTGTCTGTGTGTGCGTTCAAGTCACATGACATATTTAACCGGATGTAGCTGCAAGACGGAGCCTCGTTGACTCTCTGTTTCAACTTATCTCAAAAGTGAGGACCTCAACCTATATACCAGTTTTTAAATTGTGTTGATAGGCCAAATAAAACCAGAGTTATGATAAATTATGTCCGCGATACTTTTTTTCTGCTTATTTTGATCACGTTCGGCGCTCGATCGCGCTGTATGAGACAGGAAAACATAGCATGCAGACATTAGCGACAGGTCTTACGTCTGGTTCACACTGGAAGCGCCGCGCGCGGAACGGAAGCGCCGCGCGCGCGCGCAGCGCCGGCTCGCGCTTGGCTGTTCACACAGGAAGCGCTTTCTGCTGCGCTCTGACATGCCGGTCAGACATCGACTGAGCCCTGGTAGTGCTCGGCCGTTTCCGTCTGCCCTCAGTTTTCCACACTTACGAGCGCTTTAAAAATGGGTAAATCACTATTTATTTACGTTTTTATTTCGTCATACATGAATTAAATATTGACAGCATCTTCAAGTATTGTTTTAAATTATTATATAGGGGTAAACGACGAATAAATTGGGAAGTCTGTTGACTCCGTTGTATGTATAGCCTTGTTAGCTCGAGGCTATTGACTGTATCGTAATAAAGTCCCCCCCCCTCTTTGTCTCAATAACATCACTGAATCTCTGCAGCTCTCCCTCCGTGTGTGTGTGTGTGTGTGTGTGTGTGTGTGTGTGTGTGTGTGTGTGTGTGTGTGTGTGTGTGTGTGTTCATCGGTAAAAAAAATAGACCGACAAGCAACACCGTCAATCTTTTTCTAATTTATTGAAATTTACTTTATTTTGAAAATTGACCGGATTCTCTCGCATCTCCTTCCTGACTTCCTGTCTGGTCCGATCTGCTCTGTTGAGCTTTACATCGGCGCGCGCGGCTCGCGCCAAAAATAGAGAGAAGCGGAGCAGCCGCGCTCCAGAGCGCGAGCCGTTCCGCGCACGTGCTGTGTGAACAGTCTCATAGGTTAACATGGGCGCCGATCTGAAACTCTGTGCGCGGCGCTTCCGTTCCGCGCGCGGCGCTTCCAGTGTGAACCAGACGTTACAGGCGGAAAAGGCTTGCCAAAAGAAAAAAAAACACACCACAACATCTCTCCTATTGGTGGAAAACTTCACCACAACAACCAATCCAAAATTATATGGTGACTGATTGACAAGGGGCGGGCGCTTACGTTCTTCCTGCAACATGAGAAGGGAGGGAGGGACTCTCAGCAGGGATGCAGTCTGGGACACGTAGTTGCAAACCTAGCGACTTTGTTGTTAGATTCAATGACTTTTCAGACCCCCTAACAACTTTTTTTTAGAAAGAAAGGGACTTTTATCGACTTCTTCTGGAGTTTAGAGACTCTGACATGAAGCAGGCTTTCCTTACTGAGGAGTTAGCAACGCTGCTAAGGGTGCAGAGCCACACATGCGCTCAGAGCTCTGCATGGGAGACTGAAGCTGACAGAGCTGCAGCAGTTAGCAGGTTTCACCCTCAGAGACCACCAGGGGTTCATGTTGAGGCATTTTGAATTTTTTTTTTTGTGCCATAGACACTGTCAGCACAATCTGCAGTTACACTAACAAAAATGCTGCAAAAAACAAAGAATTATGGAAAAATTACACATGGACTGACATAGAGGAGGATCTACGCAAGTTTTTTACATCATGTTTTACATCATGCATCATTTACATCATGTTTTTTTGTAGTGGCATAAATAAAAAGTGACATTTGTGAGACTATACAGTGTTTTGTAAATAATTTTACAAAGAACGCCTGGGCCATTGCCTGCATTTTGATGTAAATAGAGGTAAATCACTATGTTCTTTGTTTAAAATTTGCATATGTTTTGAAGTTTACAATTTTTTATTTGAAGTTTAAGTTTTAAAAACAGTTCATCACACATATTTGTGGTTTTCACAGTAAAAATGTTACTTTTTTCCACTCGGATTTTATGTTTTGTGTGTGAATTTGGGTCCATTGTGTAAATTCAGTATGTCAACATGATAAAATAACTGTAAATTCGCACAGGTGAGGTTGTGCTGAAAAAAATGATACCAGGTAAGGCACGTGATTGTCAAATTTTGTGTCAATATGACAAAGCGTATAGGCGTGAATCTCAACAATATGTATTTTCACCTTAGGGGACAAGAAAAAATGGACTTTTTTCTCCTGCCATGGGGGGGCGCTCTTTTGGGGAGTAAAAATTCCTTCACAAATGTGTTGATGGCTGGACATTGCATCATCCTAGAAAACTTGGAGGCCAGTGAGGACAAAAATAAAAAGTTATAAGACTTTTAAATATGTGGATTTTAGGGTTATCTTTGGCGCCCCCTAGAACCTAAACCTTGGGGTGCAGCGTCATGATTTTGATAACTTTTAATGGCCACGGGGTGTAGATTGGCCTGAGCAAATGTGGTGCCGGTGGAACGAAAGCCTTAGGAGGAGTTAGCCACATTCCAATGTGTGCGGATCGGCAAAAAATGCGAAATAACCCTTTAACCGTACATTTGACAGATACGCGCGCATTGACTTTTTCGTAGATCTTATTGAGTTACATGTGTGTGTCAATTTTTGTGTCATTTTGACAAAGTGTATAGGCGTGACACTCAACAATGTGTATTTTCACCTTAGGGGACAAGAAAAAATGGACTTTTTTCTCCTGCCATGGGGGGGCGCTCTTTTGGGGAGTAAAAATTCCTTCACAAATGTGTTGATGGCTGGACATTGCATCATCCTAGAAAACTTGGAGGCCAGTGAGGACAAAAATAAAAAGTTATAAGACTTTTAAATATGTGGATTTTAGTGTTATCTTTGGCGCCCCCTAGAACCTAAACCTTGGGGTGCAGCGTCATGATTTTGATAACTTTTAATGGCCACGGGGTGTAGATTGGCCTGAGCAAATGTGGTGCCGGTGGAACGAAAGCCTTTGGAGGAGTTAGCGAAATTCCAATGTGTGCGGATCGGCAAAAAATGCGAAATAACCCTTTAACCGTAATTTTGACAGATACGGCCGCACTGACTTTTTTGTAGATCTTATTGAGATACATATGTGTGTCAATTTTTGTGTCAATATGACAAAGCGTACAGGTGTGACAGTCAATAGTGTGAATTTCCACCTTAGGGGGCGCTATGGAGCCATTTTGCATTTTATTGTTTGGGCGACTTCAGAATATCGAATTTTTCACCAGGCCCGGTCGTCCTGCCAAATTTCATGAGTTTTCGCCAGTGGGAAGTGGGCCATTTTCCAGTTCAAAGGGGAGGAAAAAGAAGAAAGAAAGAAAGAACTAGGACCCCGTTGGGGCACTGGCGGGCCCGAGCCGTGTCGCGTCCCCCCCCAACGTGCTGCCTCCCCGTCCCATTTGTGTCCTCTGGCCATCGCCCTCTCTGGTAACGCCCATCACTGCAAAGACCCTTTTCCTTCATCGGCGTTTGCTGTTCTTCCTGCCAGTGCGTGTTGCTTTCACTTACACTTGCCACAGCCAGCCTCGTGAGTGCCTAGCCTATTGGATATCACTGTCACCTACACAGGACAGTCATTACCTTTCTATTAATACTTTGTGTTTTAATTTCACATTAATTTCCATATTGTATAAACAACTGGAAAAAACTTGAGCCCCTGCCCCTGTATAATCATGTGCATGTCTCTGTTCTAGCTCCAAGGTGAATCTTCACTGCTCATGTTCTCCTCAGAAGCACTCACCTCACTCCCCTCAGGTTACTGTACACATGCACCAACTGCCTGCTTCAGGTTTGGATGGAGCTTCATGGTTGTCTTTTGGAGAAATGAGCAGTCAAGTTGTGTTTGAAATTTGATTTTTTTCAGGGGCAAAAGGAGCCTCTGCATTCTTGTCAAATATGTAAATAGCATGTTTTTGCAGGTGCTAAAAACCAGACTCTGAGTGTGTGTGTGTGTGTGTGTGTGTGTGTGTGTGTGCGTGTGTGTGTGTGTCTGTGTGTGCGTTCAAGTCACATGACATATTTAACCGGATGTAGCTGCAAGACGGAGCCTCGTTGACTCTCCGTTTCAACTTATCTCAAAAGTGAGGACCTCAACCTATATACCAGTTTTTAAATTGTGTTGATAGGCCAAATAAAACCAGAGTTATGATAAATTATGTCCGCGATACTTTTTTTCTGCTTATTTTGATCACGTTCGGCGCTCGATCGCGCTGTATGAGACAGGAAAACATAGCATGCAGACATTAGCGACAGCTCTTACAGGCGGAAAAGGCTTGCCAAAAGAAAAAAAAAAACACACCACAACATCTCTCCTATTGGTGGAAAACTTCACCACAACAACCAATCCAAAATTATATGGTGACTGATTGACAAGGGGCGGGCGCTTACGTTCTTCCTGCAACATGAGAAGGGAGGGAGGGACTCTCAGCAGGGATGCAGTCTGGGACACGTAGTTGCAAACCTAGCGACTTTGTTGTTAGATTCAATGACTTTTCAGACCCCCTAACGACTTTTTTTTAGAAAGAAAGGGACTTTTATCGACTTCTTCTGGAGTTTAGAGACTCTGACATGAAGCAGGCTTTCCTTACTGAGGAGTTAGCAACGCTGCTAAGGGTGCAGAGCCACACATGCGCTCAGAGCTCTGCATGGGAGACTGAAGCTGACAGAGCTGCAGCAGTTAGCAGGTTTCACCCTCAGAGACCACCAGGGGTTCATGTTGAGGCATTTTAATTTTTTTTTTTTTTGTGCCATAGACACTGTCAGCACAATCTGCAGTTACACTAACAAAAATGCTGCAAAAAACAAAGAATTATGGAAAAATTACACATGGACTGACATACAGGAGGATCTACACAAGTTTTTTACATCATGTTTTACATCATGCATCATTTACATCATGTTTTTTTGTAGTGGCATAAATAAAAAGTGACATTTGTGAGACTATACAGTGTTTTGTAAATAATTTTACAAAGAACGCCTGGGCCATTGCCTGCATTTTGATGTAAATAGAGGTAAATCACTATGTTCTTTGTTAAAAATTTGCATATGTTTTGAAGTTTACAATTTTTATTTGAAGTTTAAGTTTTAAAAACAGTTCATCACACATATTTGTGGTTTTCACAGTAAAAATGTTACTTTTTTCCACTCGGATTTTATGTTTTGTGTGTGAATTTGGGTCCATTGTGTAAATTCAGTATGTCAACATGATAAAATAACTGTAAATTCGCACAGGTGAGGTTGTGCTGAAAAAAATGATACCAGGCAAGGCACGTGATTGTCAAATTTTGTGTCAATATGACAAAGCGTATAGGCGTGAATCTCAACAATATGTATTTTCACCTTAGGGGACAAGAAAAAATGGACTTTTTTCTCCTGCCATGGGGGGGCGCTCTTTTGGGGAGTAAAAATTCCTTCACAAATTTGTTGATGGCTGGACATTGCATCATCCTAGAAAACTTGGAGGCCAGTGAGGACAAAAATAAAAAGTTATAAGACTTTTAAATATGTGGATTTTAGGGTTATCTTTGGCGCCCCCTAGAACCTAAACCGTGGGGTGCAGCGTCATGATTTTGATAACTTTTAATGGCCATGGGGTGTAGATTGGCCTGAGCAAATGTGGTGCCGGTGGAACGAAAGCCTTAGGAGGAGTTAGCCACATTCCAATGTGTGCGGATCGGCAAAAAATGCGGAATAACCCTTTAACCGTACATTTGACAGATACGCGCGCATTGACTTTTTCGTAGATCTTATTGAGTTACATGTGTGTGTCAATTTTTGTGTCATTTTGACAAAGCGTATAGGCGTGACACTCAACAATGTGTATTTTCACCTTAGGGGACAAGAAAAAATGGACTTTTTCTCCTGCCATGGGGGGGCGCTCTTTTGGGGAGTAAAAATGCCTTCACAAATGTGTTGATGGCTGGACATTGCATCATCCTAGAAAACTTGGAGGCCAGTGAGGACAAAAATAAAAAGTTATAAGACTTTGAAATATGTGGATTTTAGGGTTATCTTTGGCGCCCCCTAGAACCTAAACCGTGGGGTGCAGCGTCATGATTTGAATAACTTTTAATGGCCACGGGGTGTAGATTGGCCTGAGCAAATGTGGTGCCGGTGGAACGAAAGCCTTCGGAGGAGTTAGCGAAATTCCAATGTGTGCGGATCGGCAAAAAATGCGAAATAACCCTTTAACCGTAATTTTGACAGATACGGCCGCACTGACTTTTTTGTAGATCTTATTGAGATACATATGTGTGTCAATTTTTGTGTCAATATGACAAAGCGTACAGGCGTGACAGTCAATAGTGTGAATTTCCACCTTAGGGGGCGCTATGGAGCCATTTTGCATTTTCTTGTTTGGGCGACTTCAGAATATCGAATTTTTCACCAGGCCCGGTCGTCCTGCCAAATTTCATGAGTTTTCGCCAGTGGGAAGTGGGCCATTTTCCAGTTCAAAGGGGAGGAAAAAGAAGAAAGAAAGAAAGAACTAGGGCCCCGGTGGGGCACTGTCGGGCCCGAGCCGCGATGCGCCGTCCCCGGCGCGACCGCCTCCCCCTCCCGATCGCGTCAAACTCAAGGTCCAAAGATGGTGTGCGCACTTGTCTGTGGTCATTTCCCATTATAATGAATGGGAGGCGCATATTCTACCAAAACACTCGCTGCAGACAAACTACATGTCCTATTTGAAAAAAGTCTGGACCATGAGTGAGGGCACAAACACAGCTAGGATATATCCAAACGGCAAGTTGCTCCTTGTTACGGTGTTGCCGGGAGAGCGATGCGATTGAGCCATTGAGCGATGGGCAGGAAAAACTTGACTGTTTCTCCTGCCATGGGGGATGGGGGATGGGGGGGGGGATGTGGATTCTTTTAAGAATGTGGATATTTGGGTCATCTTTGGCGCCCCCTAGAACGTGAGCCGTGGGGTGCAGCGTCATGATTTTTACAACTTTGAATGGCCATGGGGTGTAGATTGGCCTGAGCAAATTTGGTGTCAGTGGGACGAAAGCCTTAGGAGGAGTTAGCCACATTCCAATGTGTGCGAATCGGCAAAAAATGCAAAATAGCCCTTTAACCGTACATTTGACAGATACACGCCCATTGACTTTTTCGTAGATCTTATTGAGATACACGTGATTGTCAAATTTTGTGTCAATATGACAAAGCGTATAGGCGTGAATCTCAACAATATGTATTTTCACCTTAGGGGACAAGAAAAAATGGACTTTTTTCTCCTGCCATGGGGGGGCGCTCTTTTGGGGAGTAAAAATTCCTTCACAAATGTGTTGATGGCTGGACATTGCATCATCCTAGAAAACCTGGAGGCCAGTGAGGACAAAAATAAGAAGTTATAAGACTTTTAAATATGTGGATTTTAGGGTTATCTTTGGCGCCCCCTAGAACCTAAACCGTGGGGTGCAGCGTCATGATTTGAATAACTTTTAATGGCCATGGGGTGTAGATTGGCCTGAGCAAATGTGGTGCCAGTGGAACGAAAGCCTTAGGAGGAGTTAGCCACATTCCAATGTGTGCGGATCGGCAAAAAATGCGGAATAACCCTTTAACCGTACATTTGACAGATACGCGCTCTTTGACTTTTTCGTAGATCTTATTGAGATACATGTGTGTGTCAATATTTGTGTCATTTTGCCAAAGCGTACAGGCGTGACACTAAACAATGTGTATTTTCACCTTAGGGGACAAGAAAAAATAGACTTTTTTCTCCTGCCATGGGGGGGCGCTCTTTTGGGGAGTAAAATTTCCTTCACAAATGTGTTGATGGCTGCACATTGCATTATCCTAGAAAACTTGGAGGCCAGTGAGGACAAAAATAAAAAGTTATAAGACTTTTAAGAATGTGGATTTTTGGGTTATCTTTGGCGCCCCCTAGAACCTAAACCGTGGGGTGCAGCGTCATGATTTGTACAACTTTTAATGGCCATGGGGTGTAGATTGGCCTGAGCAAATTTGGTGCCGGTGGAACGAAAGCCTTCGGAGGAGTTAGCGAAATTCCAATGTGTGCGGATCGGCAAAAAATGCAAAATAGCCCTTTAACCGTACATTATACAGATACGCGCTCTTTGACTTTTTTGTAGATCTTATTGAGATACACGTGATTGTCAAATTTTTTGTCAATATGACAAAGCGTTTAGGCGTGACACTCAACAATGTGTATTTTCATGTTAGGGGACAAGAAAAACTTGACTTTTTTCTCCTGCCATGGGGGGGCGCTCTTTTGGGGAGTAAAAATTCCTTCACAAATGTGTTGATGGCTTGACATGGCATCATCCTAGAAAACTTGGAGGCCAGTGAGGACAAAAATAAAAAGTTATGACTTTTAAGAATGTGGATTTTTGGGTTATCTTTGGCGCCCCCTAGAACGTAAACCGTGGGGTGCAGCATCATGATTTGTACAACTTTTAATGGCCATGGGGTGTAGATTGGCCTGAGCAAATGTGGTGCCGGTGGAACGAAAGCCTTCGGAGGAGTTAGCGAAATTCCAATGTGTGCGGATCGGCAAAAAATGCGAAATAGCCCTTTAACGGTACATTTGACAGATACGCCCGCACTGACTTTTTTGTAGATCTTATTGAGATACACATGTGTGTCAAATTTTGTGTCATTTTGACAAAGTGTACAGGCGTCAGGTGAGTTTTCACCATAGGGGGCGCTATGCAGCCATTTTTCATTTTTTTGTTTGGGCGACTTCAGAATATCAAATTTTTCACCAGGCCCGGTCGTCCTGCCAAATTTCCTGAGTTTTCGCCAGTGGGAAGTGGGCCATTTTCCAGTTTAAAGCGGAGGAAAAATAACGAAAGAAGAATCCATCAGGAACAAGAGGGCTCTCGCAGCTGCTTAGCAGCTACGCTCGGGCCCTAACTAGGGCCCCGTTGGGGCACTGGCGGGCCCGAGCCGTGTCACGCCGCCCCCAGCGCGACCGCCTCCCCCACCCGATCGCGTCACACTCAAGGTCCAAAGATGGTGTGCGCACTTGTTTGTGGTCATTTACCATTATAATGAACGGGAGGCGCAGTTTCTACCAAAACGCTCGCTGCAGAAAAACTCCATGTCCTATTTGAAAAAAGTCTGGACCATGAGTGAGGGCACAAACACAGCTAAGATATATCCAAATGGCAAGTTGCTCCTCCTTTCGCTTTTGCCGAGAGAGCAGTGCGTTTGAGCCATTGAATGATGAACAGGAAAAACTTGACTTTATTCTCCTGCCATGGGGGGCGCTCTTTTAAAGAGAAAAAACTCCTTCACAAATGTGTTGATGGCTGGACATTGCATCATCCTAGAAAACATGGAGGCCAGTGAGGACAAAAATAAAAAGTTATAAGACTTTTAAATATGTGGATTTTAGGGTTATATTTGGCGCCCCCTAGAACCTAAACCGTGGGGTGCAGCGTCATGATTTGAATAACTTTTAATGGCCATGGGGTGTAGATTGGCCTGAGCAAATGTGGTGCCGGTGGAACGAAAGCCTTCGGAGGAATTAGCGAAATTCCAATGTGTGCGAATCTGCAAAAAATGCCAAATAACCCTTTAACCGTACATTTTACAGATACGTGGCCATTGACTTTTTCGAAGATCTTATGTAAATACACGTGTATGTAAAATTTTGTGTCAATACGACAAAACATACAGGCGTAGCACTCAACAATGTGTATTTTCACCTTAGTGGACAAGAAAAAATTGACTTTTTTCTCCTGCCATGGGGGGGCGCTCTTTTGCCGAGTAAAAATTCCTTCACAAATGTGTTGATGGCTGGACATTGCATCATCCTAGAAAACTTGTAGGCCAGTGGGGACAAAAATAAAAAGTTATAAGACTTTTAAATATGTGGATTTTACGGTTATCTTTGGCTCCCCCTAGAACCTAAACCGTGGGGTGCAGCGTCATGATTTGAATAACTTTTAATGGCCATGGGGTGTAGATTGGCCTGAGCAAATGTGGTGCCGGTGGAACGAAAGCCTTCGGAGGAGTTAGCGAAATTCCAATGTGTGCGGATCGGCAAAAAATGCGGAATAACCCTTTAACCGTACATTTGACAGATACGCGCGCATTGACTTTTTCGTAGATCTTATTGAGATACATGTGTGTGTCAATTTTTGTGTCATTTTGCCAAAGCGTACAGGTGTTACACTCAACAATGTGTATTTTCACCTTAGGGGACAAGAAAAAATGGACTTTTTTCTCCTGCCATGGGGGGGCGCTCTTTTGGGGAGTAAAAATTCCTTCACAAATGTGTTGATGGCTGGACATTGCATCATCCTAGAAAACTTGGAGGCCAGTGAGGGCAAAAATAAAAAGTTATAAGACTTTTAAATATGTGGATTTTACGGTTATCTTTGGCTCCCCCTAGAACCTAAACCGTGGGGTGCAGCGTCATGATTTGAATAACTTTTAATGGCCATGGGGTGTAGATTGGCCTGAGCAAATGTGGTGCCGGTGGAACGAAAGCCTTCGGAGGAGTTAGCGAAATTCCAATGTTTGCGGATCGGCAAAAAATGCGGAATAACCCTTTAACCGTACATTTGACAGATACGCGCGCATTTACTTTTTCGTAGATCTTATTGAGATACGTGTGTGTCAATTTTTGTGTCATTATGCCAAAGCGTACAGGTGTTACACTCAACAATGTGTATTTTCACCTTAGGGGACAAGAAAAAATTGACTTTTTTCTCCTGCCATGGGGGGGCGCTCTTTTGCCGAGTAAAAATTCCTTCACAAATGTGTTGATGGCTGGACATTGCATCATCCTAGAAAACTTGGAGGCCAGTGGGGACAAAAATAAAAAGTTATAAGACTTTTAAATATGTGGATTTTACGGTTATCTTTGGCTCCCCCTAGAACCTAAACCGTGGGGTGCAGCGTCATGATTTGAATAACTTTTAATGGCCATGGGGTGTAGATTGGCCTGAGCAAATGTGGTGCCGGTGGAACGAAAGCCTTCGGAGGAGTTAGCGAAATTCCAATGTGTGCGGATCGGCAAAAAATGCGGAATAACCCTTTAACCGTACATTTGACAGATACGCGCGCATTGACTTTTTCGTAGATCTTATTGAGATACATGTGTGTGTCAATTTTTGTGTCATTTTGCCAAAGCGTACAGGTGTTACACTCAACAATGTGTATTTTCACCTTAGGGGACAAGAAAAAATGGACTTTTTTCTCCTGCCATGGGGGGCGCTCTTTTGGGGAGTAAAAATTCCTTCACAAATGTGTTGATGGCTGGACATTGCATCATCCTAGAAAACTTGGAGGCCAGTGAGGGCAAAAATAAAAAGTTATAAGACTTTTAAATATGTGGATTTTACGGTTATCTTTGGCTCCCCCTAGAACCTAAACCGTGGGGTGCAGCGTCATGATTTGAATAACTTTTAATGGCCATGGGGTGTAGATTGGCCTGAGCAAATGTGGTGCCGGTGGAACGAAAGCCTTCGGAGGAGTTAGCGAAATTCCAATGTTTGCGGATCGGCAAAAAATGCGGAATAACCCTTTAACCGTACATTTGACAGATACGCGCGCATTTACTTTTTCGTAGATCTTATTGAGATACGTGTGTGTCAATTTTTGTGTCATTATGCCAAAGCGTACAGGTGTTACACTCAACAATGTGTATTTTCACCTTAGGGGACAAGAAAAAATGGACTTTTTTCTCCTGCCATGGGGGGGCGCTCTTTTGGGGAGTAAAAATTCCTTCACAAATGTGTTGATGGCTGGACATTGCATCATCCTAGAAAACTTGGAGGCCAGTGAGGGCAAAAATAAAAAGTTATAAGACTTTTAAATATGTGGATCTTAGGGTTATCTTTGGCGCCCCCTAGAACCTAAACCGTGGGGTGCAGCGTCATGATTTGAATAACTTTTAATGGCCATGGGGTGTAGATTGGCCTGAGCAAATGTGGTGCCGGTGGAACGAAAGCCTTCGGAGGAGTTAGCGAAATTCCAATGTGTGCGGATCGGCAAAAAATGCGAAATAACCCTTTAACCGTACATTTGACAGATACGCCCGCACTGACTTTTTTGTAGATCTTATTGAGATACATGTGTGTGTCAATTTTTGTGTCATTTTGACAAAGCGTACCGGCGTGACAGTCAATAGTGTGAATTTTCACCTTAGGGGGCGCTATGGAGCCATTTTGCATTTTCTTGTTTGGGCGACTTCGGAATATCAAATTTTTCACCAGGCCCGGTCGTCCTGCCAAATTTCATGAGTTTTCACCAGTGGGAAGTGGGCCATTTTCCAGTTCAAAGGGGAGGAAAAATAATAATAACTAGGGCCCCGGTGGGGCACTGTCGGGCCCGAGCCGCATCGTGCCGCCCCCAGGGTGACCGCCTCTCCCTCCCGATCGCGTCACACTCAAGGACCAAAGATGGTGTGCGCACTTGTCTGTGGTCATTTCCCATTATAATGAATGGGAGGCGCAGTTTCTACCAAAACACTCGCTGCAGACAAACTTCATGTCCTATTTGAAAAAAGTCTGGACCATGAGTGAGGGCACAAACACAGCTGGGATATATCCAAATGGCAGGTTGCTCCTCGTTACGGTGTTGCCTGGAGAGCGATGCGATTGAGCCATTGAGCGATGGGCAGGAAAAACTTGACTTTTTCTCCTGCCATGGGGGGAGAATGTGGATTCTTTTAAGAATGTGGATTTTTTGGTCATCTTTGGCGCCCCCTAGAACGTAAACCGTGGGGTGCAGCATCATGATTTGAATAACTTTTAATGGCCATGGGGTGTAGATTGGCCTGAGCAAATTTGGTTTCAGTGGGACGAAAGCCTTAGGAGGAGATAGCCACATTCCAATGTGTGCGAATCGGCAAAAAATGCAAAATAGCCCTCTAACCGTACATTTGACAGATACGCGCGCATTGACTTTTTCGTAGATCTTATTAAGATACACGTGATTGTCAAATTTTGTGTCAATATGACAAAGCGTACAGGTGTCACACTTAACAATGTGAATTTTCACCTTACGGGACAAGAAAAAATTGACTTTTTTCTCCTTCCATGGGGGGGCGCTCTTTTGGGGAGTAAAAATTCCTTCACAAATGTGTTGATGGCTGGACATTGCATCATCCTAGAAAACTTGGAGGGCAGTGAGGACAAAAATAAAAAGTTATAAGACTTTGAAATATGTGGATTTTAGGGTTATCTTTGGCGCCCCCTAGAACCTAAACCGTGGGGTGCAGCGTCATGATTTGAATAACTTTTAATGGCCATGGGGTGTAGATTGGCCTGAGCAAATGTGGTGCCGGTGGAACGCCAGCCTTAGGAGGAGTTAGCGAAATTCCAATGTGTGCGGATCAGCAAAAAATGCGGAATAACCCTTTAACCGTACATTTGACAGATACGCCCGCATTGACTTTTTCGTAGATCTTATTGAGATACATGTGTGTGTCAAATTTTGTGTCAATATGACAAAGCGTACAGGCGTGACACTCAACAATGTGTATTTTCAACCTTAGGGGACAAGAAAAAATGGACTTTTTTCTCCGGCCATGGGGGGGCGCTCTTTTGGGGAGTAAAAATTCCTTCACAAATGTGTTGATGGCTGGACATTGCATCATCCTAGAAAACTTGGAGGCCAGTGAGGAAAAAAATAAAAAGTTATAAGACTTTTAAATATGTGGATTTTTGGGTTATCTTTGGCGCCCCCTAGAACCTAAACCGTGGGGTGCAGCGTCATGATTTGAATAACTTTTAATGGCCATGGGGTGTAGATTGGCCTGAGCAAATGTGGTGCCGGTGGAAAGAAAGCCTTCGTAGGAGTTAGCGAAATTCCAATGTGTGCGGATCGGCAAAAAATGTGAAATAACCCTTTAACCGTACATTTGACAGATATGCCCGCACTGACTTTTTTGTAGATCTTATTGAGATACATATGTGTGTCAATTTTTGTGTCATTTTGACAAAGCGTAAAGGCGTGACAGTCAATAGTGTGAATTTTCACCTTAGGGGGCGCTATGGAGCCATTTTGCATTTTCTTGTTTGGGCGACTTCGGAATATCAAATTTTTCACCAGGCCCGGTCATCCTGCCAAATTTCATGAGTTTTCGCCAGTGGGAAGTGGGCCATTTTCCAGTTCAAAGGGGAGGAAAAAGAAGAAAGAAAGAACTAGGACCCCGTTGGGGCACTGGCGGGCCCGAGCCGTGTCGCATCCCCCCCCCCCCCCCCCCCCCCCCCAACGTGCTGCCTCCCCGTCCCATTTGTGTCCTCTGGCCATCGCCCTCTCTGGTAACGCCCATCACTGCAAAGACCCTTTTCCTTCATCGGCGTTTGCTGTTCTTCCTGCCAGTGCGTGTTGCTTTCACTTACACTTGCCACAGCCAGCCTCGTGAGTGCCTAGCCTATTGGATATCACTGTCACCTACACAGGACAGTCATTACCTTTCTATTAATACTTTGTGTTTTAATTTCACATTAATTTCCATATTGTATAAACGACTGGAAAAAACTTGAGCCCCTGCCCCTGTATAATCATGTGCATGTCTCTGTTCTAGCACCAAGGTGAATCTTCACTGCTCATGTTCTCCTCAGAAGCACTCACCTCACTCCCCTCAGGTTATTGTACACATGCACCAACTGCCTGCTTCAGGTTTGGATGGAGCTTCATGGTTGTCTTTTGGAGAAATGACCAGTCAAGTTGTGTTTGAAATTTGATTTTTTTCAGGGGCAAAAGGAGCCTCTGCATTCTTGTCAAATATGTAAATAGCATGTTTTTGCAGGTGCTAAAAACCAGACTCTGAGTGTGTGTGTGTGTGTGTGTGTGTGTGTGTGTGTGTGTGTGTGTGTGTGTGTGCGTGTGTGTGTGTCTGTGTGTGCGTTCAAGTCACATGACATATTTAACCGGATGTAGCTGCAAGACGGAGCCTCGTTGACTCTCCGTTTCAACTTATCTCAAAAGTGAGGACCTCAACCTATATACCAGTTTTTAAATTGTGTTGATAGGCCAAATAAAACCAAAGTTATGATAAATTATGTCCGCGATACTTTTTTTCTGCTTATTTTGATCACGTTCGGCGCTCGATCGCGCTGTATGAGACAGGAAAACATAGCATGCAGACATTAGCGACAGGTCTTACAGGCGGAAAAGGCTTGCCAAAAGAAAAAAAAAACACACCACAACATCTCTCCTATTGGTGGAAAACTTCACCACAACAACCAATCCAAAATTATATGGTGACTGAATGACAAGGGGCGGGCGCTTACGTTCTTCCTGCAACATGAGAAGGGAGGGAGGGACTCTCAGCAGGGATGCAGTCTGGGACACGTAGTTGCAAACCTAGCGACTTTGTTGTTAGATTCAATGACTTTTCAGACCCCCTAACGACTTTTTTTTAGAAAGAAAGGGACTTTTATCGACTTCTTCTGGAGTTTAGAGACTCTGACATGAAGCAGGCTTTCCTTACTGAGGAGTTAGCAACGCTGCTAAGGGTGCAGAGCCACACATGCGCTCAGAGCTCTGCATGGGAGACTGAAGCTGACAGAGCTGCAGCAGTTAGCAGGTTTCACCCTCAGAGACCACCAGGGGTTCATGTTGAGGCATTTTAATTTTTTTTTTTTTTGTGCCATAGACACTGTCAGCACAATCTGCAGTTACACTAACAAAAATGCTGCAAAAAACAAAGAATTATGGAAAAATTACACATGGACTGACATAGAGGAGGATCTACACAAGTTTTTTACATCATGTTTTACATCATGCATCATTTACATCATGTTTTTTTTGTAGTGGCATAAATAAAAAGTGACATTTGTGAGACTATACAGTGTTTTGTAAATAATTTTACAAAGAACACCTGGGCCATTGCCTGCATTTTGATGTAAATAGAGGTAAATCACTATGTTCTTTGTTAAAAATTTGCATATGTTTTGAAGTTTACAATTTTTATTTGAAGTTTAAGTTTTAAAAACAGTTCATCACACATATTTGTGGTTTTCACAGTAAAAATGTTACTTTTTTCCACTCGGATTTTATGTTTTGTGTGTGAATTTGGGTCCATTGTGTAAATTCAGTATGTCAACATGATAAAATAACTGTAAATTCGCACAGGTGAGGTTGTGCTGAAAGAAATGATACCAGGCAAGGCACGTGATTGTCAAATTTTGTGTCAATATGACAAAGCGTATAGGCGTGAATCTCAACAATATGTATTTTCACCTTAGGGGACAAGAAAAAATGGACTTTTTTCTCCTGCCATGGGGGGGCGCTCTTTTGGGGAGTAAAAATTCCTTCACAAATGTGTTGATGGCTGGACATTGCATCATCCTAGAAAACTTGGAGGCCAGTGAGGGCAAAAATAAAAAGTTATAAGACTTTTAAATATGTGGATTTTAGGGTTATCTTTGGCGCCCCCTAGAACCTAAACCGTGGGGTGCAGCGTCATGATTTGAATGACTTTTAATGGCCATGGGGTGTAGATTGGCCTGAGCAAATGTGGTGCCGGTGGAACGAAAGCCTTAGGAGGAGTTAGCCACATTCCAATGTGTGCGGATCGGCAAAAAATGCGGAATAACCCTTTAACCGTACATTTGACAGATACGCACGCATTGACTTTTTCGTAGATCTTATTGAGTTACATGTGTGTGTCAATTTTGGTGTCATTTTGACAAAGCGTATAGGCGTGACACTCAACAATGTGTATTTTCACCTTAGGGGACAAGAAAAAATGGACTTTTTTCTCCTGCCATGGGGGGGCGCTCTTTTGGGGAGTAAAAATTCCTTCACAAATGTGTTGATGGCTGGACATTGCATCATCCTAGAAAACTTGGAGGCCAGTGAGGACAAAAATAAAAAGTTATAAGACTTTTAAATATGTGGATTTTAGTGTTATCTTTGGCGCCCCCTAGAACCTAAACCTTGGGGTGCAGCGTCATGATTTTGATAACTTTTAATGGCCACGGGGTGTAGATTGGCCTGAGAAAATGTGGTGCCGGTGGAACGAAAGCCTTCGGAGGAGTTAGCGAAATTCCAATGTGTGCGGATCGGCAAAAAATGCGAAATAACCCTTTAACCGTAATTTTGACAGATATGGCCGCACTGACTTTTTTGTAGATCTTATTGAGATACATATGTGTGTCAATTTTTGTGTCAATATGACAAAGCGTACAGGCGTGACAGTCAATAGTGTGAATTTCCACCTTAGGGGGCGCTATGGAGCCATTTTGCATTTTCTTGTTTGGGCGACTTCAGAATATCGAATTTTTCACCAGGCCCGGTCGTCCTGCCAAATTTCATGAGTTTTCGCCAGTGGGAAGTGGGCCATTTTCCAGTTCAAAGGGGAGGAAAAAGAAGAAAGAAAGAAAGAAAGAAAGAAAGAAAGAAACAAAGAAAAACCACTTGGGGAATAATAGGGCTCTCGCAGCTGCTTAGCAGCTACGCTCGGGCCCTAATAATAACAAAAGAAGGAAACTACAGGAACAAGAGGGCTCTCGCAGCTGCTTAGCAGCTACGCTCGGGCCCTAAAGAAGAAGAAGAAGAAACTAGGGCCCCGTTGGGGCACTGGCGGGCCCGAGCCGTGTCACGCCGCCCCCAGCGCGACCGCCTCCCCCTCCCGATCGCGTCACACTCAAGGTCCAAAGATGGTGTGCGCACTTGTTTGTGGTCATTTACCATTATAATGAACGGGAGGCGCAGTTTCTACCAAAACGCTCGCTGCAGAAAAACTCCATGTCCTATTTGAAAAAAGTCTGGACCATGAGTGAGGGCACAAACACAGCTAAGATATATCCAAATGGCAAGTTGCTCCTCCTTTCGCTTTTGCCGAGAGAGCAGTGCGTTTGAGCCATTGAATGATGAACAGGAAAAACTTGACTTTATTCTCCTGCCATGGGGGGGCGCTCTTTTAAAGAGAAAAAACTCCTTCACAAATGTGTTGATGGCTGGACATTGCATCATCCTAGAAAACATGGAGGCCAGTGAGGACAAAAATAAAAAGTTATAAGACTTTTAAATATGTGGATTTTAGGGTTATATTTGGCGCCCCCTAGAACCTAAACCGTGGGGTGCAGCGTCATGATTTGAATAACTTTTAATGGCCATGGGGTGTAGATTGGCCTGAGCAAATGTGGTGCCGGTGGAACGAAAGCCTTCGGAGGAATTAGCGAAATTCCAATGTGTGCGAATCTGCAAAAAATGCCAAATAACCCTTTAACCGTACATTTTACAGATACGTGGCCATTGACTTTTTCGAAGATCTTATGTAAATACACGTGTATGTAAAATTTTGTGTCAATACGACAAAACATACAGGCGTAGCACTCAACAATGTGTATTTTCACCTTAGTGGACAAGAAAAAATTGACTTTTTTCTCCTGCCATGGGGGGCGCTCTTTTGCCGAGTAAAAATTCCTTCACAAATGTGTTGATGGCTGGACATTGCATCATCCTAGAAAACTTGTAGGCCAGTGGGGACAAAAATAAAAAGTTATAAGACTTTTAAATATGTGGATTTTACGGTTATCTTTGGCTCCCCCTAGAACCTAAACCGTGGGGTGCAGCGTCATGATTTGAATAACTTTTAATGGCCATGGGGTGTAGATTGGCCTGAGCAAATGTGGTGCCGGTGGAACGAAAGCCTTCGGAGGAGTTAGCGAAATTCCAATGTGTGCGGATCGGCAAAAAATGCGGAATAACCCTTTAACCGTACATTTGACAGATACGCGCGCATTGACTTTTTCGTAGATCTTATTGAGATACATGTGTGTGTCAATTTTTGTGTCATTTTGCCAAAGCGTACAGGTGTTACACTCAACAATGTGTATTTTCACCTTAGGGGACAAGAAAAAATGGACTTTTTTCTCCTGCCATGGGGGGGCGCTCTTTTGGGGAGTAAAAATTCCTTCACAAATGTGTTGATGGCTGGACATTGCATCATCCTAGAAAACTTGGAGGCCAGTGAGGGCAAAAATAAAAAGTTATAAGACTTTTAAATATGTGGATCTTAGGGTTATCTTTGGCGCCCCCTAGAACCTAAACCGTGGGGTGCAGCGTCATGATTTGAATAACTTTTAATGGCCATGGGGTGTAGATTGGCCTGAGCAAATGTGGTGCCGGTGGAACGAAAGCCTTCGGAGGAGTTAGCGAAATTCCAATGTGTGCGGATCGGCAAAAAATGCGAAATAACCCTTTAACCGTACATTTGACAGATACGCCCGCACTGACTTTTTTGTAGATCTTATTGAGATACATGTGTGTGTCAATTTTTGTGTCATTTTGACAAAGCGTACCGGCGTGACAGTCAATAGTGTGAATTTTCACCTTAGGGGGCGCTATGGAGCCATTTTGCATTTTCTTGTTTGGGCGACTTCGGAATATCAAATTTTTCACCAGGCCCGGTCGTCCTGCCAAATTTCATGAGTTTTCACCAGTGGGAAGTGGGCCATTTTCCAGTTCAAAGGGGAGGAAAAATAATAACTAGGACCCCGTTGGGGCACTGGCGGGCCCGAGCTGTGTCGCGTCCCCCCCCCCAACGCGCTGCCTCCCCGTCCCATTTGTGTCCTCTGGCCATCGCCCTCTCTGGTAACGCCCATCACTGCAAAGACCCTTTTCCTTCATCGGCGTTTGCTGTTCTTCCTGCCAGTGCGTGTTGCTTTCACTTACACTTGCCACAGCCAGCCTCGTGAGTGCCTAGCCTATTGGATATCACTGTCACCTACACAGGACAGTCATTACCTTTCTATTAATACTTTGTTTTTTAATTTCACATTAATTTCCATATTGTATAAACGACTGGAAAAAACTTGAGCCCCTGCCCCTGTATAATCATGTGCAGGTCTCTGTTCTAGCTCTAAGGTGAATCTTCACTGCTCATGTTCTCCTCAGAAGCAGTCACCTCACTCCCCTCAGGTTACTGTACACATGCACCAACTGCCTGCTTCAGGTTTGGATGGAGCTTCATGGTTGTCTTTTGGAGAAATGACCAGTCAAGTTGTGTTTGAAATTTGATTTTTTTCAGGGGCAAAAGGAGCCTCTGCATTCTTGTCAAATATGTAAATAGCATGTTTTTGCAGGTGCTAAAAACCAGACTCTGAGTGTGTGTGTGTGTGTGTGTGTGTGTGTGTGTGTGTGTGTGTGTGTGTGTGTGTGTGCGTGTGTGTGTGTCTATGTGTGCGTTCAAGTCACATGACATATTTAACCGGATGTAGCTGCAAGACGGAGCCTCGTTGACTCTCCGTTTCAACTTATCTCAAAAGTGAGGACCTCAACCTATATACCAGTTTTTAAATTGTGTTGATAGGCCAAATAAAACCAGAGTTATGATAAATTATGTCCGCGATACTTGTTTTCTGCTTATTTTGATCACGTTCGGCGCTCGATCGCGCTGTATGAGACAGGAAAACATAGCATGCAGACATTAGCGACAGCTCTTACAGGCGGAAAAGGCTTGCCAAAGGAAAAAAAAAACACACCACAACATCTCTCCTATTGGTGGAAAACTTCACCACAACAACCAATCCAAAATTATATGGTGACTGATTGACAAGGGGCGGGCGCTTACGTTCTTCCTGCAATATGAGAAGGGAGGGAGGGACTCTCAGCAGGGATGCAGTCTGGGACACGTAGTTGCAAACCTAGCGACTTTGTTGTTAGATTCAATGACTTTTCAGACCCCCTAACGACTTTTTTTTTTAGAAAGAAAGTGACTTTTGTCGACTTCTTCTGGAGTTTAGAGACTCTGACATGAAGCAGGCTTTCCTTACTGAGGAGTTAGCAACGCTGCTAAGGGTGCAGAGCCACACATGCGCTTCGAGCTCTGCATGGGAGACTGAAGCTGACAGAGCTGCAGCAGTTAGCAGGTTTCACCCTCAGAGACCACCAGGGGTTCATGTTGAGGCATTTTCAGTTTTTTTTGTTTTTTTTTTGCCATAGACACTGTCAGCACAATCTGCAGTTACACTAACAAAAATGCTGCAAAAAACAAAGAATTATGGAAAAATTACACATGGACTAACATAGAGGAGGATCTACACAAGTTTTTTACATCATGTTTTACATCATGCATCATTTACATCATGTTTTTTTGTAGTGGCATAAATAAAAAGTGACATTTGTGAGACTATACAGTGTTTTGTAAATAATTTTACAAAGAACACCTGGGCCATTGCCTGCATTTTGATGTAAATAGAGGTAAATTACTATGTTCTTTGTTAAAAATTTGCATATGTTTTGAAGTTTACAATTTTTATTTGAAGTTTAAGTTTTAAAAACAGTTCATCACACATATTTGTGGTTTTCACAGTAAAAACGTTACTTTTTTCCACTCGGATTTTATGTTTTGTGTGTGAATTTGGGTCCAATGTGTAAATATAGTATGTCAAAATGATAAAATAACTGTAAATTGACACAGGTGAGGTTGTGCTGAAAAAAATGATACCAGGCAAGGCAAGGTAAAAATTTTGTAAGAGGAAATATAAAGGTAAAATCTAAAGTAGTCAAAAACGGCCAATAGTGACTCACAGACTCCACAGACAAGTCCCTTTTGCGCCACTCAGTGGGCAAAACTACTTTGTCTACTGTAATGTATATTTGGGTCATCTTTGGCGCCCCCTAAAACGTAAACCGTGGGGTGCAGCGTCATGATTTTTACAACTTTGAATGGCCATGGAGTGTAGATTGGCCTGAGCAAATTTGGTGTCAGTGGGACGAAAGCCTTAGGAGGAGTTAGCGAAATTCCAATGTGTGCGAATCGGCAAAAAATGCAAAATAGCCCTTTTACCGTACCTTATACAGATACGCGCTCTTTGACTTTTTCGTAGATCTAATTGAGATACACATGATTGTCAATTTTTGTGTCATTTTGCCAAAGCGTACAGGCGTGACAGTCAACAATGTGTATTTTCACCTTAGGGGACAAGAAAAAATGGACTTTTTTCTCCTGCCATGGGGGGGCGCTCTTTTAGGGAGTAAAAATTCCTTCACCAATGTGTTGATGGCTGGACATTGCATCATCCTAGAAAACTTGGAGGCCAGTGAGGACAAAAATAAAAAGTTATAAGACTTTTAAAAATGTGGATTTTTGGGTTATCTTTGGCGCCCCCTAGAACGTAAACCGTGGGGTGCAGCGTCATGATTTGAATAACTTTTAATGGCCATGGGGTGTAATTTGGCCTGAGCAAATGTGGTGCCGGTGGAACGAAAGCCTTCGGAGGAGTTAGCGAAATTCCAATGTGTGCGAATCGGCAAAAAATGCGGAATAACCCTTTAACCGTACATTTGACATATACGCGCCCATTGACTTTTTTGTAGATCTTATTGAGATACATGTGTGTGTCAATTTTTGTGTCATTTTGACAAAGCGTACAGGCGTGACACTCAACAATGTGTATTTTCACCTTAGGGGACAAGAAAAAATGGACTTTTTTCTCCTGCCATGGGGGGGCGCTCTTTTGGGGAGTAAAAATTCCTTCACAAATGTGTTGATGGCTGGACATTGCATCATCCTAGAAAACTTGGAGGCCAGTGAGGACAAAAATAAAAAGTTATAAGACTTTGAAATATGTGGATTTTAGTGTTATCTTTGGCGCCCCCTAGAACCTAAACCGTGGGGTGCAGCGTCATGATTTGAATAACTTTTAATGGCCATGGGGTGTAGATTGGCCTGAGCAAATGTGGTGCCGGTGGAACGAAAGCCTTCGGAGGAGTTAGCGAAATTCCAATGTGTGCGGATCGGCAAAAAATGCGCAATAACCCTCTAACAGTACATTTGACAGATACGCCCGCACTGACTTTTTTGTAGATCTTATTGAGATACATGTGTGTGTCAATTTTTGTGTCATTTTGACAAAGCGTACAGGCGTCAGGTGAATTTTTCACCTTAGGGGGCGCTATGGAGCCATTTTGCATTTTCTTGTTTGGGCGACTTCGGAATATCAAATTTTTCACCAGGCCCGGTCGTCCTGCCAAATTTCATGAGTTTTCGCCAGTGGGAAGTGGGCCATTTTCCAGTTCAAAGGGGAGGAAAAAGAAAAAAGAAACAAAGAAAAACCCCTTGGGGAATAATAGGGCTCTCGCAGCTGCTTAGCAGCTACGCTCGGGCCCTAACTAGGACCCCGTTGGGGCACTGGCGGGCCCGAGCTGTGTCGCGTCCCCCCCCCAACGCGCTGCCTCCCCGTCCCATTTGTGTCCTCTGGCCATCGCCCTCTCTGGTAACGCCCATCACTGCAAAGACCCTTTTCCTTCATCGGCGTTTGCTGTTCTTCCTGCCAGTGCGTGTTGCTTTCACTTACACTTGCCACAGCCAGCCTCGTGAGTGCCTAGCCTATTGGATATCACTGTCACCTACTCAGGACAGTCATTACCTTTCTATTAATACTTTGTTTTTTAATTTCACATTAATTTCCATATTGTATAAACAACTGGAAAAAACTTGAGCCCCTGCCCCTGTATAATCATGTGCACGTCTCTGTTCTAGCTCTAAGGTGAATCTTCACTGCTCATGTTCTCCTCAGAAGCAGTCACCTCACTCCCCTCAGGTTACTGTACACATGCACCAACTGCCTGCTTCAGGTTTGGATGGAGCTTCATGGTTGTCTTTTGGAGAAATGACCAGTCAAGTTGTGTTTGAAATTTGATTTTTTTCAGGGGCAAAAGGAGCCTCTGCATTCTTGTCAAATATGTAAATAGCATGTTTTTGCAGGTGCTAAAAACCAGACTCTGAGTGTGTGTGTGTGCGTGTGTGTGTGTGTCTGTGTGTGTGTGTGTGTGTGTGTTCAAGTCACATGACATATTTAACCGGATGTAGCTGCAAGACGGAGCCTCGTTGACTCTCCGTTTCAACTTATCTCAAAAGTGAGGACCTCAACCTATATACCAGTTTTTAAATTGTGTTGATAGGCCAAATAAAACCAGAGTTATGATAAATTATGTCCGCGATACTTGTTTTCTGCTTATTTTGATCACGTTCGGCGCTCGATCGCGCTGTATGAGACAGGAAAACATAGCATGCAGACATTAGCGACAGGTCTTACAGGCGGAAAAGGCTTGCCAAAGGAAAAAAAAAACACACCACAACATCTCTCCTATTGGTGGAAAACTTCACCACAACAACCAATCCAAAATTATATGGTGACTGATTGACAAGGGGCGGGCGCTTACGTTCTTCCTGCAATATGAGAAGGGAGGGAGGGACTCTCAGCAGGGATGCAGTCTGGGACACGTAGTTGCAAACCTAGCGACTTTGTTGTTAGATTCAATGACTTTTCAGACCCCCTAACGACGTTTTTTTAGAAAGAAAGTGACTTTTATCGACTTCTTCTGGAGTTTAGAGACTCTGACATGAAGCAGGCTTTCCTTACTGAGGAGTTAGCAACGCTGCTAAGGGTGCAGAGCCACACATGCGCTCCGAGCTCTGCATGGGAGACTGAAGCTGACAGAGCTGCAGCAGTTAGCAGGTTTCACCCTCAGAGACCACCAGGGGTTCATGTTGAGGCATTTTCAGTTTTTTTTTTTTTTTTGCCATAGACACTGTCAGCACAATCTGCAGTTACACTAACAAAAATGCTGCAAAAAACAAAGAATTATGGAAAAATTACACATGGACTGACATAGAGGAGGATCTACACAAGTTTTTTACATCATGTTTTACATCATGCATCATTTACATCATGTTTTTTTGTAGTGGCATAAATAAAAAGTGACATTTGTGAGACTATACAGTGTTTTGTAAATAATTTTACAAAGAACACCTGGGCCATTGCCTGCATTTTGATGTAAATAGAGGTAAATTACTATGTTCTTTGTTAAAAATGTGCATATGTTTTGAAGTTTACAATTTTTATTTGAAGTTTAAGTTTTAAAAACAGTTCATCACACATATTTGTGGTTTTCACAGTAAAAACGTTACTTTTTTCCACTCGGATTTTATGTTTTGTGTGTGAATTTGGGTCCAATGTGTAAATATAGTATGTCAAAATGATAAAATAACTGTAAATTGACACAGGTGAGGTTGTGCTGAAAACAATGATACCAGGCAAGGCAAGGTAAAAATTTTGTAAGAGGAAATATAAAGGTAAAATCTAAAGTAGTCAAAAACGGCCAATAGTGACTCACAGACTCCACAGACAAGTCCCTTTGGCGCCACTCAGTGGGCAAAACTACTTTGTCTACTGTAATGTATATTTGGGTCATCTTTGGCGCCCCCTAAAACGTAAACCGTGGGGTGCCGCGTCATGATTTTTACAACTTTGAATGGCCATGGAGTGTAGATTGGCCTGAGCAAATTTGGTGTCAGTGGGACGAAAGCCTTAGGAGGAGTTAGCGAAATTCCAATATGTGCGAATCGGCAAAAAATGCAAAATAGCCCTTTTACCGTACATTATACAGATACGCGCTCTTGACTTTTTCGTAGATCTAATTGAGATACACATGATTGTCAATTTTTGTGTCATTTTGCCAAAGCGTACAGGCGTGACAGTCAACAATGTGTATTTTCACCTTAGGGGACAAGAAAAAATGGACTTTTTTCTCCTGCCATGGGGGGGCGCTCTTTTAGGGAGTAAAAATTCCTTCACAAATGTGTTGATGGCTGGACATTGCATCATCCTAGAAAACTTGGAGGCCAGTGAGGACAAAAATAAAAAGTTATAAGACTTTTAAAAATTTGGATTTTTGGGTTATCTTTGGCGCCCCCTAGAACGTAAACCGTGGGGTGCAGCGTCATGATTTGAATAACTTTTAATGGCCATGGGGTGTAATTTGGCCTGAGCAAATGTGGTGCCGGTGGAACGAAAGCCTTCGGAGGAGTTAGCGAAATTCCAATGTGTGCGAATCGGCAAAAAATGCGGAATAACCCTTTAACCGTACATTTGACAGATACGCGCCCATTGACTTTTTTGTAGATCTTATTGAGATACATGTGTGTGTCAATTTTTGTGTCATTTTGACAAAGCGTACAGGCGTGACACTCAACAATGTGTATTTTCACCTTAGGGGACAAGAAAAAATGGACTTTTTTCTCCTGCCATGGGGGGGCGCTCTTTTGGGGAGTAAAAATTCCTTCACAAATGTGTTGATGGCTGGACATTGCATCATCCTAGAAAACTTGGAGGCCAGTGAGGACAAAAATAAAAAGTTATAAGACTTTGAAATATGTGGATTTTAGTGTTATCTTTGGCGCCCCCTAGAACCTAAACCGTGGGGTGCAGCGTCATGATTTGAATAACTTTTAATGGCCATGGGGTGTAGATTGGCCTGAGCAAATGTGGTGCCGGTGGAACGAAAGCCTTCGGAGGAGTTAGCGAAATTCCAATGTGTGCGGATCGGCAAAAAATGCGCAATAACCCTTTAACCGTACATTTGACAGATACGCCCGCACTGACTTTTTTGTAGATCTTATTGAGATACATGTGTGTGTCAATTTTTGTGTCATTTTGACAAAGCGTACAGGCGTCAGGTGAATTTTTCACCTTAGGGGGCGCTATGGAGCCATTTTGCATTTTCTTGTTTGGGCGACTTCGGAATATCAAATTTTTCACCAGGCCCGGTCGTCCTGCCAAATTTCATGAGTTTTCGCCAGTGGGAAGTGGGCCATTTTCCAGTTCAAAGGGGAGGAAAAAGAAAAAAGAAACAAAGAAAAACCCCTTGGGGAATAATAGGGCTCTCGCAGCTGCTTAGCAGCTACGCTCGGGCCCTAATAACAAAAGAAGGAAACTACAGGAACAAGAGGGCTCTCGCAGCTGCTTAGCAGCTACGCTCGGGCCCTAACTAGGACCCCGTTGGGGCACTGGCGGGCCCGAGCCGTGTCGCGTCCCCCCCCAACGTGCTGCCTCCCCGTCCCATTTGTGTCCTCTGGCCATCGCCCTCTCTGGTAACGCCCATCACTGCAAAGACCCTTTTCCTTCATCGGCGTTTGCTGTTCTTCTTGCCAGTGCGTGTTGCTTTCACTTGCACTTGCCACAGCCAGCCTCGTGAGTGCCTAGCCTATTGGATATCACTGTCACCTACACAGGACAGTCATTACCTTTCTATTAATACTTTGTGTCTTAATTTCTCATTAATTTCCATATTGTATAAACGACTGGAAAAAACTTGAGCCCCTGCCCCTGTATAATCATGTGCATGTCTCTGTTCTAGCTCCAAGGTGAATCTTCACTGCTCATGTTCTCCTCAGAAGCACTCACCTCACTCCCCTCAGGTTACTGTACACATGCACCAACTGCCTGCTTCAGGTTTGGATGGAGCTTCATGGTTGTCTTTTGGAGAAATGACCAGTCAAGTTGTGTTTGAAATTTGTTTTTTTTCAGGGGCAAAAGGAGCCTCTGCATTCTTGTCAAATATGTAAATAGCATGTTTTTGCAGGTGCTAAAAACCAGACTCTGAGTGTGTGTGTGTGTGTGTGTGTGTGCGTGTGTGTGTGTCTGTGTGTGCGTTCAAGTCACATGACATATTTAACCGGATGTAGCTGCAAGACGGAGCCTCGTAGACTCTCCGTTTCAACTTATCTCAAAAGTGAGGACCTCAACCTATATACCAGTTTTTAAATTGTGTTGATAGGCCAAATAAAACCAGAGTTATGATAAATTATGTCCGCGATACTTTTTTTCTGCTTATTTTGATCACGTTCGGCGCTCGATCGCGCTGTATGAGACAGGAAAACATAGCATGCAGACATTAGCGACAGGTCTTACAGGCGGAAAAGGCTTGCCAAAAAAAAAAAAAACACACCACAACATCTCTCCTATTGGTGGAAAACTTCACCACAACAACCAATCCAAAATTATACGGTGACTGATTGACAAGGGGCGGGCGCTTACGTTCTTCCTGCAACATGAGAAGCGAGGGAGGGACTCTCAGCAGGGATGCAGTCTGGGACACGTAGTTGCAAACCTAGCGACTTTGTTGTTAGATTCAATGACTTTTCAGACCCCCTAACGACTTTTTTTTAGAAAGAAAGGGACTTTTATCGACTTCTTCTGGAGTTTAGAGACTCTGACATGAAGCAGGCTTTCCTTACTGAGGAGTTAGCAACGCTGCTAAGGGTGCAGAGCCACACATGCGCTCAGAGCTCTGCATGGGAGACTGAAGCTGACAGAGCTGCAGCAGTTAGCAGGTTTCACCCTCAGAGACCACCAGGGGTTCATGTTGAGGCATTTTAAATTTTTTTTTTTTTTGTGCCATAGACACTGTCAGCACAATCTGCAGTTACACTAACAAAAATGCTGCAAAAAACAAAGAATTATGGAAAAATTACACATGGACTGACATAGAGGAGGATCTACACAAGTTTTTTACATCATGTTTTACATCATGCATCATTTACATCATGTTTTTTTGTAGTGGCATAAATAAAAAGTGACATTTGTGAGACTATACAGTGTTTTGTAAATAATTTTACAAAGAACGCCTGGGCCATTGCCTGCATTTTGATGTAAATAGAGGTAAATCACTATGTTCTTTGTTAAAAATTTGCATATGTTTTGAAGTTTACAATTTTTATTTGAAGTGTAAGTTTTAAAAACAGTTCATCACACATATTTGTGGTTTTCACAGTAAAAATGTTACTTTTTTCCACTCGGATTTTAGGTTTTGTGTGTGAATTTGGGTCCATTGTGTAAATTCAGTATGTCAACATGATAAAATAACTGTAAATTCGCACAGGTGAGGTTGTGCTGAAAAAAATGATACCAGGCAAGGCACGTGATTGTTAAATTTTGTGTCAATATGACAAAGCGTATAGGCGTGAATCTCAACAATATGTATTTTCACCTTAGGGGACAAGAAAAAATGGACTTTTTTCTCCTGCCATGGGGGGGCGCTCTTTTGGGGAGTAAAAATTCCTTCACAAATGTGTTGATGGCTGGACATTGCATCATCCTAGAAAACTTGGAGGCCAGTGAGGAGAAAAATAAAAAGTTATAAGACTTTTAAATATGTGGATTTTAGGGTCATCTTTGGCGCCCCCTAGAACCTAAACCGTGGGGTGCAGCGTCATGATTTGTACAACTTTTAATAGCCATGGGGTGTAGATTGGCCTGAGCAAATTTGGTGCCGGTGGAACGAAAGCCTTCGGAGGAGTTAGCCACATTCCAATGTGTGCGGATCGGCAAAAAATGCAAAATAGCCCTTTAACCGTACATTATACAGATACGCGCTCTTTGACTTTTTCGTAGATCTTATTGAGATACACGTGATTGTCAAATTTTGTGTCAATATGACAAAGCGTTTAGGCGTGACACTCAACAATGTGTATTTTCATGTTAGGGGACAAGAAAAACTTGACTTTTTTCTCCTGCCATGGGGGGGCGCTCTTTTGGGGAGTAAAAATTCCTTCACAAATGTGTTGATGGCTGGACATGGCATCATCCTAGAAAACTTGGAGGCCAGTGAGGACAAAAATAAAAAGTTATAAGACTTTTAAGAATGTGGATTTTTGGGTTATTTTTGGCGCCCCCTAGAACGTAAACCGTGGGGTGCAGCATCATGATTTGTACAACTTTTAATGGCCATGGGGTGTAGATTGGCCTGAGCAAATTTGGTGCCGGTGGAACGAAAGCCTTCGGAGGAGTTAGCGAAATTCCAATGTGTGCGGATCGGCAAAAAATGCGAAATAGCCCTTTAACCGTACATTTGACAGATACGCCCGCACTGACTTTTTTGTAGATCTTATTGAGATACACATGTGTGTCAAATTTTGTGTCATTATGACAAAGCGTACAGGCGTCAGGTGAGTTTTCACCATAGGGGGCGCTATGGAGCCATTTTTCATTTTTTTGTTTGGGCGACTTCAGAATATCAAATTTTTCACCAGGCCCGGTCGTCCTGCCAAATTTCCTGAGTTTTCGCCAGTGGGAAGTGGGCCATTTTCCAGTTTAAAGCGGAGGAAAAATAACGAAAGAAGAATCCATCAGGAACAAGAGGGCTCTCGCAGCTGCTTAGCAGCTACGCTCGGGCCCTAAGAAGAATCCATCAGGAATAATAGGGCTCTCGCAGCTGCTTAGCAGCTACGCTCGGGCCCTAAAGAAAAACCACTTGGGGAATAATAGGGCTCTCGCAGCTGCTTAGCAGCTACGCTCGGGCCCTAAAAAACCACTACAGGAATAATAGGGCCTCGCAGCTGCTTAGCAGCTACGCTCGGGCCCTAAAGAAACAAAGAAAAACCACTACAGGAATAACAGGGCCTACGCCCGGCTGCTCTGCAGCTGGCTCGGGCCCTAACGAAAGAAGGAAACATGCAGGAACAAGAGGGCTCTCGCAGCTGCTTAGCAGCTACGCTCGGGCCCTAAAGAAACAAAGAAAAACCACTTGAGGAATAATAGGGCTCTCGCAGCTGCTTAGCAGCTACGCTCGGGCCCTAAAGAAAGAAAGAAAGAAAGAAGAAAGAAAAACCTATACAGGAATAATAGGGCTCTACGCCCGGCTGCTCTGCAGCTGGCTCGGGCCCTAAAAAGTGAGGACTGTTAGGATGAGTTTATTTAGCCAGTCCTGTCAGCCTTGAGAGTGGTGGAGCTGTGTCACTCAAATACCTCAGATACTTCAGTGTTAGATTGCTAAGGATGGGGCCTCCGGCAACCATCCTCAACATCTACCTTATACCCAT